CTACACCACAGTGCTCCACGTGCAGGAAAGGCTGGAGGGAAGGGAAAATAACGTTAGACAGGGACTATGTGTGAGTGAGGTGAGTTTTACGCCGCTTTTAGCAACATACAAGCAATATCACGGCGGGGGACATCAGAAATATGCTTCACACATTGTACCCATGTGGGGAATCGAACCCGGGTTTTCGACGTGACCAGCGAACGCTTTAACTACTAGGCTACCTGACCGCCCCTAGGGACCATGAGGCTGACATAGAGAGATACAACGTCAAATAACAACCCTGACTTACACAAAGACTATAGCTTGGCATGAAATGCAAGTGGACCCGTTTTTTGTAAATATCTCTTCATTCAATGACCCAATCGATCTCAAACTGTGCAAGTGGATGTTTTGTCAGACAACCTAATCACATTGTAAATCACCGATTTTATGCATTTGTATTAAAGAATCTGTCTATGTAACTGTCAACAAAATAAACAGCAGAACGCAGACTGCTTGTAGAGGGGGAGCCAATGACCTGAAACAGCGGCAGTGTTGGGTCATAAAGGTCAACGTTCGTCAATGTAGGTCAGCTATGCACGTGACAGGTATGAAGAGGTGTCACAGGTCGTGAATAGGGTAAGGTGGGTGCCAACTGTTAACCATCATACGGAGTTTGTTTCTCTGAGTTGTTCAACATTAACCACAAACCCACTAGTGAGAATTATTCTGTAGGTTAAAATCTTTAAATTTGTAATGTTAATGTCATATTTTGTTTATGCAGTACCTAAGTGGAAATGCATTTAAAGAACACAGAAAGTATATTTACACTAAATCATTAATCGGACCACCTATGGTTAGAACTCAACAACTGTTAAAGCCCCGTTCCCTCGGACACAAGCACACACAATCATGCACACTCATTGAAGAAAAGATAGAATGAAGACAAAAGTGTTATGTTTTGATGTCGTTCACATTCCAATTTAAGCAATGCATTTCTAATAGCTTTAAGCATATAAATAGTTAATATTTATATTTTCATGATAATTTTATGTGAAATGAGTGTTTCATGTTACACTATAAGTCGTTGGAATTAGTCAGTGCTGTCATTGTTAAAAGAAGTTATATTTCTTTGAGCATATCTAGCTGGATACTATTATTATCGGTAAATATAATAACAGAATTAAACTTCATCAAGTTCACTCCATTCTTCCACAGAGGAGTCATCAGTGTCCAGACGAATGACAACTGAATTAACTGTTTGCTCCTTCAAGCCATCTTTGAGCCAGTACTCTTTCTCCACCTTCTTGACATGTTCAACACATGCATGCCAGCGTGCAATGTCAGTGTCACATATAGCAGTGTTGACAATGTGCTTGACATCATTCAACTTGAATGAGTGATTTTTCCTGGCCACTGTACTTTTAAGGTCTCTCCAGATAAGTTCGATTGGGTTGAGATCACAGTGGTACGGAGGTAATCTCATGACCTTATGGCCGTGTTGGCGTAGCATGTTGTCAATGTTATATGTGGGTGGAGGTTTGTTAGGTTTAATCAAAGAGTACAACTGTGGTTTCGTGGCCTTAATTGAAAATTGTATATTGTTATTTGTTAGCCTTTGCTGCATATCTGACTTCTTTGTGTTGGAAGTTGGGCACCTATTGTTTGGATCTCGAACACTCTGATAGGGAGCATTGTCCATGACAACAAGACTTTTGTAAGGCAGAGCTGGCAACAATTGTTCCTCAACATGCTGTGTGAAAACCGTTGAGTTCATTTCTGTATGATAGTCCCTACCATCTGTGCTCTTTGACCGAAATACCAGATCACACCCAGGTAGGAATCCACGGTGGGAACCAGCATGAAGAACGATTAAACGTTCACCTTTGCCTGTTGGTATTTTCCTACCATCACTGGGATCAGTGGGTAGCCACTGTCTGGCAGCAGTATGGTTTGCATTGACCCAGGTCTCATCCAGATATATGGGTTGGAACCCATCCTCTCTTGCCTGCTTACTTTCTCTCAGATAGTTACACCTTATTTTCACAGTATCAGATCTCTCACACATTACAAGTTTCTGGTTTGCTACCTTCTTGTACTTGTATCCAAATTTGAGCAGTAGTTTGCTTAGCATAAACCTAGAAACATTAATGTCACGATCCTCTGCAATGATGTGTTTTAACTTTCTTGTGGACAGGTGTTCATTTCTAGCAAATAGCCAATTTGGAGTGATCCAAACGGTCTATCACTGTACAGTGCACGGGTAACTATCATGAACTGTACGTGCATTTACCTTTATGACCCAACACTGCCGCTGTTACAGGTCATTGGCTCCCTCCCTCTACAAGCAGTCTGCGTTCTGCTGTTTATTTTGTTGACAGTTACATAGACAGATTCTTTAATACAAATGCATAAAATCGGTGATTTACAATGTGATTAGGTTGTCTGACAAAACATCCACTTGCACAGTTTGAGATCGATTGGGTCATTGAATGAAGAGATATTTACAAAAACACGGGCCCACATGCATTTCATGCCAAACTATAGTGGCATATCTGATCAGAGGTGACTTAAACACACGTATTATACACTGTCGGGTATATAAGCGTAAATATCAAACTTCAAACATTTACAAAACTGTTTCTTGGCTGAAAACAGTCGTCGAAACGCTGACACATTAAGATAAAAAAGATATCACATAAATCACCAAATATTCGAATAACTTTTTCTTGTTTTGTTTCAGTTTTCACCACAGTGATGCATAGGTTTACCCTTTCTTTTCCCGTTAAGTGAGTGAGTGAGTGAGTGAGTATGGTTTTACGCCGCTTTTTAGCAATATTCCAGCAATATCACGGCGGGGGACACCAGAAATGGGCTTCACACATTGTACCCATGTGGGGAATCGAACCCGGGTCTTCGGCGTGACGAGCGAACGCTTTAACCACTAGGCTACCCCACCGCCCCTTTTCCCGTTAACTTCACAACAGACAACAGATAGCTAAACAAAAATATCAGTGTCGTTCTGTGACCCGACACAGTTCTGAACACTTGTGCATAGTACGGGTTTCAAATACCGACTAGAAAAAACGACTAGAAGCGCTCGTAAAGTCTCCTAGAACTTCGTCAGAATAAGCATGATCATCATTGTCAAGTGAGTGAGTTTAGTTTTACGCCGCTTTTAACAATATTCCAGCAATATCACGGCGGGGGACACTAGAAATGGGCTTCACACATTGTACCCACTTTGGAAATCGAACAAGGGCCTTCGGCGTGACGAGCGAACGCTTTAACCACTAGGCTACCCTACCGCCCTCGTGAAGAACAAGGGAATACACCGTGACACTTGTTTAGTATTAAAGCACACTCAGGTTATACCGTATTTCCTCTACTGGACGACAGAAAAAAATAGTTGTCGGGGAAGAGTTAGACGCCAGGAACAAAACCAAATATGGAATACATACCTGTCGTGAGTGAGTGAGTGAGTTGGGTTTAACGCCAGGGGTTCGGGACCCCCCCTTTTTTTTTTGAAAATGACTTAAACCCACATTGAAGATTTCTTTTGCGTTGGCAGAGCCAATGGGGTGTTCAGGGGGTTCGAACCCCTGACATCCCCCACCCCTCAAAATTCCTGGATCCGCCCATGCGTTTTTAACACTCTATCATTTGATATATCCTGCAATTTTTATTGGAGGCAGAACATGGGTACAATGTGTTGGTAGGGCATAAAAAGGAGGAAAGAAGTAAGAACTTGTTGGGTGAGGAACTGGCTTAAACCTGAGAGGCGAAAAACTGTGGAGCATCATCATCAACTGATGGTGCAGCTCCGCCTTGAAGCTGAGAACGGGAATGATAACGGGCAAGAACGTGCTGGTACTTACGGAAATCGAGCCAGGACGTGATTCCTATTATGATTGCACCTAGTGCGAACTGCCTGAAAACGAGTTGGTCTAAGTTAAATAACGAGATAGGTCTAGTTCTGAAAGGATATAAACTAAGGACGGGATTGAACTGCCTGAAAACGTTGTCCACACGGGGTGAACGAGCAATTTTACCCAGTCTAAACGTAATACCAACTGTCTGGGGGCGGGGTAAAGACGAGCTAGACGTTCTTAGAACTGTTTATGATCAAACTAGCATCGTAATTTCTACAAAAGGTACACGTAAGATATCCCGTTTCAACCTGTTTTACAATGATTGTTTGGACGGGGCAGGACGTACTGAGAAGTACCTTGGTGTGACTCAGGCTTAAGATTGGCACTAATTGTCGATCTGAACGCTGTCGGTCCTCAGCGTCTGTCGGGTTATAGTCGTTGACAATGACATGCAATTAACATGTCTTGCAATATTTAGCCCTCGATGATATGCTTATAACTAGCCATCTTTTAGCATTTGTCATTTAAGTGAGTGAGTGAGTTGAGATTTACGCCGCATTCAGCAATATTCCAGCTATATGGCGGCGGTCTGTAAATAATCGGATCTGGACCAGACAGTCCAGTGATCAACAGCATGAGCATCGATCTATGCAATTGGGATACGATGACATGTGTCAAACCAGACAGCGAGCCTGACCACCCGATCCCGTTAGTCGCCTCTTACGACAAGCATGGGTTCATTTGTCATTTGAGGAGGTCCCATATTTGCTGATCGACAACGAAGTCAGTTGATTTTGATAGCATCTGTTATAGCTGAAAGAGGAAGGGACATGAGACGAAGAACAACGGGCATCAGTTACAATGTACAGAACGATGTAGGTACCGAACCGTGACACATGGTATATTTACAGAGGGAATAAAAGACAAATGTATTTTCTGTTTTACCTGTATGGAGTTTTATTTATTGTATGGAAAGTAGTATGGAAAGTATGATTTTTCCAACAAAAATAAAAAGACACAAAAAAAACACAACTATTTGGCATATTTTGATTCAGTGGCTATTTATATTGTTAAAACACGGATTAACCAGCCAGCTAAAAATAGAGAAGCAAGCGATCACAAAATAGAGTTACTTCCCCTTTGCGAGAACTCGCACGAGAATTTCCGCCATTTGTCTAGTTCAGCTGGGATTCTTATTCTTCGTCTCCAAATAATAACAAACTTTCTTTCTTGAGGAATTTCAGGCCAGTTTCTGGCCTAAAGCGTAATGCATGCCTCTCTCAAGCGCAAGCAAGCGTGCTCTTACAGATCAAAACAAGGGTGAAGACGCTTCCAATCATAAACGACGCCGAGTTAGTCACGAAAATAGCTCTCCTCCAAACAAGAAATTAGAGGACAGTTCGCAATCAACAATGACGGATTCGCAAAGAAGACCGAACTTCTCGGCCCTCACAAGTCCCAGCAATGGGATTGCTAGACACGCATCTCCGCTTGCAAATAATAAACCCGGGGCTGCAAAGAAGTTGGTCATCAAGAATTTCAAAGGTTGGCATCCTCAATCAAAACAAAACATTTTTCGAGCAGAAAGTTGGAGAGGAATTATTTCTCACGAAAGTATCAGTACTCAAATCAGAAATAATTTGGAAGTAAATTATCTATCACGTCAGCAGGGTAATTGATACCTAATCTGAGTAATTAATAATCGGGTTTTGATTCACAATTTTATATCCCATGTACGATGATGTCTGCTGCCATTCTTGAAATGTACATTCATTTACAAAAGCTGACAATTCACTCACAATTTCGACATGGATTTAGTTACAGCAACTGTGTTCATGTTGTTATATTTAGATGCAGTTCATGGTTTGTTACGCTTCTGGGGCTTCTAATGGAATTGAATAAGATGTCAAAATGAACGGGTGGAGAATGAGAACTCAATTTCATATCAACTGGCTTAGTACCCTTTGATGTATAACTATGTTGGATTCTCATGTTCAGGATTAACCTTTGTCTATATATTTTAAATTCCGGACGCACTCAATAAATATTTCGATCCGAGACATAATTATTCTCCCACACTGTCTGATGTACCAAGATAAACAACTTTTCAATGTATGCGAGATGCTGTATGCTTATTTTGGATGAGGATTTCCTTTTGTTAAATCGAAATTTGGTGATTAAGTGCAAAATATCTGATAAAGACATCTGAAGATTTGTTCTTTGAACTGAAATATGGTATAACTCTCACATACATGTTTCACTTTCAAATGAATTGTTTTCATTCATTCCAACATGCATGCTCTGACAGGATTTGCAGTTGATCATTTTGCGCCGATTCCTAATTTCTTTACTTGATGCCCAATATCTTGGTTCATGTGAATCCCTGTTTGGTATTTAGTTACTATGTATACTTGTAATTCTTACAACAGAATGTACATGTATTTGACAACCATTATAAATATAGTTTTGTAATTTTACTGTTGGATGTAAATTAACAATAACATTCGTAAAATTAACCAGGACATTTACATTTTATTGAATAAAATCATCTTCCGAGGCCAAGAATTGACTCGAATGTCTAGAATCTCCAGAGTTTAAGATAAGATGTGCATTTACGTAAATTATGCAAATATATCACCATTATCATTTAATCTGTAGTTGATTTCATTTAAATATGCATGAAATAGTCATACGTGTATTTCATTACACATTTGTATCTTCTGATTGAATTTAGGCATCACACTGTCATGGACTTGCTTTTAATACTTACCTTTTTTAAAAAAAACTTGACTGGCTATCGCAGTATACAAACATAGGGATTCTCTATCATGAACTAAATTTTAATTGATTATTGATAAATGTGAGATAAGTAACTATGAGCAAGATTTCCAAAAATGTCCCAAAGAAATCAACACATGATGAGTGGCGATGCGTGTGTGCATGGACTACTGAAAAAATAGCATTTGGAACACAGTTTAATGGTGGCCCATGAATTGAAACTTAATTTCATCATAATAGTTCATGTAAGATATTGTGAATGACACAATTTTCATATTGTAATTGTTCCAATAGACAACATTTCCAATTACTGATCTTCTTAGCCAGCCCAATATTATATACACCTGTACACAACAGATAGAAATTAGGAACCACATGCAACATGAAATTCCTGGTTCCTATACCACAGCCTTTGCAGCATTACGAGCTATTATATATCATAGGATTATGAATGACAGAGTGCCACAAACTCTGTCTATTTGGGACCACTTAGAAACCAAAGCCAACATGACTTTTATTGGACACCTATCCTTCAAGATAATTTTGAGGGCATTCTTTTGCCTGTCAGTTTCAGTATTGGATTTCTTGTAAAAGAGGGGCGGTGGGGTAGTCTAGTGGTTAAAGTGTTGGCTTGTCACGCCGAAGACCTGGGTTCGAATCCCCACATGGGTACAATGAGTGAAGCCCATTTCTGGTGACCCCGCCGTGATATTGCTGGAATATTGCTAAAAGCGGCGTAAAACCAAACTCAGTCAGTCTTGTAAAAGACCATGATAATATGGGAGGTGCCAATCAAACTGGCAGATTGAAATCAAGGCTGAGGGTGGTCAGAATCTTGGGAATAGATCAAGGCATTTGTGTCACCTCTTGCAACAAGCATGGCTTGCTAATGATCAGTTCTAACCCAGATCGTCACAGGATTGAGATCTTGTTACACAAAGCATTCTTAGCGCGCTACAACAATCATTACTCCCATACTTGAACACAGATTTACGATTGTCATAGCACTAAGATCATTTTCCGCAAGATGATCCTGAGCAATAACAGAATTAATTCATCTTGCAGAAAAACCAAAGATGCCCGAGAACTTTCAACAGGAGACTTGGAAGAAACTTGGTGAGGCTGTAGATGCTATCCACAAGAGCTGCTCCATCCGCTACAGCCTTGAGGAGCTGTATCAGGCTGTGGAGAATATGTGTTCCTACAAGATGTCAGCCAGCCTGTATGACCAGCTCAAACACATCTGTGAAGATCACGTCAAGGCCAACCTGAACCAGTTCTTGGGATATCCTTTATAACAGTTTGGAACAAGGCAGGGTCCTTGGGCCCTTGAGGGTGTCTGCTGTAGTATTTGAATCTAGGAAAACAGATGTCGTTGACCTTTAGCTATATTTTCGGAAAACACAAGCTACTAGACAAATTTCTTACAGGATGCATTTTTGTCTACAGAGTTATGTCCCTTAGTTCGGTCAGGATCAGCTGGTATGTCAGCATCATGTTCTTGCTTGGGTTTTTATCCAAAATTGATATGACCTGCATCACGATTTGGAATTGTTCTCAGAGTGCTGTTACATCCAAGTTGCTTCTTCTGAGTAGGGCGACTAACGGGATCGGGTGCTCAGGCTCGCTGGCTTGCTTGACACATGTCATCGGTTGCCAGTTGCGCAGATCGATGCTCATGCTGTTGACCACTGGATTGTCTGGTCCCGACTCGTTTATTTACAGACCGTCGCCATATAGCTGGAATATTGCTAAATGCGATGTAAAACTAAACTCACTCACTCCTTCTGAGTAGACTTTGTCAGTGAAATATATATGTGGGCTAGTGAGATTCCAGTTTTCGCTCTCTGTGGCTAGTTTTCCTTCTCCTAAAAAAATATATGATAAATTTCTGTAAATAAATTAGTCTGGACAAGACAAGTCAGTGATTGACATAAGCAATTGGAATGCAATGACTGCATCAACTAGGTCTCTGGGCCTTATGAATACCTTTTGGTGATATTTTGTTGACCAAACAGGAAGTATGTCTTGATATCGTCTCATGTAATGTTATGAGCAGTGGAGTTAGTGCCAATTACGAATTTGACAATGATGTTGTTTAAAGATAGGTCTTAAAAGATATTCACCTGTGTTTTGAAATTTGAGGTAATCTAACTATGTGTTAATCAGTCAGAATCAAGGTTTATTCAGTGTCAAAGAATGTAAGTTTGATGTCAAAAGCAGTTGATGATTGGTCAAGATAAGTGTTGCCTTAATTTAGATTAATTTAGGCAAACAATACATATATGTCCATTTTCTGTCAGCTACACTTCGTTTCGAGGTGTGAGTGGCTGCAATATGATTGGCTACAATATGATTGGCGTTGCTTTGAATAAGGTAAACAGAATTTGTATCCTACGGAGGGACACAGTTTTCATGGCAATTAATATGAACGTTATTGAATGACATTTCGAGTAAAATGATTAAACTTCATTATGAATGTAAGACCAGATGTGCAAAGAACATGTTTTATTACTAGATAGTGAAACGACAGGATTTATTTGCATAATTCAATATGAATATGTTTACACTCAATTTTGAAGAGACCTGTGAAGGTATGGGGTAGAATTGATCTTCAGTAAACCATGCTTGTCGTAAGAGCCGACTAACGGGATCGGGTGGTCAGGCTTGCTGACTTGGTTGACACATGTCATCGCATCCCGATTGCGTAGATCGATGTTCATGCTGTTGATCCCTGGATTTTCTGGTCCAGACTAGATTATTATACATTACAGACTGCCGCCATAAAGCTGGAATATTCATGAGTGCGGCATAAAACATAACTCTTTCACTCACTCAATTTCTGAAGACTGATCACAATGAGAAGATGATCGAATGTGGGTGGTTTGGCTTATGTATGGAACATACCATTTCTATTTTAGTGGTCAAGTTAGGTCATGTACAGCAGTCCTTCTTGAGCTTTGTTCCAGGTATCCATGTTAAAAATGGTTACCATCTTTTAGCACGAACAGTAGCACATGTGTCTGTGAGGGTAGCAATGTTTCCTTAATGCAGCCTACAGACACACTGGATTATGAACAGTTTCTTAAGCTGATAGACAATTGTTGGCAAAACCACTGTCGACAAATGGTAAGTTGGAGCCACCTGTTGTAAGTCACAGGCCCTCGTGTCTTTGCGAATATTAAAGATTATAAAAATATTTTTTTGAGATGACCCCCGACTCGAACAGTACAATACATTATGACAAGGCCGGACACTTCGGTATACCCCACCCGCCTGCTTTGCCGATCGCTACGCTACCATCGCATGCAATCGATTAAAACTTAATGTAAACATAATCATGGATTATTGTTATTTCTGCAAGTCAATTGAAACCCGATTTTGACTCTCAACTGAACGATCTTGACACAAATGGATGACGATATGTCCGCACAAAGTGGGGGGGGGGGTGCTTCTCACCAAAGTCCCCACCTGCCCCAGAGTGTCATTAATGACTTGCTACAAGATGATTTTTTTGACCCCCCAATCGAAAACAAAACTTTTGACAGGTTTGTTCCTGTTTATGACCATGACATTGATAACTTCTTGGCTGCGAACGAAAACGAAAACACAATGAAAAAGACAAAATTGGACATGAATCTTGTTTATAGATTTCTTCGCGAGAGTCTTAATGATCCAAGACAACTTGAAGACATTGCCCCCCATGAACTGAACACTATCCTATGTAAATTTTTCATATCGGCAAGAAAATCTGATGGTTCGGAGTATGAACCGTCTTCCCTCCGGGGAATAAAGGGTAGCATTGAACGCTATTTGAAGCGTAATGGGTACTCACATGTGTTAGCTGAGTCAATGCATTTCATGAAACTGAGGGAGGTTTTAAAATAAAAATTCCAGTCATTAAAAAAACAAAGTAAAGGAAACCTACCATTCCGTGCTGATCCTGTATCTGACACTGAATTACAGAAACTCAGTGAATATGGCCAACTAGGCACCAGCACGCCAGATTCCATTTTAAACACATAATGGTGGAACAACACGGTTTATTTTGGCTTGAGATCGGCGACCACGCACAGGCGTATGCAGTGGGGTGATGTAACACTAAAAGTTGATTCAGAGAACCGAGAATATCTCCAGTATATTGAACGGCAGTCAAAAACCCGTCAGGGTGACCAGTCTCACTATATTGGGGTTCATATTTGATTCCATTAGGCGTGAGCCGTTTGGTTTCCTCTGCGCATTAATACGGATCAGCTGATTATGTTGTAAACACATAACGAGGTGCGGCTTTGAGTTCATAAGTACTGGTTTCTCGGTTTAATTACAGAATGGGAAATAAAAAAAACCCTAGAGGTACGAGTGATTACGGGAAATATGTCCCTCGTGAAATTAATGTTCAAGTCCCTCGCTAAAGCTCTGGACAGTGAACTTTAATTTCACTCGGGGACATATTTCCCGTAAACACTCGTACCTCGTGGGTTATTCTCTAATTATGCTTACATTAAGTTTTAATCGTTTACATGCGATGGCAGTGTAGTGATCGGCAAAGCAGGCGGGTAGGGTACACCGAAGTGTCCGGCCTTGTCATAATGTATTGTACAGTGTAGCATTTCGAGTCGGGGATCATCTCAAATGTTTTATGTGTTTTTAACATCTTTAATCCTCGCAAAGACACGAGGGCCTGTGTGTGTGTTAACAAATGATGATTTGGAGTAAATGTGAGCTGTTCATTCAAAGGTAACAGGTGGGATCTTGACATTAACACATGCACATTCCACACAAAAATACCCAGTTTAATGGGTTGATTTTCAAAGTTCCTCGAACATTCAGTTGTCCTATTCTACTTTCTTTTGCACACAAATGTGTTTCTTTGTTTTGACAGTTTGTCAGTCATGTTTTTTTCTCTCCCCTCAATATTGTGCAATGTGCTTTTATCTTACCTCACACATAAATGTTGTTTTCTGATTGGCTGAGCGCTCTTCTATTATTTTCAATGTACCCCACTTACAAGCGAGTAGGGGCGGTGGGGTAGCCTAGTGGTTGAAGTGTTTGCTCGTCACGCCGAAGGCCCGGGTTCGATTCCCCACATGGGTACAATTTGTGAAGCTCATTTCTGGTGTCCCCTGCCGTGATACAGCTGGAATATTGCTAAAAACGGTGTAAAACTATACTCAGTCAGTCAGTCAGTCAGTGCAAGCGAGTAACATTTTCTATGTTACCTGCTAGGAATGCCGAACTCTGGGAATTCATTTGGAACTTTGTGTTAGTAATTCTTTATCTCAATTAAATGAGTCACGTATGAATACTATGATGTAAGGAAATTATCAATGTTTTGCGAATGCAAGTCGATAGAAGGGAGATAACTCTAATTTTGTTATTTTTCCTTATCCTGACTCATGCTCTTTTGCTTGTCTTCTTCTTCTTGCGAACATAGTGGAACACTTGTATCTCCTTATTTGAAGCTCCCTTCAAAATAAAATCACTAATTGGTACTCACCACGAGTTGCTCCCCTTTGTCTCCCCTGGCGGGAAAGGTGTCGCCACCCTCTGGCCATGTGCTCCACTCTCTCCTTCTTCGCCCAGTGAGCAGGATGTGAGAGCGCCTTGTGTCTCCTTACACACATATCCTTTGATAATCTCTTAGTTTTTACCTCTCATATGTTACTATAGAGGTATAGCTAGTATCCTTTACTATTTGTATTGATTAATTATCGTATTTCTACTGTTTATTCACGTGTATTCGTGATTGTTCAGCTAGCTTTACGTTGATGAAAATCTGTACGATTTGTAGATTACGTTTTTCTGCCTCCGATCCACATGTAATATGCCCTAGTTGTTCTACTACCGTGTGCGTTTAATTCCGCGTTGCAGTTACTGCATTAATTTATCTCATTCTGCATTTAATAAATATCATCTTTGCGTCTTAAGACGTGCTGCAGATAGATCACGCAAACAAGGGCAAAACATGGCAGAGAGTCCAGATATTCCATCCAGTCAGCTGCTAGCGATCGACCCTCTCCCGTCTGGTGTTCTGCTAGAGACCCCTGTGGCAGAGGAACGTGGGACGCAGTCCGTTACCTCGAAGAAACGACCGGCCTCCCCAGACATCCCGTCATTGCAGACTAAGTCTAAGAGGGCCTCATCGTCGTCTCAACGCAGATTGAGGACACCCAGGGCAGCGCAGACTTCCAAAGGGAAATCTACGAAGACAGCAAGAACTTTCTCAGCCGAGATCGTTCCAGCAGCAGAGTTGGGCCTCTACGATGATCAGCCGATAATCATCCCCGACTTACGGCAGAAGAAGCGACCGGTGTCAGCGACTGTGACTTCTGCAGAGATCACCATGCAGCCTGATGCCTCTACACCGACGTCAGACATCATTGATGTGAACCCCATCGCAGAAAAGACGCCGACGACTTCGTCACAGATCATCCCAGAAGACATGATGCGGCAGATTATGAACATCATGGAGGACCACTACAAACTGCGCAAGCAGGGTCCGAGCCTTCGCGAAGGCTCCAACGTAGACAACACCCCAGAGGCACCCCCCGTCAACGTAGCAGCCAAGACGATGTCACCTTCGCGAAGGAAGTCCCGCACCACCTTGACGAAGGACCTAGATGTACAGCCTTCGCGAAGGCCTTCGCGAAGGCGGGAGAGATCATCAAACCTCAAGTGGCAGACTATTTGTGTTACCTACGCCAAAACAAACATTTAAAAGGTTCAACGATATCAACATATCTTGCCGCGCTTAGTTCTGTAATCACCATGAGAACGGGTGTCAAATTGACAAGATCTCCAGAGTTACTGGCCTTACTACGAGCTTTCCGATTGGAGGACCAAAAGCGGAAGTTCCACGCCCCCAGCTTGGGATCTGAATGTAGTGTTACAACACCTCACGAGTGAGGTCTATGAACCTTTGGAATCGACAAACTTTGAATTTCTCTCACAGAAAACACTGTTTCTGCTATCGCTAGCCACAGCAGCAAGAATGTCTGAAATTCACGCTCTGGATTACGAGAGGATACAGTTTGATGACAATCATAACACAGCGCACCTCGGATTAAGATGGGATTTCATCGCAAAAAATCAACTGCCAGGTCAACCAGACAGATTATTCCACATCCCGGCGCTATCCTCTATTTTCGGATCACAAGATACACAAGACCTATCACTGTGTCCGTAAGAGCTCAAAGTTTATTTACTGACGATCCAAAACAAGGAGAAGATTTCTCAAACGTTTATTCATCCCATTATCGCCTCTGAATCAAACAGAAGTGTCACGGACCACAATATCTATTTGGATAAGGACTGTCATTCTCCGTGCCTACAAGGCAGCAGGCTTGGACCCACCAACAGCATCAAATCCACATGAGATCAGGGCACTGGCCTCTACCCTCGCCCTACACGGTAACTGTTCCTTGAACACGATTATGGAAGGATGCTATTGGAAATCTAACATGGTATTTGCTAATCACTACCTAAGAGACATCACTACAGAAGATGTCTCTGGCATTCACCATTTCGGACCACTGGTCCTCGGCTCAGCAACTGACAGTCCCTCGTGAGGCGTTAAAATATTATCCTCACAAGATTAATATGTATTTTATACATACTCATCTAGCTTATAACTCTACGGAGTTTTAGGGCTATGTATATATGTTCAGCTTAAGTATTCAACCTTAAGCATATACTTGGATATAGTCAATTTCAGTGCCTCTATCAGAGTCACCTATATATATATATATAATTTTATATGTATTGTTCAATATATTCATAATGTAATTCCCCTTTAATGGCTTTATATAACCTATGGTTTCTTTATACAGGAAACATCCTAAATCTAAGCCTTCATGAAGTTCCCGTGAGGGGATATTACAGTATATCTATACAAAATCACTAATTATAAATCCAAAGTATTCTGTTACCCACCTCCGTTCATTAGGATGCTACAAGCAAAGAGCATGAGTCAGGATAAGGAAAAATATGTAATTTTAGAGTAAAATTGATATTTTATACTTATCCTGACTCATGAGGTTAGCCCTCCCATCCTCCCCACATAACACTTTGGATTTCCCCTGTAAATTCAAGTGTTGGGCTCGCTAAATCAGGAGAGAGTGGAGCACATGGCCAGAGGGTGGCGACACCTTTCCCGCCAGGGGAGACAAAGGGGAGCAACCGTGGTGAGTACCAATTAGTGATTTTATTTTGAAGGGAGCTTCAAATAAGGAGATACAAGTGTTCCACTATGTTCGCAAGAAGAAGAAGACAAGCAAAAGAGCATGAGTCAGGATAAGTATAAAATATCAATTTTACTCTAAAAATTACATTTTCTTCTCGTCTGATAGATTTTGTATCATCTGAAAATCAGTATTGGCTAATTGCTGAAATTTGGTACACCTTATTTTTATCCGATACCCATGTCTCAAACTGTTCAAAATTAACATTGAGGTATTTGGTTAGATAAATACATTGATGTACCCTCTATGTTTGTTTATGTCAAACAAGTTGTTTACTTAATGACTGATAAAACAGACGTAGTATTTTAACTTAAGCTTCACTCAAGTCTAATTTGGCAAGGAGACCTGTGCAGGAAACAGAATATGAATGCTATGTAATTTGCATTGCATGAGGAAATGTAATGTTGAGCACAGTGGTGAATACAATTATGGATATTGATCCTTATTCTGTTATATAGTTTTTGGAACCAAATCATGTTTGTTATCTGTTCCTTTAAATGTTACTTTGAAAATGACTTAATAATATAAAGTGGGCTCAAAGCATCCAGTGAGTTTAATATCATACAGCTTTATTTAACATATTGTAAAAAAAGTACTGCAAGATATGGTTTGGATTGTCACTAGCGTAAAGAAGTGAATGTGTTAATAATTTCTTTAGAGCCTGGAATGAATCATTGATCATGTAGACTTATGGATGAAATGATGCACGAAACTGCTCTGAAAGAAACAACCAAACACTTAGCGAAGTCATAGATGTTTTGTGGTACAATGAATAAAATTTTGCGTCCCTTCTGGACGCAGTGAATTGTTTTTCTGCGTCCATTCTCTACATTTGTGTGTACTGGACGCATATTTGCACATCATGTAAAACCCTGAACCAATGAGGCAATTTTAGAAACATCTGAATGAAAGCATGACCCTTTTTTATCAAGTACATATGGCACATATGATATTTCACTTATGAACAGTGTGAAACTAAAAGTTTGATACATATATTTGACTTAGTATGACAGAAATGGAAACTTGCATCAGCCGTGACCTGTCCTATCGGCTAGTACAATTTGGGTGTCAGTGCTACATTTTATCATTATTTCAACTGGTGGACATTCTTGGACATTCCTGCTTTATGATGGTGTATCGGGAAATGACTACTGTGTAACCATGGCATCTATCTGTTCTTCATACTCTCCATGAAAGTTCACAAGATATTTTCTCGATTGTCTTTTTCAGATAATGATTCGCAGTATATTCCTGTTCCTGGATAGGACATATGTACTTCAGAATTCTGCAATTCTTTCAATATGGTGAGTGTTAATGATTTTAAACGTATTTAGTTGACAATTCATCAAAGCAAAGTTCCATCAAGTTGTACTTTCCTGAGTCATGTACTAAGTGTTCAACCAGTGAAGATCCGGGTTACAACTGGTCTTTAGTAACCCATGCTTGTTGTAAGAGGCAATTATCGGGATCAGGTGGCCAGGGTTGCTGGCTTGGTTGACACGTGCCATCGTATCCCAATTGCATAGATTGATGCTCATGCTGTTGATCACTGGATTGTCAGGTCCAGACTCTTTTATATAGCTGAAATATTGCTGAGTGCAGTGTAAAGCTAAACTCACTCACTAAGTGTGCATATCTCAGTGTTCTCGAATAGTGTCTGACCCTCTGATAAATCCGGCAGATTCGCTAACGGTCCGATAGAAGTCTACAACCCACCGGGCCCCAGTGTCTGTCTGTATATTTCACAATGACTTTGACTGAAGTTGTTATGTTTGACATGTGACAATTGTTTGCTGTTTATTTTATCTTAGTTTTTCTTTAGTTTGTAAATAATTTCAATGCCAATTATAAGAAATGTTAAATCTGAAATGTGTGCTTAATTTTATTCCATGGGTCCTGTGAATTTTCAATGGGTCAGACAGACATCTTAAACTTACAGGACCCAATGTCCTGTTACTTTGAAACACCATTCGTGAACACTGATATCTGTTTTCAGGGATATGGGTCTTGATCTCTTCCGCGCCAACATTATCAGCCACAAGACAGTGGAGGCACGGACCGTTGACGGCTTGTTGAAGCTGATCGGAAGGGAACGCAATGGCGAGGCAGTTAACCGACAGTTGCTGAAAAGTCTCCTCAGGATGTTGTCAGATTTGCAGGTATGTAATGGTCCAACTACCTTATATTATTGAAGTTAATTGGCACAAGTTAAGGGGTAGAGATGACATACTGTCTCACATTAATTCCAGGTTCCCAGATTTGACTAGAAAATTTGTGAAAAAGAAATCTACATGTTATTTGTCTTCTATGTGCACTAATTTGGGGTCTCCTTACACTTGACACTGTGATATTGATAAAATAATGATGACTGTTAATATGTTCAGCCCAGCATGATGAAATACTGTTCAGTGTTTGAAAGTAAACATGGATGATGGAAATCAACTGGTTTGTCTTACCCTAATGTTGAAAGCTTGGTATTAATGGGCTCCCAAGATTTGTAGCCAGTGTGGATAATAAGGGGAGGTGCTTGGTCCTGGATGTTTCTGTAGTATTTATAACTTGGGGCCCCTTAATCTTTGATTTTCATCAAAAGGGCAGGTACAATGATCCTTTGAAGTCATGGTTTATTTGAACTTCTGGCAAATATCACAGTGAATTTCAACAAGGCCAGGATGCCGTCTAATTTTGGAAAATACTGTTCTGATGGCACCAAACTCACTCTTTGACTTATCTCTGCTTGTCACTTGCAGATCTACCATGATTCCTTTGAAAAGAAATTCCTGGACGCCACAGAACAGCTGTACGCAGCAGAGGGGCAGCAGCTGATGCAGGAGAGAGATGTAAGCACCTCTACCACATATACACATCTTCCTTACAGCTTTAGGGGCAGCAGGGTAGTCTAGTGGTTAAGCATTCGCTCATCACACCAAAGACCCAGGTTTGATTCCACATGTGGGTACAGTATGTGAAGCTCAGTTCTTGTGTTCCCTGCGGTGATATTGCTGGAATATTGCTAAAAATGTCATAAAACAATATTCACTCTCTCCAACTACTTAATGGTTTATATACACCATTTCATTCAAACTGCTCTGTTTTTTGCGCATCATCATATTGATGTCAGTACTTGGGACTCTGTGAAAGAATAGGTACCTGTACGCATGTTTGAAGCTGGGGTCAACTATACTCTGAAGTTGAGTGGTTGCCATAGTTACAGGTTTTTACTTGGTTAGGTGTCAACAGACTCCGATGTTGGTGAGCAAGCCCAAGACCATAAAATCGTGCTGATGAGTGCAATGATGAGGTCCTTACTGACTTCTATCAGTTGAGGGATGTTTTTCTGGAGCAGCTGACAGTGTTAATATGCTACAAGTTGAAGCTGAGAAATCTGTCAGAAAATGTAGTCAGTAAACATTTTAAGCTTGTTCATACAGAACAAGCAACAACCCGGATTTGATTGCCCACATGGGTACAATGTGTGTGGCCCATTCTGGTTTTCCCCGTCAAAAGCTGTGTAAAACCAGGGCTCCAGATAAGGGGCGTATGTGTGGATACAAAATATGCACGATACGTTGGGAAATAATTTAGAAAATGTAGCAGATACACACCCCAGCAATATGGTGTACGGTCTTAGAATCATTTACAGACGTATTTATCTGAAAGTGTATTTTTTTGGTGTGTATTGACCTGTTTACACAAGAGCAGCAATGTTGTGGTGCATATATGAAACGAAACACAAGATTACAGTACTGATCCGCCATTAATTTCCATTCTTTACTCTAAATGGACCCTTAAGTATATTTCCAGTACTCCTATATTGGAAAAAAAAGGAGTACATACTCCTGATCTTGACAAATTATCTTGAGCCCTGTAAAACTAAACTCGCTTACTCACTCACTAGGAACACACTCTGAACACCAGTGACATGAGTGTTTCACTTATCTGACTAGTCATCAAGAAAGCACCAGTGTTGAATGTGTGTGCTGTGAACTATGCAAGTTAGTTGACAATGTATTATATATCTGCAGGTGCCTGAATATCTTGCCCATGTGGACAAACGTCTCAATGAAGAAAACGAAAGACTCCTTCACTATTTGGACCAGTCAACAAAGTAAGATTCAGCTTGCAATACAAATAAACCGTTACACCTAAATATTTTCCTGGGTTGATGATATAAAAGTGAACCAGTTGTCACAATTTGTGAAAATGTTTCTAGATGTTTTTAGATTGTCTTGACTCTGCTGGATCAAGCCTGGAGATAATGAGGTCAGGTTGACCCAGTTAGAGGTCAGGTACATCTGTTCCTTACCCCATGCTTGCTGTAACAGGTGACTCACCAGTGAGTTAATCATAACTCATACTGTTAATTAGAGCTAGGAGACTTGCTTGATACCACCTGGCTAGGTCACCGCGACATTGCTCTCCACTATCTGTATCAACAATATCTATACATGTGCTGACATCTGTTACTTGAATCCAATTATATCAGTCCAAGATTGAGGACCTATTACTTGACCAAAGTGTATTTGGCTATAGGAATAAAATTAACTATTTTATGTATTGATATGATAAGCCTCATCTCAATATACGCTTTAGTGTACTGTTTCAGTTGTATCAGCCCACCCCCCCCACCCCCAATCCCCACATGGACCTATGTCAGTTTTATAACATCTTGTTACTCAAGCACAACATGTAAAAAAACAGATCCGTTTGTTATAAAAAAAGCAAGAGCTTCCACCCGGATAGTTTAAATGGGGGGCGGTGGGGTAGCCTAGTGATTAAAGCGTTGGCTCGCCTGACGAAGACCCGGGTTCGAATCCCCACATGGGTACAATGGGTGAAGCCCATTTCTGGTGTCTCCCGCCGTGATGTTGCTGGAATATTGCTAAAAGCTGCGTAAAACCAAACTCAGTCAGTCAGTTTAAATGGTTTATTACTGAGGCAACAGTTTGATAAAGTAAGGGACTGTTCATTATTTAGTGGGGGTTGGGGGGTGATGATTTTCATAGGGAGGCATGTACTATGTGAATGACCCACTGCTAAATTTTATGTACAAAGTAAATGACCCCCCTGCATATCATGCACAAAATCAATGACCACCCTTCTACATGTGAACAAAACTGATGACACCCCTACCTCCCCAGAACAAAATGGGTGACCCTCCCTTAAAATCATCATCATCCCCCCTTAGCCATGAATTATGAACAGTCCCTAACTGACTACCATGAGTACAATGATATATCCATGTATTTTCATTTGCTTTTCCGCCAGTTGTACAATATTAATGAGAATCTAAAAATGCCAGTGGCATTGTCAATAGTATGAATATAAATCTTGTTTCACTAGTTGCTGTAAATTATGTATAAGAAACAGTCATATTTCAAACATACCCCATGTTGATCAGCAAGGATTACAGCTATAAATTAGAGTTACTTCCCTTTGGTAACAGAGGGAATCTGCTGACTTTGCCAGTTTTATTCATTCATCGTTAGTTGATTAACCATGTTAATACTATCCCAACACAGGTTTATATCTTTCATGATTCTATTTGTATTGTGTTGCAGTAGTTGAATCATGTGAGGTAATATTGTGGTAATAGTAATAACAGCCGCTGCAGCCAGCCTGCGCAATGGCGGGATTACTGCTAATTGTACTTACCTTGGCACTTTATGTATAAATGTATGCGCCATTGTTGGCGCAAGTTTATAATTTATAACACCTTTCCATATACCGGGCACATAAATGAATACATTATACGTTTAATGAATAACAACTTCTTTTTCATTTTATTCACAATGTTTCAGAGCTAATTCTTGCCCCTCAATGAGGTGAATGCTGATGAAGGAGCAAGAATTAGCTCTGAAACATTGTGAATAAAATGAAAAAGAAGTTGTTATTCATTAAACGTATAATGTATTCATGCTCATCCAACTTCTAAATGCCTTTCAAAAACTTCGATTGGACGTGTAATCAATTTCAAAATACTACTATTTTCATTGAAGGCGATGTCAAACATTCGGAAATCAAAATCAAAATATTGAAACTTCCGGAATTCAAAACGAGGCTTCCTAAGCTCTGCACATTGCTAGTATGTCTATTTGCATACAAAAGTGTAATATGAACTGCTGTAAGGAGCTTGTTTCGATGTACTTGATGTACAGTTTTTCATCAAATCGGTTTGGTTGTCAAAATGTCAAATTGAAGGACTTTTCACTTTTAGTTATTGGCCCACATTTTCTAAAGGTCATTTCTCGTGAGGAAATCCTGGTTGTAGTACTGACCATATGACTGTGTTATTGTAGGAAGGCTTTGGTGATGTGTGTGGAGAGACAGCTGCTGGAACAGCATCTACACCAGATACTGCAGAAAGGTGAGTATGTCCTTCATCAACTACCCGCCTCCGTGGTGTAGTGGTTAGAGCGTCCGCCCAGAGTGCGGAAGGTCGTGGGTTCGATCCCCGACTGCGCCATACCAAAAGACGTTAAAATATGGTACTTGTTGGTCCCTGCCTGGCGCTCGGCATTAATGGGTACAGCAAGGACTGGTTGGCTTGGAGTCAGACTAATGTGTCTGAGTGGGGTATTCATGCTTCACTGCGGCATGGCATCAGTGGGCTTGCACTATAAAACCAGCTTTATTCTGGGCTAGTACAAGCAGCCGCACATACACATACACACGCATGCACGTCGTCATATGAGCGAAATATTCTCAAGCACGACGTTAAACCCAATTCCACTACCACCATCACCTTCATCAACTTTACCCCTGGGGAGTCAAGTCTGTCATTTCATGTTGGATTAACTCCTCCAGGAGCAGGAAGACATTCTACAAAGCAATTGTAGGGCTACGGCTGTCATAATTCTAGGGACCCGTGAAGATCCGGGTTAGAATTGGTCTTCAGCAACCCATGCTTCTTGTAAGAGGCGACTAACAGGATTGGGTGGTCAGTGTGCTGAATTGGTTGGTATCAGTCATGGTACAAACCTCTCTCACTCACTCACTCACTCACTCACTCACTCACTCACTCGCTTGTGATGCAGTGGGGTAGCCTAGTGGTTAAAATGCCAAAGACCCGGTGTAACAGGCCAAACTTTCCCCCTGGCCAAACCTTCCCCGGGGAAACTTTAGCCTAGGCCAAACTTCCGCTTTCCTCTTTCTCCCTCTCCTCTTTCTTCCCCTTCCCCCCCAGCTTAATCTTCCCCGGGCCAAACTTTCCCACCCATGAATCAACTTTAAAGGCTACTTGTTTCCCATCCTTGTTCTTATATCAAAAGGGGGAGATTCTGGCCTAGCTAGGCTATTTCTTCCCAAACCTTGTTTTCATGTTTATTTTTGTCTTGCAAAAAGTCAGAAACGAAAACAAGACATAGCTATTCTCGTGAACACATTCATAACATATTCATGTTGATCTCAAGTTCCATTAGCAATTTACAGGTCATCTAAATACCCAGTTTTTACTTGGATGTCCATGTCCATTCTAAATCTTATTCCCTCACTCATGACTTTAAATATGGCATCCATGTCGGCGACATCAACTTAACAGTTGGAAGCAGATGTAAACATCAACACAACAACAACCCAACACAATATCTGTATCAAATGCTGTATCATGTATCATACCACTATATTGCCTTATTCTATATTCAAAAGACAAGGTTTGAAAAGGTGTATACTTGGCCCATGGATATCTGAATCATGTTTCATTCACCCAAAGTGATTATGGATTAGTAAACAAGCTTATGTTAATAATGTTCCATTACATTTACACTTACATACAAAAAATATTAGATAATTAATAACAGCATGATAAGAGAGCAAGCAACCTGTGTATATTACATGTTATTTACCCATCAAATGTGCGATTGAATGTTTACATCTTATGGTGGACAGATGAAGAACTAATGCAATGTGTCTTCATAGGAATGGCAGCAGGAGCAGGATAGATTTAGAGATGTATGCCGTTCAAACATGTACCTATGCATTCAAATCACTACACCGAAGTCAGAGACAAAAATGGACTATTTAGCAAAAATGTGTACCAAAATATAAGTCAAACCTACTGTAGGTTTATAAGAGCAAGGGTAGGGAAGAAGTAGCCTGGCTCGGCCAGAATCTCCCCCTTTTGATATGAGAGCAAGGGTGCGGAAGAAGTAGCCTAGCTAGGCCAGAATCTCCCCCTTTTGATATGAGAGCAAGGGTGGGGAAGAAGTAGCCTAGGTAGGCCAGAATCTCCCCTTTTGATATGAGAACAAGGGTGGGGAAGAAGTAGCCTGGCTCGGCCAGAATCTCCCCCTTTTGATATAAGAGCAAGGGTGCTGGGGAAGAAGTAGCCTAGCTAGGCCAGAATCTCCCCCTTTTGATATGAGAGCAAGGGTGGGGAAGAAGTAGCCTAGCTAGGCCAGAATCTCCCCCTTTTGATATGAGAGCAAGGGTGGGGAAGAAGTAGCCTAGCTAGGCCAGAATCTCCCTTTTGATATGAGAACAAGGGTGGGGAAGAAGTAGTCTAAGTAGGCCAGAATCTCCCCCCTTTTGATATAAGAGCAAGGGTGGGGAAGAAGTAGCCTAGCTAAGCCAGAATCTCCCCTTTGATATAAGAGCAAGGGTGGGGAAGAAGTAGGCTAGGTAGGGCAGAATCTCCCCCCTTTTGATATAAGAACAAGGGTGCGGGAAGAAGTAGCCTAGCTAGGCCAGAATCTCCCCCCTTTTGATATAAGAGCAAGGGTGGGGAAGAAGTAGGCTAGGTAGGGCAGAATCTCCCCCCTTTTGATATAAGAACAAGGGTGGGGAAGAAGTAGCCTAGCTAGGCCAGAATCTCCCCCTTTTGATATAAGAGCAAGGGTGCGGAAGAAGTAGCCTAGCTAGGCCAGAATCTCCCCCTTTTGATATGAGAGCAAGTGTGGGGAAGAAGTAGCCTAGGTAGGCCAGAATCTCCCCCTTTTGATATGAGAGCAAGGGTGGGGAAGAAGTAGCCTAGCTCGGCCAGAATCTCCCCTTTTATCCCCATAGCGTTTTGGGGGTATTAAAATGGACTCCGATCCGTCCGTCCGTCCGTCTGTCTGTCCGTCCGTCCGTCCGTCCGTGCACATTTGTCTTTTCCGGAGCAGAACTCTAAAACCGTTCAATATTTCTTCACCAAACTTGGCACATACATGGATCTGGTGGTGTACTGGTGCCTTTTGGTAGTTTTGGAATTCTGAATTAAATATTTTTGGCGTTTCCATGGCAACAAGTTCGACTTTGACTGAAATTGGTGGTAGTGCTCTTTTCCGGAGCATAACTCTAAAACCGTTCACTATTTCATCACCAAACTTGGCACATAGATAGATCTGGTGGTGTACTGGTGCCTTTTGGTAGTTTTGGAATTCTGAATAAAATATTTTTGGCGTTTCCATGGCAACAAGTTCGACTTTGACTGAAATTGGTGGTAGTGCTCTTTTCCGGAGCAGAACTCTAAAACCGTTTAATATTTCTTCACCAAACTTGGCACATAGATAGATCTGGTGGTGTACTGGTGCCTTTTGGTTGTTTTGGAATTCTGAATAAAATATTTTTGGCGTTTCCATGGCAACAAGTTCGACTTAGACTGAAATTGGTGGTAGTGCTCTTTTCCGGAGCAGAACTCTAAAACCTTTCAATATTTCTTCACCAAACTTGGCACATACATGGATCTGGTGGTGTACTGGTGCCTTTTGGTAGTTTTGGAATTCTGAATTAAATATTTTTGGCGTTTCCATGGCAACAAGTTCGACTTTGACTGAAATTGGTGGTAGTGCTCTTTTCGAGACATAACTCTAAAACCGTTCACTATTTCATCACCAAACTTGGCACATAGATAGATCTGGTGGTGTACTGGTGCCTTTTGGTAGTTTTGGAATTCTGAATAAAATATTTTTGGCGTTTCCATGGCAACAAGTTCGACTTTGACTGAAATTGGTGGTAGTGCTCTTTTCCGGAGCAGAACTCTAAAACCGTTTAATATTTCTTCACCAAACTTGGCACATAGATAGATCTGGTGGTGTACTGGTGCCTTTTGGTTGTTTTGGAATTCTGAATAAAATATTTTTGGCGTTTCCATGGCAACAAGTTCGACTTTGACTGAAATTGGTGGTAGTGCTCTTTTCCGGAGCAGAACTCTAAAACTGTTCACTATTTCTTCACCAAACTTGGCACATAGATACATCTGGTGGTGTACCTGTGCCTTTTGGTAGTTTTGGAATTCTGAATAAAATATTTTTGGCGTTTCCATGGCAACAAGTTTGACTTAGCCTGAAATTGTGGTAGTGCTCTTTTCCGGAGCTGAACTCTAAAACTGTTCACTATTTCTTCACCAAACTTAGCACATAGATTGGTGTGGTGGTGTACTTGTGCCTTTTGGTAGTGTTGGAATTCTGAATAAAATATTTTCTGCGTTTCCATGGCAACAAGTTTGACTTAGACTGAAATTGGTGGTTCTGCTCTTTTCCGGAGCATAACTCTAAAACCATTCACTATTTCTTCACCAAACTTGGCACATAGGTAGATCTGGTGGTGTACTTGTGCCTTTTGGTAGTTTTGGAATTCTGAATAAAATATTTTTGTCATTTCCATGGCAACAAATTTGACTTAGACTGAAATTGGTGATAGTGCTCCTTTCTGAAGCAGAACTTTCAAAACCTTTCAATACTCTCCTTCCACTTTTCTATATACACACCTAAATATTTGACATAATCATAACTAGTAGACATAATCATGAAGAGTATTTTGCCATTGCGGGGGATATTGATGACTTTGTCTTCTTGTTGATATAAGAGCAAGGGTGGGGAAGAAGTAGGCTAGGTAGGGCAGAATCTCCCCTTTTGATATAAGAACAAGGGTGGGGAAGAAGTAGCCTAGCTAAGCCAGAATCTCCCTTTGATATAAGATGGGGAAGAAGTAGGCTAGAGCATATAAGGGTGGGAAGAAGTAGCCTAGCTAGGCCAGAATCTCCCCAGAATCTCCCTTTGATATAAGAACAAGGGTGGGGAAAGAAGTAGCCTAGCTAGGCCAGAATCTCCCCTTTGATATAAGAACAAGGGTGGGGAAGAAGTAGCCCAGCTAGGAATCTCCCAACAAGAAGTGGGGAGCCTAGCTAGGCCAGAATCTCCCCTTTGATATAAGAGCAAGGGTGGGGAAGATGTAGCCTATATAAGAACAAGGGTGGGGAAGGTAGCCAGAATCTCCCCTTTGATATAAGAACAAGGGTGGGGAATGAAGGCCAACCTAGAACAAGTAGGGGAAGAAGTAACCTAGAAATCTCCCCACTTTTCATAGAAAACAGAACAAAATATCCTAGTTTAAATAAGAGGGAAGGGGGGGGGTGTGTGTTTGGCCTAGTGGGGAAAACTTTTGACTAGCCGAAACTTTCCCCGGGGTAAGATTATCCTAGGACAAAACCTCCCCGGGGACAGTTTGGCCTAGGCCAGATTCTCCCCGGGGAAAGTTTAGACGGGGAAGAAATGGCCTGCTACACCGGGTTCAATTCCCCACATGGGTAATACAATGTGTCATGTCCATTTCTGGTGTCCCCCGCCATGATATTGCTGGAATAAAGCCATATTTACAACCAGGGGCTGTTTCTCCCTCTGTCATCATAACCTCTCTATTCAGCTTACCTGGAGTCAGTTTGATTAGAAAGTACTTAGCAGTGTCTTACAATTTGTGATTGTAAGACGTTTGATTGTATTTCTCTTCAGGTTTAGATCAGCTTCTAGACGCCAACAGGATACCAGACTTGACTCTGCTGTACCAGCTTTTCAACCGGTTCCGGGATGGTCTGCGACAACTGTTCGTGTCGTTTGGACTCTATATCAAGGTCAGGTTACATTCTGTTCAGGGGCGGTGGGGTAGTCTAGTGGTTTAAGTGTCCGCTCATCACACCGAAGACCTGGGTTTGACTCACCACATAGCTACTGTATGTAGGGCTGGATATTGCCCTGATTCTCATATTGCGATATATTGCAATAATTCAAGAGATATTGCAATACATATTGTGATATATTGACTGGAAGGTTTCTGTGCAAATGTGTACATCACAAATTCATAATAGCTCTCTGTGTGCGACATCATCTTCTTAGTTGCTGTTACACCGTATGTTCAGGCTTCCTGTCCCCATTGTGTATGGGTGTATGCCAGTGGTGTACAGATATATGATAGAGAGCCTTAATGTGGAATGTTTCATTGAAGTAACTGTATTGCAACAAAGTTTTGCAAACATAATGATAAAGGTAATAGTATAACATGATTTTCATGGTCAGTGTTGTTTGCTTCAACAGAATGCACTTCAATGCAGTATGTGTTTATTGCTACTCTATGTCAGTGATTCATTCAGAGTCAACTCCAATATAAACACGTGTTAACATGAACTGTTTTAAAATGAAACAAAAACATGATTTAGGTGAACTACTTGAGCTTAATATCTCATGTGACCTCCAGTAATTAAGATCTTTGACTAGAATGTCATTATATAGTCATACAAGATTTATAACACTTTGGCCTTTATCATAAATTGATAACATATGTCCCATTATGAAACAAAACAAAAATATCAAAATAATGTGAATTGTGGTCACTCCAGTAGCTCTACTTATAAGTCCAAATAGAAAATTGGTCAAATATTTGAAGGGCATTTAGAAGTGAAATGCATAGGAAAGCAAGATTTATTGATGTCAACTTTTGTATTTGTGATTATTCATGACCTAATGAAGGTGCAGGCATACACTCCGAATTGTTGTGTTATTCACAACAATAAGTTGACATCCATAAATCTTGCTTTTCATAAAAGATTGGTCCGTTTGAGGCCACTTAATTCCTCCAAAACGTCACATATGAAGATATTTAAACCCCCCAAACTTAAAGCATTTGGTAGAATATTTGGCACTTTTGCAGCCACTTATAAAGACACTTCCACTTGTAAAATGTTACATGAAAAAGAAAAGAAACAAAAGTATATTTGGCACTTTTAGAGCACATTATGTTGCTATGGAAATCAAGGGCAGATAATTCAAAGGGAGATAACTCTGGATGACCCAATATATTGCAGAATCTGAACCATATCGCGATAATCGTATCGCGATACTTTACTGGTAATATTGCACAGCCCTAACAGTATGTGAAACCCATTCTTGGTGTCTGCCGCCATGATATTGCTGAAATATTGCTAAAAGCAGGATAAAAATAAATGGACTAATTCAGTTCTCAGGGTTTTACACAGACTTTGGAAAAAGAGAGTCATGGTGACTCAGTATTTAATTATGGGAGTCATTTTCAATATTAGGGAGTCATGAAAATTTCAGTGTGATATTTATGTGTGTATATCAAAATTTTATTGTTTTCTGTTGTATTGTCATTTATATGTTAGTTAATAAATAGTATATTTTTCACAGTTCATTTCAGTCATAACAAACTGCAGTATACTGAAAAAAAAATAATCAGGCTTGTGATTTATTCACTGTAACTTACGGTTATTAACATGAATTGAAAGAAATATCTAAATCAATGAAGATCTCACGAAAACTATCATTGTTTGCTGATCAAATCGATTTTAATGAACCAAATTCTGAGGGTTACTCATAAAACTTGCGTCTAGCTTGACTCTTATGATAATATTTTGAGAGTCTTTTACACAATTGTTGCGTCAAATACGCAGGAATCACGCGTCATGTAAAACCCTGAGTTCTGTTGTTCATCCCTGATGATATTAGCTAAAATAAGCTACATCAAAGACAACCCATTCATGGATCATAAAGCTTACAAGACACCAATAACTTTCCTGAATCACCTGTGTGAAGCATTGTAGAGTGCATACTTCAGCGGTTGACCCTCACCCTGTCTGCAATGCTTGTCGTACTACTTCGTGTTCATTGCTTTCACGTTGTATATAATGCACAAATTTGTCCACAGTTGAGTTTATTAAACATTTATTGTCTTGTTTACGCAAGAAGTTAGACAAGGTACGACGTGATAACAAAAGCTATGCTGGGAGGGTTGGTTCTCAGTCATCAAATCGTGAGTTGCAGTAATAACTGTGGAGGGGGCAATAACTTTTGAGCAAGAAGGTTTACATGGAGATATCCTTGATTAGAATTAAATTAGATTATATAAATATACCCTTGACTGGTGTGTGGTTGTGTGTTGTCTCACTTGGCAATGTGTACAACCACACAGAAGTCATGATACTTGAGTCAGGTGAAGTGGAGATGAGATGATGACATTGAACATGCTGTAAAGTTTATTGTTATGTCCAAGAAAAAATACCTCAGTGGATGAGAAGTGGTCAAATGTCAATTTTACAGAATGCCATATTGACCAAGTCAGGTCTGTTAATACAAGGTATTGACTTGATTTGCTAGAAATAGAATGGGAATTTCCTGGATGTGCCAGATGTTTCCGTTTGACAGGTACTCCTGATGTTAACGTAAAACATAGATTTTATACTTTCATTCTGACTTTGTCTGTATTGTACTAGAAAATGATAATAGATGCTATATGAGTTAAAAGCAGGTTTTTTATGGATCTAGACGTCTTCCTTCTTGTGAGTTCTGTATGTTGCCCAATAATAATGGCACTGACCTCCTAAAGGGGCGGTGGGGTAGCCTAGTGGTTAAGGCGTTCGCTTGTTATGCCAAAGGCCCACGTTCCATTCCCCACATTGGTACAATTAGTGGTGTCCCCTGCCGTGATATTGCTGGAATATTGCTCAGGGCTTGATTTAGTGCTTTGTTACTTGCACTGGTGCAACTCAATATTACAAAGTGCAATCTAGTTATTAGTCTAACTTGCACCAAGTGCAGCCAAAATTTTTAATGGGTAAACTCTGAATAAAACATATTTCTTATATAACATATTGCAATAAAAGCAGTACAACTGGAATCTGGCTGGTGCAACTAGGTTTTTGTCTTAGGTTGCCCCTGGTGCTAGTAGGTTATCATCTCTTAAATCGAGCCCTGTTGCTAAAAGCGGCGTAAAACCATATTCACTCACTCACCTCATAAAGTCTATAATTGCATAGTCCTGGCGGCTGTAAGTATTTACTCTCTTTACAGAACACTGGGCGAGTGATAGTTGTCAACCAGGAGAACGATGCAGACAAAGACAAAGACATGGTACAGAGCTTGTTAGGTGGGTGATGCTTGGGTGGAGTTTTTAACTTGTGACATTTGTGCTAGACTTTTACAGTTCCAGTGTTGCGTGATGCCAAGCCTTACTAGGTTCGATGTAATGTTGATGTGTGATGTCCATGTGCTGTATTTAATTATGCCATGTAATGTTCACATGACATGCGACCCGTGTAGGTCCGGGTTAGAATGAACCTTCAGTAACCTATGCTTGTCGTAAGAGGTGACTAACGGGATCGGGTGGTCAGGCTCGCTGGCTTGGTTGACACATGTCATCGGTTCCCAATTATGCAGATTGATGCTCATGCTGTTTATCACTGGATTGTCTGGTCCAGACTCGATTATTTCCAGACCGCCGCCATATAGCTGGAATATTGCTGAGTGTGGTGTAAAACTCAACTCACTCACTTGTATGAAATGCGGGGCGGTGGTTTAATCTAGTGGTTAAAGCATTTTTGCTTGTCATGCCGAATAACCGGGTTCGATTCCCCACATGGGTACAATTTGTGAAGCCCATTTCTTGTGTTCCCCGCAGTGATATTGCTGGAATATTGCTAAAAACGGCATAAAACCATACTCGGTCAGTCAGTCATATGACATGCAGATATGTGATGTTCATATGATGTCATGAAGGTGTGTCATGTAGATGTGACATCATTCATACTCCATTGGTATTATCAAAATAAGACTTCAAGAAATGTCCATTTTACTAGCAATTTGCATCATCACAGAGTTTCGATCATCACAGAGTTTCGATCACATGGTTGCTATCTGGTTATTTATATCTGGATCAGTATTCGTGTTTTATTTAGCTGTTTGTCTTGTACAAGGTTATCAGTGCTATATGTGCATTGTAAGCATGAACAAAACAGAAGTGGTATAGTATCAAACACATTTTCTTTCTTTGGTTCCACCTTAAGACTGCGAATATTGTTTCAGATTTCAAGGATAAGATTGACAACATAATCAGCACATGTTTTGGTCGTAATGACAAATTTATCAATGCAATGAAGGATAGCTTTGAAAACTTCATCAACCAAAGACAAAACAAGCCAGCCGAACTTATAGGTGAGTAACAACTGATGGAAGATATTTCCTCTACTTCTTGGAGGCTTTTGTAGAATGCATAAAGTCCTTTTGCTATTCTTACCCAAGATTTCAGGTTCACAACTTCTGTTGTGTCTGAGTTAGAACTGGCCATGAGCAACCAATGGTTATTGTTAGGGCCAAGTGACAGGATCGGGTTGTCCGGCTCAGTGATGTTGGGTCAATGCATCTGTCTAATTGTGTTGATAAATGTTCATGATGTCAGTCACCTGACTGTCTGGTCTACACTTGATTATTGACATCCCTTGTAAAATGGCTGGAATATTGGCTGAGCACAGCATTTACCAACAAACGAAACAAACAACCTCAGTGGGATTCAGGATGCTCCATTTATCAGGGGAAACGAGCAACTTCCGCCCATGATGTTTGAGCAGCAGCAGCATCCACAACAGGATGGATTGTTGTTCATGGATCACTGATTTACCTGGTCCACAGTATTTAGTGATGCAGTGATATAGAGTAGGGATGGCACGATACATAAGTTTCATGAATCGATACGTATCACAATACCCATGTCACGATTCGATACGTATCATGATACCAATTTTCGCGGTATTGTTGTGTAAATTTAGTTATATTTTGAACATTAATATTTCATACTTAAAATATGTTGATCTTTACATGGACAATTATAATTCTCAGAGATTAAAAAGTTCTAATTTCCAAACTTTGTGCATGAAATATAATCATTTATAACTCTCATAACATCAAGAAACATGATACAATTGCAAAATGTAAACGATACATAGGCATATTTAAACCAATAGTTTCAAAACTAAATGTCAATACAGTTTTGAATGTATCAATAATTGTATTGTCTTAGAAAAAGTATCGATGTATCAATTTATCATGGCATCCCTAGTATGGAGTATTAATGTGGAGTTAAACATTCACTACCTTCACCTGTTATCTCACATCTACATACTTTTGTTTCAGCAAAATATGTGGACTCGAAGTTAAGAGCAGGAAACAAGGTTTGTCTTTATACCTTTTGTTGTATAAACTGCAGTAAGAAATTGTCTTCTGATTAACCAGTTTGAACAAAGATGTTATGTAAAAGTAATATAGACAGTAGTGAAGCTTGATTTGGAACCCATTGGTGTACTGTGTTAGTATCAGTCCCTAGCAACAATTGTACCCGTGAAGATCCGGGTTAGAATATGTTTTAGCAACCCATGCTTGTCGTAAGAGGCTACAAACAGGATCGGTTGGTCAGGCTCGCTGACTTTGTTGACACATTATATCCCAATTGCATAGCTCAATGCTCATAAAGTTGATCAAAGGATGGTCTTGTCAAGGTTTGATTATTTTAAGACTGACGCCATATAGCTTGAATATTGCTCAGTGTGACATTAAACAAGAAACAAACAACAAGCAACCATCGCTGGTCATGAGACAATTTCAGAAAGTTGATTGATTGCAAGTCATTGTACAGAAAGAAAGTGGATTGTTGCTTACACTAATACTATTAAACCCTGGATTGTCTGGTCGAAACGTGATCTTATAGATGGAATGTTAAACAACAAAACATAACAGATATTTATTCTATTTTGTTCCCCAGGAAGCAACTGAGGAAGAGTTGGAAAGACTTCTAGACAAGATCATGGTGCTCTTTAGGTTCATTCATGGTAAGCAGTGTTGCTTGTAAGGAGAGCAGTTTTGTTAAATGCCGCGCAACGTTAACAGTTGACATTCTCTACATTCTGGGTTAGAAATACTTTTTTCCTAAGTGTGCCTTAGGGCACCAGACAAATATTTTAGGTGTGCCTTTCAGAAATCAAGTGTGCCCACATGTTTTTAGAATAAATGACAATGATGGTGATCATTTGAATTTTATTTTGAAATAAAGAAATGGGTTTATGAGCATTCAAATATGTATGGTATTATTAAATTTGGACAAAAATAATTGCTTGGGGGATTAAATGACTAAATGTGAGTTATGTCTCTAAAAAAAATAGGCATGTCAAAAAGGCACTGAGAACATTTCTTAACCGTGCTATTTCAATATTTACCGTGCCATGGCACACTAATATATGGGGTATTTCGAACCCTGACATTGATTCAGTCTAACTGATCAAGTCATACACGACCTGTGTTTTACACTGAAAGGACAAACAAAATACCCTCCTTTAATTTCTAAACACACAGCATTCCCATATTTGCTGTACATTCTTGGAGACAGTGGGGTGGCCTAGTGGTTAAAGTGTTTGTTTGCCATGGCAAGGACCTGAGTTCGAGTCCCCACATTGGTACAATGTGTGAAGCCTATTTCTGGTGTCCCCTGCCATGATTTGGCTGGAATGGTGTTAGATAATCAGTATCATTACATAGATGTAACATTGATTAGATTAATGCTCATGATGTCAATCACTGGATTGTCTGGTCCATACTTGAATATTTACATATCAGCATCATATAGATGGAATATTGTTGAGTGCAGCCTAAATCACTAAACAAAAGTATTATTTTAGTGTATAGTTTCTCGCTACACTGAAATAATACTTTTGTTCAGTATAAAAAAGCAGCAATTTTTATATTTTCAGGGAAGGATGTGTTTGAAGCTTTCTACAAGAAAGACCTAGCAAAGCGTCTTTTAGTTGGAAAAAGTGCATCAGTAGATGCAGAGAAGTCCATGTTGTCAAAACTTAAACAAGGTACACATTCCTCTGTTCAGAAATATGTATGATTTTTTGCATATCATTGCTATATCTTTTTATGAAGTCGTTTTGAACAAATTTGTCTTATGAAAATGGTGTTCTTTTTAGTTTCATAATTTATTATTGTTATTGTTGTTGGGATTACACACAGGGAGTATAGGTTAGGGAGAATAGATCGTCAGCAACCTTCAGAAGATATATGTTGTACAAGGTGACGATATGGAGGAGTGGTCAGACACTATCACTATTTATACGGGCGGTGGGGTAGCCTAGTGGTTAAAGCGTTGGCTCGTCATGCCGAAGACCCGGGTTCGAATTCCCACATGGGTACAATGTTTGAAGCCCATTTCTGGTGTCCCCCGCCGTGATGTTGCTGGAATATTGCTGAAAGTGGCGTAAAACCAAACTCAGTCAGTCAGTCAGTCAGTCACTATTTATACACTGCAATGTCGAATGTTTCTCATAATATAAACCTGTGAAAATATGGGTTAGAATTAATCTTCAGTAATCCATGTTTGTAGTAAGAGGCAATTAAAAGGATCAGGTGGTCAGACTTGCTGACTTTTGACATGTCATTGTATTCCAATTGCATAGATCGATGCTCATGATGTTCACATGGCAGGGGTGGAAATAACTTTAAAATTGCTAGTGTACTCCCGGTATAGTGGCACATGTAAAATCACTTGCCCTGATCATTTTTCCACTATACCGGCCGTTTTCTTGTTGCATTTTTAAATAAACAACATTATTAACATTGGAAAGTCAACTGGACACCGATACAGCGTGATATACAAATTTGCTTGCCCGACAGAAAAAAACACTTGAGTCGGATGTCGGGCAATGGGTTATTTCCACCCCTGCATGGGATTGTCAAATCCAGACTTGATTATTTACAGATTGCTGTCACATAGCTGGAATATTGCTGAGTGCGGTATAGCTGAAACAAACTGTGTTGACAAACTTGAGTACTTAAAGCTCTCTATCATATTATAACTGAAAACATACCGAGTAGCTTGGAGGTTCGGGGATCAAGCTCACCTGTGACCGGGCATAAAAAACCTTGAAGTCAACTTTGTGTGCAGACTCTTTCAGTGTTGTCACAACCTCTAATGTACAGTACACAACCCTGTGCACTTAAAAGAACCCACCAGATGGTGGCCACATGAATACGTGCATACAGCTAGTTGCGGGTATTAGTCCAGGAGGAGAATCTCAAAAGAGGCCTAGAAATAGGATTTCGTAGCCTCCCCAGTACTGATTTTGTTTGACACTATTTTCAGTTAGTATGATGTCTTGGGCTCATGAAAAGGCCTGTAATACTCTCAGATTGTGGTATCAGGTTTTTTTTTTACAGGCCATTATATGTGGTGGGGGTCTGCGAGCCATTTCGTCACATTTCGTTTGCTCCCCGACCACACCTCAAAGTTAATCATTAATAGTTTTACTACTATCAATCTGATCACTTTCATTTTGACTTTTGTGTACTGCTAAAGGATGTAGAAATTATTTGACATAATTTTGTTTTGAAAAAAAAATCAAAATGGCCGCCGTTTTGTCCGCCATTTTGTTTTGTCGTGTTTTGCCTTCTCAGCACTTCAATCTACATAAAAATGAACACTGAATGTTTCCATTTACATCCAAAGTTGATACTTTTGATGTGTTTTGACACTTGTTTCTCCTAGAGTGATGGCTTGGGCACAAAACAAGTCATTTGGTTGGTCATATCGTGGTAATTTAATGTTTTACGGCTCATTCTTTGAGTCAGGGGTATTTTTTGCAATTCTCCGACTTTTCATGGAAATGTGTGAGAGTGATTTATTTAAAGGCAGTTAACATTATTTTTGTTACTAAAACAAGTTCTTTTTGTTTTCTCTTTACTTCTAGAGTGACAGCATATTATTAGGGATTTTTATATATTACCCAGAATTCAAAATGGCTGCCAAAATGGCCGCCATTGTAGTTTAACTACATATACTTATTGGAAGACTAAATTTGTACTGATATGAAATCCAAACATATCATTTGGTGTCTAATGTTTAATACAGTATAGGAATAGAGCTAAATTTCAATGATAGGGTCAGTCAAAGCTTCACATTCCTAAAATATTTGATGAAATAACATTATCCAAAAGTGTTTGAAAACTATGCTTCATGGCCAATAACTACGTCTAAGCTTTGGTTGTAGGTATTCAAATTGTTCTATCAGATAACTCTTAATCACTTTTGATACATCCATAAGCTTGCAATTAACCCTCCTTTTCACTTTCTTTCATTTCATATGTTACTTCATGTCAGAATCGGACCTGTAGAGATCCGGGTTAGAATTGATCTTCAATAACCCATGCTTGTCGTAAGAGGTGACTAGCTGGATCTAGTTGTCTGGCTCGCTGACTTGGTTGAGTCATGTCATCGTATCCCAATTGCGCAGATTGATGTTCATGCTGTTGATCCCTGGGTTGTCTGGTCCAGACTCGATTATTTACAGAAGACCGCCATATAGCTGGAATTTTGCTGAGTGCGGTGTAAACCTAAACTCACTCACTCACTCATGTCAGAATCGGAGTCATCTACTGGCAACAAGTCAAAGGTGTTCAGGCAACAATCATCTGCCATACAAAAAGACATGCCTATGTGCACACTATATCATTCTTTCTGCTGGCATGATGACTTTTTGCTTTTACACGATGTCAGTTCAACTAATCCATGGGGGAGCAGGATCTCTCGACATCAGAATAGGGATAAGCTGACCATCACTTATGCTCCAACCATGGTCAACTGGTGAAGGAATGTTCATGATTGGTTGCAGAGACTGTTTCCAAACATGGACTTTGTAGGTTACTCGTTCAATGTGATGTTTTAGACTGTTGGATGTTGGTTGGAGGTTTTCATTCAATATCTTGTGTCATCTACAGACTACTGGATTATTTGGTACATGAAATAGAACTCACAAACTGGCCACAAGATGTAATGAGTGTTTCTTGAACATCCAAATTGTCATCCATTTGTTGTGTGAAGCTTCTCATCCCTGGGCTTTACAGCCTTTTTGAGAATCAATGTAGAAAAGGTTTTCAGGTTCAGTCGATGTAAAGGTGACCACAAGTTTGTCCTGGAAGAGTTCAATCGACTACTTATGAAGTTATCCCTTTGCTCTGCCCCAATCTGTTTAACATGCAAGAGGCTGTGAATCATATCCTTTGGGACAACAACTCCACTTCCAATGTTCACAAGATGCAGACATCATTCATTTGGAAGATTGAATGGACTTGTCATCAACCTTGATGTGAACATGGACATTTCTAGTGTTCATTTCACAATGGCTCATTCAGATGGAACATTAAGAAAGAACATCAAAAGCGGTTTGTTAAATGAACTTTAAAAGGAAGCTTTTGGTCCTTCGCTGCTTATACTAGCAGAAGAGAGAATGTTGCCAGTTCATATAGTTGATGGAATGGCAAAATTGCAAATGTTCAGAAAGGAAGCTGCTTCCACATTTGGAAACTTGGCTGATATGCATTGGGACAACTTCACTTCAATTCTGAACCGAACAGACTGCATTAGAGTTGATGTTGTTTGGGACTAAAGCAGGGGAGCAAATCAAAAGAGGATCGCCAACGGCGCTAGAAGTCAAAAACAAACCACTGCCAAGACAATGGGACAAACCCATCAGCAGTCCTGTCAACAAGTCTAGTCTTGTAGCATGTATGGACGAACGATGGTGTTACCTGTTGGTAAAGCCTGAGTCACACCAATGTAGTTCTTAGGACGTCCTGCCCTGTCCAAAGAATAACTGTAAAGTGAGCTCGAACGGGATAGAACGTGTAACTTTTGTATAAATTACAATGCTAGTTTGATCATAAACAGTTCTCAGTACGTCTGTCACGTCTTTACCCCACCCCCAGACAGTTGGTGTTACGTTTAGAGTGGGTAAAATTGTCCGTTCAGCCAGTGTGGACAACGTTTTCAAGCAGTCCCATCCCGTCCATAGTCACTTTATTTCCCTTCTGAACTAAACCTATCTCGTTCTTAATACGCACAACCCCGTTCTAACTCATTCTTCTAAACCAACTCATTTTCAGGCACTTCTTTCCGTTCTCACTACTTTCTCACTCCGTTTCTAGTGCGTGCAATCGTAATAGCAATAACTTCCTGGTTCGATTTATATAAATACCCTGCCCATTCTTATTCCGTTCTCAGTTTCAAGGTGGAAACATTGACATCACCATGCCTCCAAGGAAGAAGAAGGGTGAACATCTAAGTTATAAAGGGGTCAATGCGTTCAAGAAGTTCATCAAACATGGGAGGGGTGATTCTCAAGAAATTGTAGGACTCATGATCATCAAGGCGGAGCTCCTCCATCAGTTGATGATAATGTCCCACAGCTATTCACCTCTCAGGTTTAAGCCAGTTCCTCACCCAACAAGTTCTTGTGTTTTCCTTCTTTCTTGCTCTACCAACTCATTGTACTCTTGCTCTGCTTCCGATCAAAATTGCAGGAAACCAGCATTCAATATTTTGACAGCTGCAAACTTGTTCATAGAAACTCTATCCCAAAGGACGACCATGTTAAAAACGCATGTATATATACCCTACCTTGTCATTTCGTAATGCACACAGAGTTGACATAGTAAGAACGGCATGAGAACTACATAAACATACTAACAACGAGTAGAACGTGATGAGAACCCATTGCAAACTGTTAGAACCATGTACTACAAATTTCTTCAGAACGATTCTTTTTGTTTTGAACATATTTGCTTGGAATAGCGACTAACTAGAGTTCAGTAGAGTTCTGCAAACGGGATGGACCAGGTGGAAATTGTGTACAAACGTATTGCAATTGATGCCGGACTGCACTACGTCCGCCACGATTCTGTTCGTAGTATGGCAATTCCGTTCTTAGTATGGCAATCTCATTTTTAATACGTTATTACTCCGTTCCATTTTAGAACGTGTAGAACGTTCGACATGTGGAATTGACTTACAGAAGTCCTCTGAAAATCACTAACAAACATTGACACAATTGGGTGACAATTTGGATTGTCTGCATCTTGTGAACATTGGAAGTGGAGTTGTTGTCCCCAAGGATATGATTCACAGCCTCTTGCATGTTAAACAGATTGGGGCAGAGCAAAGGGATAACTAGATAAGTAGTCGATTGAACTCTTCCAGGACAAACTTGTGGTCACCTTAACATCGACTGAACCTGAAAACCTTTTCTACATTGATTCCCAAAAAAGGCTGTAAAGCCCAGGGATGAGAAGCTTCACACAACAAATGGATGACAATTTGGATGTTCAAGAAACACTCATTACATCTTGTGGCCAGTTTGTGAGTTCTATGCATGTACCAAATAATCCAGTGATGTCTGCAGATGACACAAGATATTGAATGAAAACCTCCAACCAACTACCAACAGTCACATTGAACGAGTAACCTACAAAGTCCATGTTTGGAAACAGTCTCTGCAACCAATCACGAACATTCCTTCACCAGTTGACCATAGTTGGAGCATTTGTGATGGTCAACTATTCTGATGTCAAGAGATCCTGCTCCCCGTGGATTGGTTGAACTGACATCGTGTAAAAGCAAAAAGTCATCATGCCAGCAGAAAGAATGATATAGTGTGCGCAGAGGCATGTCTATTTGTATGGCAGATGATTGTTGCCTGAACACCTTTGACTTGTTGCCAGTAGATGACTCCGATTCTGACATGAGTGAGTGAGTGAGTTTAGTTGTACGCATTCGGGAATATTCCAGCTATATGGCGACAGTCTGTAAATAATCGAGTCTGGACCAGACAACCCAGGGATCAACAGCATGAACATCAATCTGTGCAATTGGGATACGATGACATGTGTCAACCCAGTCAGCGAGCCTGACAACTAGATCCTGTTAGTCGCCTCTTACGACAAGCATGGGTTATTGAAGGTCAATTCTAACCCGGATCTTCACAGGTCCGATTCTGACATGAAGTAACATATGAAATGAAAGAAAGTGAAAAAGAGGGTTAATTGCAAGCTAATGGTTGTATCAAAAGTGATTAAGAGTTATCTGATAGAACAATTTGAATACCTACAACCAAAGCTTAGACGTAGTTATTGGCCATGAAGCATAGTTTTCAAACACTTTTGGATAATGTTATTTCATCAAATATTTTAGGAATGTGAAGCTTTGACTGACCCTATCATTGAAATTTAGCTCTATTTCTATACTGTATTAAACATTAGACACCATATGAGTTGTTTGGATTTCATATCAGTACAAATTTAGTCCTCCAATAAGTATATGTAGTTAAACTACAATGGCGGCCATTTTGGCAGCCATTTTGAATTCTGGGTAATATGTAAACATTCCTAATAACATGTCGTCACTCTAGAAGTAAAGAGAAACCAAAAAGAACTTGTTTTAGTAACAAAAATAATGTTAACTGCCATTAAATAAATCACTCTCACACATTTCCATGAAAAGTCGGAGAATTGCAAAAATACCCCTGACTCAAAGAATAAGCTGTAAAACATTAAATTACCACGATATGACCAACCAAATGACTTGTTTTGTGCCCAAGCCATCACTCTAGGAGAAACAAGTGTCAAAACACATCAAAAGTATCAACTTTGGATGTAAATGGAAACATTCAGTGTTCATTTTTATGTAGATTGAAGTGCTGAGAAGGCAAAACACGACAAAACAAAATGGCGGACAAAACGGCGGCCATTTTGATTTTTTTTTCAAAACAAAATTATGTCAAATAATTTCTACATCCTTTAGCAGTACACAAAAGTCAAAATGAAAGTGATCAGATTGATAGTAGTAAAACTATTAATGATTAACTTTGAGGTGTGGTCGGGGAGAAAACAAAATGTGACTAAAATGCTCGCAGACCCCCACCACATATAATGGCCTGTAAAAAAAAACTGATACCACAATCTGAGAGTATTACAGGCCTTTTCATGAGCCCAAGACATCATACTAACTGAAAATAGTGTCAAACAAAATCAGTATTGGGGAGGCTACGATTTGAAATTTTTCAGCGGCCTCCTCCTGGACTATATAGCAATGTGCAGTAAACGTGAACAGAGTACTGTGACTATGTGTCCCAGTCCACCCAGCTGTGAATGGGTACCTCGTTAGGATGAGAAAGTCACATTAACTCAGTGCACCGAGTGGCAGCAAGAGTTGTATGCTCCCCAGGGAGTTGAGATTGATAATATGATGTGCCGTTGAGATTGACATCCAATGATCGAGGGACAAACAAAGAAGTGCTTTGAGCATGCATGTGGGATGGACTACAGCGCTATATAAATACCCATATAATAAAAGAGTACAGCTTTCAAAAAAAACAACAACAAAGGGTGACTTATGCAATTGGTCAACCAGGTCAGTGACTTGACTGATCATGTTCTCATACTCTGTTTGGGTGGGTGTTGTTCACGTCAATCATTGGGATGTCTGGTCCAGATTTCATTATTTTCAAGATGCGAGGATGTAGCTTGTATTTGCTGTGGTAAAACCTACAGCTGTTGAGATGCATGACTCTATGTGTGACACATCATTGTTTCTGTTGACCAGAGTGTGGTGCAGCCTTCACCGGGAAGCTGGAAGGAATGTTTAAGGACATGGAGCTGTCAAAAGAATTGACACTTGCCTTTAAACAAGTATGAGTCTAGACTACCCTTTCATTTTGTATTCAGAAATCTGTTTGTGAAAGTTGGCATGATAAATATATAGCTCGATATATATTGCATTCTATAGCTGTAGTCTAGTGAACATGTGTTTAGATAATAACAGTTCATGTAAAAATACTGGGCCCCGTTTCTCAAAGCTCTCGTAAACCTAAGATCTCGTAACTTTTCTCGTAGCATTCGTACCTCCTATGTTACAGTATAGGAGATTCGAATGCTACGAGAAAAGTTACGAGATCAAAGGCTTACTAGAGCTTTGTGAAACAAGGCCCTGAAAAGGAACCATGTTTAGGCGAGTAGTTGCAAACATTTTTAGGCCAGGCTGAACTACAGTAAACATCTGTTAAGATGGGAAAACACTGCTTACAGTTGTCCAAATACAATAGCAATGAAATCAACTGATAATTTTGCTAAGATTCAAATTCACTTTTGTAGGATTTATGGATTTTGACACAGATTTTGTTGTTGGACCTCACCATATTACTACAGGAATTTCCTCACAGACCATTACCAGCCCAGCATTAAAGCATTCATTTTGTTTATTACTATTTTGTTGTTTTAGTGTAAATGTGATAGAAATGAAACTTGAGTGTGTTTGTGTCTGTCCCCAGTTCATGCAGAACCAGGACGCCCCTGGTGGAATCGATCTGACGGTGAATATCCTCACCATGGGCCACTGGCCTACATATCAACCCATGGAGGTCCACCTACCCTCAGAGGTGAGAGATGACAACACAATAACTTCATTACTTGATCTATGGGCATTTGGCACTAAACCTTGTATACCCATGAAAATCTGGGTTAGAGCTGGTCTTCAGCAACCCATGCTTGCGGTAAAAGGCGACAAGTGGGATTGGGTGGTCAGGCTTTCTGATTTGGTCGACACATGTCATCGTATCCCAATTGTGTAGATATATGCTCATGTTGATGTTGATCACTGGATTGTCTGGTCCAGACTCGATTATTTACAGACGGCCGCCATATACAGTGAAACCTGTCTAAACCGACACACCACGGGACCGAAATAATATGCCGGTTTAGACAGGGTCCCGGATTAGACAGTGACGATCATTTTCCAACATAGCTGCCATTTACACTTGTCAATCTCTTTATTTCTATAATGCCTTTGATCTTTTGTAATTGAGTATCAAAGTCATTGATAAGGTGAATGTATTTAGCGTTTGATTCACCACGCAATCATCTAGCTTGTGCAGTTATCTAGCGTGCAAAGAGGATTATTTATTGTATTGCATTATGGGTCCTTGATTGGACTGCTCATACCCATGCCGGTTTAGACAGTGTTAATTACAGTTAAAATTTGCGTGTTGGGACTGGAAAGTCGTGCCGGAATACGGACTAGACAGGTGCCGGATTAGACAATGGTTTAATGATCATAATATCATTGTAAAATGGCGGGACCACATTTCTATGCCGGTTTTGACAGTGTGCCGGATTAGACAGGTGCCGGTGTTGTCAGGTTTCACTGTAGCTGAAAAATTGGCCTCTTCCATTTTACTGTTTATTTATGGATGTGAATTAAAATTTCTGCTTCTGAAAATCAAAAGATGGGAATTTGTCCAAAAAGTTTGAAGTAAGGTTTTGTTACATCAATGATCTGTTGTATTTCTTACCCAGGAAGATCTGGGTTAGAATTGGTCTTTAGCAATCCAGGCTTGTTGTAAGGATCGGGTGGTCAGACTTACTGACATGGTTGACACATTGTATCCCAAATTTGTGGATTGATGCTTATGCTGTTGATCACTGGATTGTCTGGTACAGACTCGATTATTTACAGACCACCGCCATATAGCTGGAATATTGCTTAGTGCAGCATTAACTTTCAAACAAACAATGTATAACTTCTTTATGGAAATGGTGCTCCCATATTGTTATGCTCTCTTGCCATCCCTTTGAAGACATCTTGTTCTTTTTAAAGTTGAGTTCTTTCACTGTTGTAATAATGTCTCTTCAAGTTTCATGTCTTTCTTTCATAGTAACTGGATACAGTATTCCTTGGATTGTTTACTTGGCTCAAAGAGAAGTAGCTATACAACTGTTTATTTCATTTATAGATGATTCAGTTCCAAGAAGTGTTCAAAAGATTTTACCTCGGGAAGCACAGCGGTCGTAAACTGCAGTGGCAGCCTACCTTAGGGCATTGTGTTCTCAAGGCCACATTTGCTGGGGTGAGTATCCTGGGGCATTGTGTTCTCAAGGCCACATTTGCTGGGGTGAGTATCCTGGGGCATTGTGTTCTCATGGCCACATTTGCTGGGGTGAGTATCTCAGGGCATTGTGTTCTCATGGCCACATTTGCTGGGGTGAGTATCTCAGGGCATTGTGTTCTCATGGCCACATTTGCTGGGGTGAGTATCCTAGGGCATTGTGTTCTCATGGCCACATTTGCTGGGGTGAGTATCCTGGGGCATTGTGTTCTCAAGACCACATTTGTTTGGGTGAGTATCTCAGGGCATTGTGTTCTCATGGCCACATTTGCTGGGGTGAGTATCCTGGGGCATTGTGTTCTCAAGGCCACATTTGCTGGGGTGAGTATCTCAGGGCATTGTGTTCTCATGGCCACATTTGCTGGGGTGAGTATCCTGGGGCATTGTGTTCTCAAGGCCACATTTGCTGGGGTGAGTATCCTGGGGCATTGTGTTCTCAAGGCCACATTTGCTGGGGTGAGTATCCTAGGGTATTGTGTTCTCAAGGCCACATTTGCTGGGGTGAGTATCCTGGGGCATTGTGTTCTTAAAGCCACATTTGCTGGGGTGAGTATCCTATGGCATTGTGTTCTCAAGGCCATATTTGCAGGGATGAGTTTCCTAGGGTATTGTGTTCTCAAGGCCACAGCTGGGGTGAGTATCCTATGGCATTGTGTTCTCAAGGCCACATTTGCTGGGGTGAGTATCCTGGGGCATTGTGTTCTCAAGGCCACAGCTGGGGTGAGTATCTCAGGGCATTGTGTTCTCATGGCCACATTAGCTGGGGTGAGTATCCTGGGGCATTGTGTTCTCAAGACCACATTTGCTGGGGTGAGTATCCTGGGGCATTGTGTTCTCAAGGCCACAGCTGGGGTGAGTATCTCAGGGTATTGTGTTCTCAAGGCCACATTTGCTGGGGTGAGTATCCTATGGCATTGTGTTCTCAAGGCCACATTTGCAGGGATGAGTTTCCTAGGGTATTGTGTTCTCAAGGCCACAGCTGGGGTGAGCATCCTATGGCATTGTGTTCTCAAGGCCACATTTGCTGGAGTGAGTATCCTGGGCCATTGTGTTTCCAAGGCCACATTCGCTGGGGTGAGTATGACAGGGCATAGTGTTCTTAAAGCCACATTCGCTGGGGTGAGTATCCAAGGGTATTGTGTTGTCATGGCCGCATTTGTGGGGTGAGTATCCTAGGGTATTGTATCTCAAGGTCACATTAGCTGGGGTGAGTATCCTATGGCATTGTGTTCTCAAGGCCACATGTGGGTTTGATTCCCCAAGGTACAGTATGTGAAGCCGATTTCACTTGTCCACCACCAGTGATTACCTGGAACATTGTTTGAGTATTACTAAGAGTTGTGTAAATTCCTACTCACTACAGTCTGTTTGGGTCAAAATCATACCAGTGAATCACAATCTAACGGTTCATGATCAAACATTCACTTCAACGTAGAATGTAAAGAAAACATCAGACCAACTCTGGAAATGAGTTGTGTAGATTCATACTCACTACGTCAGTGTTGTCCTGTGACTTGAAGATGCAATGTTCACCTCAACCTTCTGATGTTGTGCTGCAGGTGAAGAAAGAGCTCCAGGTGTCCCTCTTCCAGTCTCTGTGTCTTCTACTGTTCAATGAAGGTGATGACTACACGTACAGCGAAATCAAGACAGCCACAGCCATCAGTATGTCACATTTACAGTTGTTTGCATCTTTCATTAACATTCTGGTAGTGGATTACAAACAATATTACAGTATATCCCAACATATTGTTTAAAATTTGTTTGTTTGCTTGCAATATTCCAGCTATTTAAATGAATCTGGAAAAGAATATCCAGTGATCAACAGCATGAGCATGGATCTATGCAATTGGGATGTGATGATATGTATCAACTAAGTCAGTGAGCCTGACCACTCAATTCTGCATGTCGCCTCTTATGACACACATGCACGTAATCACAGGCGTAACATTGCTGGAATATTGTCATGTGAAATTGGACTTTTTACTTGCAAGGGGCGGGTTTTTTTCAGTGAGTTCGAGTCTTTTTGAGGAAGGGGCAGTTGGGTAGCCTAGTGATTAATGTGTTCACTCGTCATGCCAAAGACCCGGGTTTGATTCCCCACATTGGTACAATGTGTGAAGTCCATTTCTGGTGTCCCCCGCAGTGATATTGCTGGAATATTGCTAAAATCTGCTCAAAACCTTACTCATTCAGTCACTCACTCACCTTTTGAGGATTTCCTCTTTTTGAACCTGATGAGTATTGTGGAACATATATGTAGACTTCAGTCAATGCTAACCCGGCAAACATGTCCCTTCACAATTACGCTGTTAACACAAATGCCTGTTCTTACAGCGGACAGTGAGTTGCGTCGCACTCTGCAGTCTCTGGCTTGTGGCAAGGCAAGAGTTCTTATCAAGATCCCAAAGGTAAGGTCTCAGTAAAGATACCTGTGATCGTACTGACATTTCTTGATAGCTCTGGACCGCTTCCTTAGTGTAGTGGTTAGAGCGTCCGCCCGGAGAGCGGTATGTCACGGGTTCGATCCCCGACCGTGTCATACCAAGAGACGTTAAAATAGGGTACTTGTTGGTCCTTGCCTGGCGCTCGGCATTAATGGGTACAACAAGGACTGGTCGGCTTGGAGTCAGTATAATTTCTCTGAGTGGGGTATTCATGCTTCACTGCGGCATGGTATCTCAGTGGGCTAGCACTATAAAACCAGCTTCAGTCTGGGCTAGTACAAGAAGCCGCACATACACATACACACGCATGCACGTCGTCATATGACAGAAATATTCTCAAGCACGACGTTAAACCCAATTTCACCTCACCTCTTGATAGCTCTATTGTCTTATCTAAATCTGGTCAGGTTACAGGTTATACAGTCTTTGTGCTGAGGTGTTCATAACCCGTACCATTTTATAGACTCATGACTTCTGGAGCTAAGTTTTTTGTACATCCATATCAGGAGGTAAATATCTACGCCGAAGTCCATTGTTAATTACAGTGAAAGATTCCAATTTGAAGTAAGGAAAATCAGAATTTATGAATCTAAAACTAATGACAAATAAAATATTGAACACTACAGCATTTTATACTGTGTGGCTATAGCTGTTGGTATAGAAATCTTTGTTATTCTGTTACAAGTCCTGACACACCATTGTAATGGTAGCATCTTTTGGATTACATAATGGTGTTTCAAAGACAAATGCTGTTTTCGGGTGTACCTTTTCCATGGTAACATCTTTTGTTGGTTTTCAGGGGAAGGAAGTGGAAGATGACGACAAGTTTTCTTTCTGCAATGACTTTAAACACAAGCTGTACAGAATCAAGATTAACCAGATTCAGATGAAGGAAACGGTTTGTAGCCATGCATAATATAGCTGGACATTTGTGAAAATGGTATGACATGCGTCAACCAAATCAACAACCCCGTGTCTTGCCCGTTTGGGGATTGTGTGTCTAAATAGATCACCAGAAATGCTAGTATGGCAGACAGACAAGCCAGGAAGGATTGGTGTTTACAGTGTGAGACTTTGCGGGTTCTGTTCTACCTTGACATCACTGAGTGTTGCTCATGTTATCAACCGCCTGTTTGCTTTGCCCATTATGCATTACTACAAGGGGAGCTGGAGTAGCCTAATTAAAGCCCATTTCAGGTGTCCCCCGCCGTGATATTGCAGGAATATTGCTAAAAGCGGCGAAAAACCATACTCACTCACAGCCAATTATGAATTACTGACCACACCGTGAGATAGCTTGGATATTGCTGACTAGCATACAGCACTCACCCTCAGTTGCGGTTGTCATGTTGAGTATTCCTGAAGTCAAGGATGCCAGAATCCCGGTAAATTTGTACACTCTGAAGTCACTAGATTCACCCTTGGTGATTCTGGCTAGAGTATGTCACCAGCTGCCTGTGCTGGTCATTAGAGGTAACCAAACTGAGTGTCCAGACCGATCACTTGGGTCAGTAGCATGTCATTGTATGCTGAGGATTGCTCTCACAGTGTTAATCCCTTAATTGACTGGTCAAGACTTGCTTCCTTACAGGCTGCACTGTAGTGTTCAACAACAACAAACAATTACTGGATTGCTTGGTCCAGACTGTATGTTTACATGCTGTGATACTATTAAACGTTACTCTCTGCAATGACACTACAGTGTTTATCAATGTCCACTCACTCTCTGTTTATTACTATCTGTCCACAGCAAGAGGAAAACACCAGCACAACAGAACGAGTGTTCCAGGATCGGCAGTACCAAGTTGATGCCGCCATCGTCCGCATCATGAAGACCCGCAAAACACTCAGTCACAATCTCCTCATGGCGGAGCTCTACAACCAGCTCAAATTTCCAGTCAAGGTGAGCTGAATCTATCATGTAGTCTTGGAAGGCATTTGTAGGTGATATGCAACATGATGGCTAAACTGGGCCAGTTTACATCTCATCGGGTCACTGTGTGTAGTTTTCATTGGTGTTGTGGCAGTGGGGTAACCTGGTGGTTAAGGCTTTCGCTTGTCACACTGAGGACCCGGGTTCGATTCCCCACATGGGTACAATGTGTGAAGCTCATTTGTAGTGTCCGTGTGGCGTATAACTTCACTTCACTTCACTTCACTTCACTTCACTTCACCCCTCACCTCACCTCCACTCACTCACTCACTCACTCACTCACTCACTCACTCACTCACTTACTCACTCCTTTGGCCTTACGCCACTTTTAGCAATATCATATATTTAAATGTGAACATGCCACTGCATGACAATTTGATACCATATTCATATTACCATGTCTTTAGACTAATTTGAATAGAATCAGACAGGGTTAACCTCTGCTTATGGTCAGGTTGTATGCTGATAAGGTGGAAGATATTTAATTGTGGTATCTTCATTCTTGCTTAGCTTCACGGAATAATAAATTTCTGGTGAAAACTTGAGTATTTACAAAATGTTATTACCCACGTGGTCAACATATGTGTAGTTGCATACTAATCTCGTACGTCACACGAGTGTCGTATTGTGTTGACCTGTGTCGTATTGACGTGACCTGAGATTCTAACGATTTGATTGGATAACCGATGACCTGTCAATTAGGTCACGTTGTGACGGAACTACTTATTCATTCCTAACAAACACGTGAATTCATTCATTCTACAACTTATATGCATTGTGGGAACGTAAACATTGCAAACATTGTTGATCGCTGTTTAATTGAGTGTAGAACTGAGACATTATAAACATCGAAAAACATAAACATAATGTTTCCACAAGTGATGTTAGCCGAGTGAAGCAAGTGGAAACCAAGAAAAGGGGTGCTACGGAGTAGCTTACTGTACGAGGCGATGACCACTGGCATGCATCGTGACGTCGGTTACCAAGGCAGCAGACGAGAATGGCTTAGTGACGTCGTCAGTACAGTGTGACGTCATGCAAAAGTGAATGACAGAACAAAATTCTTCCGCAACCTCTTTATGAAACCGGTTTCGGTTTGAAACCATAACAATAACAAAAATACGCTGTTTTGTCAATTTAATGCATGTAAGACGTGGGTAATAAATAAAATACCACACTCGGTCTCATTTCATACGAAACTTGTGACCTTCCTATGGTTTCTGACCTCGCTTTCGCTAGGAATGACACTCATTTTGTATAATTCGTATGTAATGAGACCTCGTGTGGTATTCTCTACTTATCATATACCTCGAATATTGCTGACTCAGGAGTTAAATTGCACAAACTGAATGCTCCACTGTATGTTGATACTGAAATTGATAATCCTGATGAATGTTTCAGTCAACTGACCTGAAGAAAAGAATCGAGAGCCTTATTGACCGTGACTACATGGAGCGAGACAAGGACAACCCTACCAACTACCATTACATGGCCTAAAACCTCCAGCTGTTCCGCAGTTCCACTGACCTGCATCAGTGCTACCGAGTCTTGTGCTAGGGGATTCGTCCCCATACATCAATATGAATGAATATGTGTGTTTATGTAGATCATTTCAGACAGTGCTTATATATATGCAGGTTACTGTTTGCAGACAATATCACAAGTTGTCAAGGGCAACAGATGAGGCATCGTGTTTTAAGAAAATCATCTTGGTGCCTTTGCACAAAACAACCTTAACGCTAAGACACTCTGAAGTGTATGTTAAGGTACACTAGTTAAGATCACCTTAGCAAAAAGTTGTTTTGTACAAGGGCACCTTGTTGTTCACCATTGTGGTGAAATCATTGTTCAAAGTAGATCTGTTTCATTGTGAGATGTGGCGTTGGTATATATTTACAGTACAAACTACAAACTTTACCCTGCATATATATGTTGCGTGTATGTGGAGGTGATCTATATTAAACCAGGTCAACCAGCAGACCAAAAGGCATGACTGTGATTTGCCAAGGGAGATAACCGGGACGGGATGCGTGATCTTTCCCGTGTACGCGAGGCAGACTTCTGTGTACTATTATGTTTTGTGTACTTTGGTTTGAAATATTTACAAGTATGGGTGAAGATTATGAAGCTGTAAATAAATTAAAAATGCTTTGTACTACCGCAAATGTGTATTTTTGGATTTGAAACAGACAGGATTTCTGTGACTGTGTTTATTTTCTTGTGACGAGTGACCGTGAAGGGTGTGAAAGTCTGTATTTAACTATTTGTGATGAAGGAAAGCATTATGAATTTCTACATTTGCAGGCTGCTTCTAAGAAATTGTCCATTTCCATCAGTAACATAAGTACACTAGTTTTAGCCCATAATTTTAATATCAACTTCAGCAATCCTGTCATCTCAAATACTACTTCCATACACTGCTTGTACAGAACCCCATTCACAGGGTTCTGTGTTACGTTGAACTGAGAGAAATAATATTTTGTGCAGTGAGAGCTGCCAGGCTTAAACATATCTCTCTATTTTTCGCTCCTTGATAAAAAATTGTTTGTCACCGTGTTTGTGTGACAAAAAATTCATAACTCATTAAGCGGAATTAGTGTTTATATGCTGTTTCTTAGACAGATACTTAAGTCCTATGACTAGAGACATGTTCCTGGAATCTGAAGCATCCTTGGACAGTTCTGTCGATTTTATGACCACATGTTTCGGATATCAGTCACATTTTATTTAGTGTGTTCCTACAGGATTATCTGCTCTTGTCCTTGAAGATTTCACAGAGGGATGGAATTTTTTGACAGTGACAAGTATTAGCTTGTTTGAGTTTAGGGCGCCAACCACCTTTTATTCTCAAGGGTCTTGGATTATGTTTTTAAAATATATATTATAAAATATCCTCAGGTCTTGCAGAAGAAAATAAATTTCTGGACTGGATTTGTCCTGAAATATTTTTGCAGCTATCATCTAAGAACAGTCTCCAAAAATCCCAGTCCCTTGAGAATATTAATTTGTGGAACGCTTATTGTGAAGGTCAAGTTCACTTAGTGACTGAAATCACGTCTGTCATGTGTTGCTACAATAATCTGTGAAGACGTGGAATTAAAACTTGATTTGATCCATAATTAAGAGTGAATATGTAACATACGTTTATCAAGAGTGTTTGTTATAAAGCCAAAACAGAATATCAGCAAACCAGAAATAGATGGGACTCTCAATTGGAACTGCTTCTCCGGGAATCCTCACTCCAGCTTGATGTATTGTAAATAAGCTATCAGAATATGGACAAGGCATGATGAAATGACGGGAGTTCTTCAATCCTTTGTGAAGACAAGGGCAGGTAACTCTGCTCATCAACCCCACCCAGGTTCTGTGTAAATATTTGATGTAGTATGAAATGAGAATGTTTAGTGATGGATGGATGAGGATTTAGCACATCATATGTAAGTGCTGTGTGAGAGATGTGTAGGTTGTGTGTAAGAATGATAGTTCAACTTTTTCAAAACATTTGGTTGTCTTAGGCACAAAAATCCTTCTGTTCACAAGGCTGAATCTTCTCAGGGTTCTGGGTTTGGGAGGTGAAAATAAAAAATTAAAAAATATCATAAGGTGGAATAATTATTAAATATTTTTATAAAGGGCTATAGGGTAAAATGTCAGCAAAATTAAAATGGCTTCTGGGAGTTAGGGGTTTAGGAGCCAGTGGTCTTGGTGTCAGTTAAGTTTGCAGAGTTACGTCCCTTTACAGGATCTGCTGCTTGTTAGTTTGAATCCAAGACTCCCACATGTTTGACCCTTGGTTGCCAACAGCAGACCCTCCCCAAAGTGGTAAATGCTTTTGAGCTGAGACTCCTTGTTCCTGCTGACACAAGCCCCAACTACGTGATATGACTGAAATACTCACTTAACGCAGTCACATCTTCCCATCAACCTTGTGTCAAATAGATCTTGGTTGTCTTGACTAATGAGGTATGCACTTTGCATCCTCAGCTTTCATCCTCCTACCAGATTTGCTGCCATAGTTTTGTATTTTCCAATTCAGATGGCACAATGCTGAGAAGACAAATGCAAACTTGGAGCTGTTATTAGCAAAACGGATTGTGTTAAAATCTGATACAGAAATGAAGTTACTTCAGAAACCAAATTTGGTTGCAAATAAATCCAAGGTATTTGTTGTGATACAGTTTGACTTAATTTACTCTGATAAATCGGGCATGATTGTTTTTGGCATTCTCATTTGAGAATAGGTTACTTCGTGATAGATCATATAGGCAAGATTATACAATATAATGTGATAACATTGACCAGCACAAACATGTAATAGGACTATTATGTCAGTAGAAAGATGAACCTCAGCCCAAACCCTGTGATGATCTTGTCCATTATTTCTAAAACAATTTCATTATTGTTTTTCCTGTAAGTTGTGTACGGACAAGCAGCACGACTTGTCAACCTGAGACTTGTACAGTCCCACTGCATTATTTATAAATAAATAATGTTTCTTTATATTGCTTCCTGTTGTTGTTAAGTTAGTGGACAAAAGTGGGATTCTGAAGACGTTCAACCCCAGAAGTAACAACATAATGGCCCTCAGCATTTCTCCTTGGTCTAGTGGATGGAATAGCTGCCCAATGAATTGGTGGTTTGGTCCCTGCCTGCGTCAAAAGAATGTACTTCATGTTACCCTGCCTGCCTTTGGATAAGACAAGGACTCTTTGGCTTGGTACCCACTTTAAACTTCAACACTGTATCTCAATGGACATTGTTTTAGTGGGTTGGTATTATTTATATTGACCGTGCGGATACAACAGAGGTTCTACGCAGCAGACCCTGGTTCTGCACTGGTGCGAAAAGCATCCTGTGCAAATAAGTTGGGTCCTCCTCAATGGAGACACAGATTGACTTTCAAAACTTAATGCTACTGATAACACTGTCAGTATATATTCATTCCACATTGGCAATGTTATTTCACATATTTCAATAAAGCATACAATGTTTATCTCCAGGAAATGACATCTAGTTCCTTTAGACCTGGATCAAACAGTCACTTGTGAGTAGTGGGAGAACAGCTTCTACCAGATTTCCCTGGGCAGACAACACTGGTAGTTGTCAAACTAGCCAAATATAATTTCGTGCTGATTTTTGCAAAATAATACTTTGTGATTCTTATGGAATAATGTTAATGTTGAGCATATCCCTGCGACGTGGAAAGGCACTATATAAATGGCCTATTATTATTATTATTATTTTTACATGTTAGGTGCAAAAAGGCCCTCTCTGGCTTTAAAACTATACTACTGAAGGAAGGTGAAGCATGATTTGATACATTTCTTGTATAGAACTCCATGTTAGGTAAGGACTGAAATAGTCATCTTTCTTCAAGGTGCACACATTGACAAAACGATTGTGTACACTACAGTTAATCTCATGGTATGAAAGATTAATTACAGTAAGATGAAAGAATCAGGTGGTTTTAACTTTTTTGAGTCGTATATACTAGTAACAGCACAACACATTTCAAAATGGATGTTTGGGGGACCCAGCTTCAAAGAGTACACGAAACTTTTATTTTGTGGTCAAATTTTCTTAAAGCAACCACAGTTTGAGCTGCTTTTACAAACAAGACAAACATTATTTACAACACAACTGTTTACTTGTCTATATCATAAAGAAATATGTTACAAAGTCCACTTGAACAAAAGTAGCTGGTTGGACAGTTCCATGTTAACTACTTGATGAATTCCAAATGTAGCTATGAGTCATTCCATCAGTTGCTCTTCTCATCAGGTATAGACTCCAACCCCTGAAACAATAAATACATTTAACCAGCATGTTCACACGTTTCATTGCCGTTAGACTTTAAGAGATAAAAAACAATGAAATTATTGAAAAAATAGCCAGAATTAGATCATCATCATCATCATCATCATCATGTTTAGTTGTATTTGATTTTTGTTCAATGCTGCACTATTCCAGCTATATGATGGCAGCCTGTTGTGTTTAATGATGATTTTAAGGGTGGTCACCCATTTTGTTCTGGGGAGCTTGGGGGTGTCATCAATTTTGTACACACGTAGTGGGGTGGGGTGGGGTTGTTTTCAGCAATTTTGTACATAGAAATATGTTTAAAATTATGCTTAAAAATTATGGGATGGGGTCATTGATTTTGTACATGACATGCGGGGGTGTCACTTATTTTGTACATAACATTTGGGGGGGGGGGGTGGTGTGATTTACATTGTACATGCTTCTCCATAAAAATCATCATCCCCCCTAGCCATAAATTATGAACGGTCCCTTATGTGTTTTTACTAAAGGCTTCTCCAACATATATCATAATCCATCGGTATTTAGTTAACAGTTCTCTCTGATCATTAGCTTGACCTTTCAGAATTTGTAGTGAGTGAGTTTAGTTTTACGTCGCTTTTAGTTTTAGCAATATTCCAGCAATATCACGGTGGGGCACACCAAAAATGGGCTTCCCACATTGTACCCATGTGGGAATTCAAACCAGGATCTTCGTAGTAATGAGCTAGTGAGTGAGTGAGTTTAGTTTTATGCCGGACTTAGCAATATTCCAGCTATATGGCGGCGGTCTGTAAATAATCGAGTCTGGACCAGAGAATCTAGTGATGAACAGCATGAGCATCGATCTGCGCAATTGGGAACCGATGACATGTGTCAACCAAGTCAGCGAGCCTGACCACCCGATCCTGTTAGTCGCCTCCTACGACAAGCATAGTCGCCTTTTGTGGCAAACATGGGTTGCTGAAGACCTATTCTACCCCGGATGTTCACGGATCCTCGGTGTAATGAGTGAATGCTTTCACCGCTAGGCTACCCCACCATCCTGAGAGTCATTACAGCGAGTCATCAGTTGGTTTTTTAACACGAACACAGTGGATATTTGAAGTTATAAACCATGAATTAATTCTACTACAAAAAATTCAAGTTCCGTGTTCAAACTCCGGAACATATGGTCTGTGCTTGTCTGACTCAATATCAAAGTGGGAGATCAAGATACTTGTAAAAAGAAATATCATGACGAATATTACAAGTAGAATCTTGCTGCCTGAAGGGTAAAGACATCAAGGAGTTATCAAGGATGTTCTACCGGGGCCTCAAGTGCCAAAGACTTGGAAAAGAAAATTAGGGATTGATCTGGTTCATAATATGAGATATTCTGATCTTGCATTCCATGAAATAATGCAACATGCAAGATTATGTACAAGCTTCAGATCTCAACTTATCCTCATTTTAGTGAAATACAAGTGAAAGGTGCAAAGCTGAAACAGCACTTTCAGCTATCACGAACTGAACTGGGAAATTGTCTTTAAAATGAATGACTTATAAAACCCATTACCTGAGACTTTTGGCCTCAGAGAGTGACCTGACAATGTTTGTTGAACATACCCGCGGCATATATTCGCATGACCTGAGGCTTGTGGCCTCATTCCTGATGAATGACCTTGACAAATGACCTGACAATGTTTGTTGAACATACCCGCGGCACATATTCGCATGACCTGAGACTTGTGGCCTCAGAGAATGACCTGACAATGTTTGTTGAACATACCCGCGGCACATATTCGCATGACCTGAGATTTGTGGCCTCAGAGAATGACCTGACAATGTTTGTTCAACATACCCGTGGCATATATTCACATGACCTGAGACTTGTGACCTCAGAGAATGACCTGACAATGTTTGTTGAACATACCCGCGGCACATATTCGCTGCCTGTTATCCTCTTGTCTCTGAGATATGTGTTGTAGTCCATGTAGAGTCCAGCATCCCAGTTCCTTTGAGAAGCCTGAAAACAAAGAGCGACAAAGCTCTAAAATATTCCAAACTGAATTGTTTGTAACAAAGTTAAGCTTGTTGCTTAATGCCACTAAGCAATATTCCAGCTTTATTACCCACGGGGTCAACGTATGGACAGTTGCATACTAATCTCGTACGTCACACGAGTGTCGTATCGTTGCACATTTTATGTGGATCATAAAATTATGGCAAAGTTACGCTGAAGGGGTCGTTGTCGGCACTGGTATATAGAAATGTACCCTCGCCAAAATCAGAATACAGAAACGTACCCTTGGACGATTCCATTCTGCATTGTGGATTTTCTTGATCGGAACTGTCATACTGTTGTATTACATGCATTTGATTGCGTTATATAAGAGAATACACAGTAACGAATATTTCACGGTGCACAACGTACACCACTCGCAATCAGCTGAACGGAACAACTACATACGGTTTCGGTTTTGGGTTGCGGAATATGGACTCGTCCGTCGTGTAGGGTACCGGGTACGTTTCTGTAATTTGTCTTTGTTTAGGGTACATGTCTGTATACAGAAGCGTACCTGGGGTACATATCTGTAGTACCTGTGCCAACAACGACCCCTTCAGCCAAACGGCTACAAATCTTAAGGCGAAAACGGCACCAACTAAAATCTTATGGGGAAACCTAGTTTGTTATAAGATAATCTGATTGCAGAAAGTTTAGATAGTAAATACATCTACTATTATGTCGGAACTATCAAAATTTAAGAACAAGGATGTATTTTTATATTCATGTATACGATGTGAAAACAACTACATCAGTTCATTACTAAAAGTAACCGCTTCCAGTAATTATCAAATCTATGTATATATTCAATGTACGGCAAGTTTTATATAACTTGATTTTCTGCGGCTCCTCATTTCGTTGCTAGGCATAACCAACACCATATTGAACATATATTATTTATTATGTATCCAGTTATTGGAACAATGTATTGGCGCGGCGTTTATATAAGCCACTAGGCTTGTTCGCCTATCCAGGTTTCTTTGACGAAATAAAAATATATTTAAACCAAATACATCTACTGTGCAGATAGTGATTGGAAGTGGGCATTCCATAGCTGATAATCGGATTGCAGAATGTTTAGATAGTAAATACATCTACTGTGCAGACAGTGATTGGAAAGGGCCGTTTTCGCCAAACAAATTTGGTGCCGTTCTGCTATAACCGTTTTAGCTTTAACCCAGCCAAAGTTGCATTGTTGATCATTGACTTGTCATTTGTCATTAGTCTTGTGTCTCCAAATAACGCCTAATTAAGAAACAATATTTTTGCAGCACGGTAATGGCAGAAAATTATGGGTGTGGTATTACATTTACTCCACCAGATGATGTTTGCAGTTAATTGAACACTGAAGTGACTTTGACATTGACATCGAGGAGAAATGTTAACATCATAGGGAATTGCTATTAACGATGAACACGCATACCTTTCCGTTGTAACTCAGTTTACTTATAGCCCAGTTAATGTAGGCTGGTGCACTTATGCAGCCCAAAACGATAGCCGCACTCGGGAGTATTTCGTACCACATTTCGATTTTCCCAGTAGTGAAGGGCACACTCGAAAGGAGACAAATCTGAAATACGTTAGTAAACAAGGATGAGTTGGTATGTTTACTTCATAAAAAAACAGGAACTTCGTAGATATTGATATAGATTAGACTTCACTTTTAGAGTAATTCCGAATGAGTAATATCACAATAACTGGAAGACACATGTTACGCTCTACGCTGCTTTTAATTCTCTATTTCAGTGTAACTTGGGCACCATGTCCTTTCGGACATCTATAATACTAGATAAGCAGTAAATCAGTACTCTCAAATTCAATTGGTTGATATTGTGAACCGCTTCGCACAGGCTTAAAATAAATTCGTTACTGATATTAAATATTCATATTTGCGTTATAGATGTATTATGTTGGTGTTATATCGTACTTTATGTAAATGAAATTCACGACCCTTCACTGCTGTACTAAATTCGCTCTAACTGACAACATCCGGTTAAAATGGTGGCAATATACTTTTACCACTTCTACTTTTACTTTTACCAAAGTAAATAACCAACTGGCAATACGATGACACACGACAGGTCTGAGACGAAATCATCAAAACTCTCAGAAAAGAGAAGTAGTGATGAGAGAAGAGGCAAGGACAGAGAGTCGCCTCCCACAAAGGTACATGAGAACTGACAATACATGAAATGAAATTTTGGGGGTCTCGCTAATCTGAATGACGAATGACAGCGAATGACGAATGGCAAATGTATTTTTGCACAATGAAGTCTCCCTTGTCATTCGTTATTCTTCAGTTAAATTATCCGTAGTATCACCCTCAGTAAATGGAATGACAGTGATATCAGGTAGAATGACAGTGTTTTCTGTAATGTTATCAGTAATATCACCCTCAGTAAATGGAATGACAGTGATATCAGGTAGAATGACAGTGTTTTCTGTATAGGTATCTGTTTACTGTAATATCACCCTCAGTCAATGGAATGACCGTGATATGAAGTAGAATGACAGTGTTTTCTGTAATGTTATCCGTAATATCACCCTCAGTCAATGGAATGACAGTGATATAAAGTAGAATGACTGTTTTCTGTAAAGATATCAGTAATAAAAAAGGAAATTAAAGGACCGCTTAATTTAGAACTATTCATCATCTTTACACTTTGGCACACCATCATATGTGCCCCATCATATTAGCACATGGTTAATACTTGATTTGAAAAAGTTGTATTTTGTAAATAGCGTTCACTACGTTACATTAGCCCCGGTGAGTAGTTTAAAAAACGGAATAGCACTAGCAGGGGTTTGTGCCCAAGTCAGTGAGCATGGTATGTGTGGATTTGGGGGCCTACCTTTAGAATACAGCACCACAAACTTTAAAAATACGTCATAATACCCTTATACGTAATGTAATGTGATTTTGTTTGAAAACACGTTCTCGAAACAATGCCCTATGACGCCTGCATGGCAACACGGTTGTCTGGCTCAGCGAGTGCGTATAAGCTCCGCTCACTGGTGTTTCATCTCTACGAGCTATGTCATTGCATAAGCCCAACGACGTTGAGAGTTTCCAGTAGTTGTATACCGGCGGATGCGCAATATTTTGCAAGCACCAGTTTGATATTTTTCTTTTTTCACTAATATGCTCATATTTATTTGTATTACGGGCTGCTGAGGTGTTATGTTTTGTGTATTTTGTATTTTGTAATTTTTTTAATTTACATATATATTTTTGTCATTCAGTAATTTGCACCATTACATAGAAAAGTGTTTTATTAGTATTTTATTTTTCGGCGGTAATAATGCATTACACTAGACACGTCAGTCGTGTTTGTGCCGGTTCGGTCAATGCTTTCTATTTATTAGGATTAATTCAAGGGGATTGGGGTTAGGGCTAGGGCTAGGACTAGGGTTAGGGCTGTAGGGTTTAGGATTGGGGTTGGGGCTGTAGGGTTTAGGATTGGGGTTGGGGTTGGGGTTGGGGTTGGGGACCTAATGCAATATAGTAGGTACATGTCCGGTGGTTGGTCAATGCATTCTATTTATTAGGATTATTTCAAGGGGTTAGGGTTAGGGCTGAGGGTTTAGGGTTTAGGGTTAGAATCCAATATAGCAGGTACATGTCCGATGTAATAATGTTGAGTACCATTTGTTGTTTTTCCTTTTGGCATTTTAATACTTTTTTCACACAAAAGCGGGAAACCAAAAACGTCGAAAAGTACATTCTGAAATGGGTTAATGTAGAAATTTTGGACTAATGGAAATTGGCCTGGAATTTGCACTGAAGCCTCTTTCACCGCAACATAAATTTTGTAAAGTAATGATTCGAAGGCTAACTCACCCTCATGCCGTCACTACACATGCTCATGTCTCCCTCGTTCCTTAGTGCGATCCACATTATCCTGACAGTGTTCCCTACATCACTTTTCTGTCACAAAATCACCGATTTATATAAAAGCGTGTCATTCATGCATGCACCGTGGAAATCTACGTCTGGCGCTGGCGTCAACAACCCTTTTCAGTTTGAGGCATATCGGCTCATTCCAGGCCACACGTTAATTTGTAGATTACGGAATGGGACGAAAGTGTGCCAAATGGCATCGGATCCATTCGGCAATTGTCCGTAGAATAAAATCACGAGACACCAAGTCTACCCGTAGCATTTGTAATTGTCCGTGACCTATTCGACTCTTTCCGTTTATTTCCGTGACATCACAGGAATGACTCGATAAATTTGCACATTGTGCAACAGTGTGGACGTAGCTCAGTCGGTTAGCTGTCGAGCTAACAATCCGAAGGTCACGGGTTCGCGTTCGACAGGTTCTCACAAACTGGTTGCTTGTCTTAATGACACGTGACCTACGGCAGAGATCGTCCTCACGAGAAGTTGTGGTGCTGTATTCTAAAGGTGCTCCGATTTGGAAGTCATGAAAAGGCGCTATAGAATATGCTTGTCACTAGTTTAATTCAAGTATCTATGGCTTCACTTTATTTCATTTACTTTTTTGTTTAAAGTGAAATTCATCGGTATGTTTTCACTGCAAACAGACTATGATTAGTCCGAAAATGTACACCCTGTAAAGTGCAGTACCTCCCTATATAATTAATAGATGTGTCTTTTGTTCACACTTTTAGTTGATTCAATAATCAAACAAACCATGTACTTTGCTGGTCATGCTCCTTGATAAGCAGCCAGGATGTCCAATAAATGCACAACAATTGTAATGGTTCTGTAAAGGGTATCGGAGGTATACAGGTGTTCAGAGAGGGTTGATTTTATAGTGTATTTTCAACAGAGTTCATCTGTTGTTGTTTTTTGAATGTAGCTGTGCGGTGTTATGTTTTCAGATGGGTGACCGTGAAATACATGTTTTTATTCTGAATAATATAAAATGTATCATAGGTGGTGATTCGGCGCCTTCCTCCTTCACTGACACCAGAGGTGTTCCTAGAGCAGGTGTCCCCTCTCCCAAAGTATGACTTCTTCTACTTTGTCAAGGCTGACATGAGGTAGGTTAGCAATGGGATATCTAATGTCAGATGCTACTCACAATGCATCTTGGGTTAGAAATGGTCTTCACGACTTCAGCAACCCATGCTTGTCGTAAGAGGCGACTAACAGGATCGGGGGGTCAGTCCCGCTGACTTGGTTGACACATGTCACTGTATCCCAATTACATAGTTTTGATGTTCATGATGCTAATCACTGGATTTTCTGGTCTAGAGTTGATTCTTTACAGACGGCTCCCTTTACTCCCTTTACAGAGTAGTGAATTTTTCCTGGAACATTTCAGAATGTAAAAATAATCAATGAATACAAAATGCCATTTAGAAAGTGGTCTTATTATCCATATGGTGAAACACAACCAGTGTCATATATATCATGTGCACATGTGCGCATATCACTTTTGCCTAGCAACAATTGTTTCTGTATTTCGCCGTCTGTGAGTGAGTGAGTGAGTGAGTTTAGTTTTACGCCGCACTCAGCAATATTCCAGCTATATGGCGGCGGTCTGTAAATAATCGAGTCTGGACCAGACAATCCAGTGATCAACAGCATGAGTATCGATCTGCGCAATTGGGAACCGATGACATGTGTCAACCAAGTCAGCGAAACTGACCACCCGATCCCGTTAGTCGCCTTTTTACGGCAAGCACATGGGTTGCTGAAGACCTATTCTACCCCGGATCTTCACGGGTCTCGCCGTCTGTGACCTCATGAAACAATTGAATGTGACGTCAATGAACAGGGCAGTCACACTTGCTTACCGTGTTTTACTGCACAAATGTACTTGAATAAAATGAATAATAAAGAAAGTAGTACACTCGAAACTTATACGAAACTCGTCCATAATTGTATATTACCCTCGCTCTTGCTCGGGCAATACAAAATTACACACTCGTTTCATATAAGTCGTATGACATAATTGTTCTTGTAATAATCTCTATAAATGTAACGTGTTAAAAATAATCAAAGTCATATCATGCTTGTTGGTTTCAGCTTGGGTCAGTTTGCCTTCACTAGAGCCTACATCAATTTCCAAAATGCTGAGGACATGTATACCTTCCCGAGATAAATTTGATGGCTATATCTTCATCGATAGCAAGGGTAGGCTGTCCATTTTCCAACACTCCTTACTTTAGTGATAGATTCAATGTTACAAGTTGATAAATATTTTGTGAAGCTGTATTGTATGATAAGAAGTAATTATCAAGATGTTTATTTACATTTACAGGTAGTTGGGGTTGGATCACTCTCTCATTGTTACCAAATTTTGCCTTTAGTTGAAAATTAGATCATTGTCGTCTTTTCACATTATATTTGTTGCTTAAATAAATGCAACTTTATTAGATAACTGTATTGTCCCTTCTCTTCATTAGAAAATAATTTGGTTTAATAAACTGATTGTATACAGAGTCATTTGGTAAATATTGTGAAAAGTGATTTGCCTCCCCTGAAATCAGGTCATGACACGAAGCCTTTGTCATACTTGTAAAAGAAGATAGATGTCATCAGTACAGTTAAATTTTTAAACTTATCCTATCTCACTATTTGCTCTGTATCTCAAGATTTGCACTTCTCTCTCTTGCTTCGACGCTCAGTGGAACGAATGAGAACTTTTCCTGTAGGCCTCTCTTGTCCATACGCCCGTGTTCCCCAGGCTGCTCTCCTTATAGGACAGGTCCCTAGTCCCTGGCTAAGCGTGCAGCACGTTCCCCTTTCTACCCAAGTGACTACATCAGAGTGATCATTCTTCTTCTTGTCGCACCACTGTGTGGACGTATTGTGAGAGTTCTCAGCTTTCCTTACAAGTTAACATGAGACATATATCATGGGTAGTTGACCCTATGTAGCGTAATTTTGCGCACACTGTAACAATATTTACTTCCTCGGATCCCACTCGTCATGTGTGGGTTGTATTAACCTGTGTTCCTGGAGCAAACGTTGTCAGGAATGTGCTCCTTTGTCAAGGACGTTTTTAGAGCATATAGACATGCTTGCTCCCTTTGGCTGGCAGACAGAACTCGTTACACTTCAACAGTTGATCACCCAACAAACCCCTGCTTTCAACAACCAGTATTAACTGCACATCGTCCGGAGATTCCCATGTCGGACGTCGATAATTTTATTGGCGCATCATCAGATGTCTACTCGTCGTTCCGCCTCATCAAACCGCTCTGTGTTTCCAGCTGACTCACACAGCCGATCTACGTCGTCAAATCGCTGAACCAATTCACCACACCGAATGGGTTCGCCATACTGAATGGATTCACCAGACCGAACCGTTTCGCCATGGCGTATGTGGATTACGACATCGACTCAATTCGCCTTAATATTAAGACTGTTTCTTATCGCCGAAACTGTTCACATCATCGATTCGATTCACCGAAACGATTCACCTCGTTGAACCAATTCACCTTGGCCGGAACATTTCACCTCGCCTTGCCGGTTCATCTAATCGTTCTCATCAGCTGAGATCATTTAAACGTTTCAGATTACTGAACTGTCCACACCACAGTCACGATCCAGCTCACAACGCCGATCCAGATCACGGACTGGTTCAGATCACATCAACGTTCCGGCTCACCACCCTGAACCGATTTACCAGCCCGACTCGTACCATTTCACCAGGCCGAACCGCTTTCTATAGCCGAACCAGTTCACCTGGCCGTTCAAGATCACTGAATTGTCAGCATTCATTGAACTGTCAGCATTCGTCAATTAATCCGTTCCTCGGACCTTGCCCGCAATTGAGCTTATTCACGAATTAGGCGATTCACCACTCGTGTTATTTCCAACACGGCGCATCTTACCAGCCTATCAGAGCCTATGCCAAATGTGTCTGGGATGCCTCCCAAAACACTTAACCAACATCGAACCTCGTCTTTGTTTTCATGGTTCGGGCTATGCCAGTCGCCTATAAGATGCAGGAATTGTTTTGCTTGATTCGACACACATGATCGCATGGTTCGCCAACCACCTACAGCAACCTAGAGCAAGATACCAGATGTTCTATTGATTACATTCAACATGAAGGATCGGGACTTGTCAACACTGGTTTTCCACATCCTCAATGAGGATCATGAACTTGCATCTAGATAGGGCAAAAATTTGTCGAACTCTGCTAGTTTTCAACACGATCCTAGTTTTCAGGGCATCTGTGAGGCGCTGAATTCCTCATTACGAAGTGGCAAGCTCTACGCACGACAATTTGATTCGTTTATCTGATTTACCTTACTGCTTGTGAGGCACTTAATGTTTTAAGTCACATAACTTATCCCACCTTGTACCCCGTTTTCAACTGGTTGAACAGAGGTAGTAGCTATGTGCTTTACCATGCCGAATCAATTTACATGTGATGTCAGTAGCGCAGTCATCTAGACATATCACGCTCTGCAATTGACGGTCTGACGATCCCAGTTCTCAAGAGTCCGGGGCTCATCTCATTCCAGATTTAATCTACCATCCGATCTTCACCTTTGATGAATGATTCGGTTCAACGAATCTACCCTTCGGTGTAGATATCAGTTCTACAACCACCCGATAGGGCATTACTAGATAAACTTGCTAGCCAGGAAGACTTTACGACGCTTCAGTGAATCTTGTTACTACAGACTACTGGTAACAGCCTGTTTGTGTATCGCTGGGTGCAATTATTGCAGATGGTTCGTCATCTTCAGCTACCTTTGTTTTTCATGATAAGCAAGTTTCTGGACAGATAACAGATGGGTCAAGTTTTTGCGCATGGTACCAGCAGTGATGTTTTGTCAAATAGCCAGCATAGCTCAGCCCGGAATTTATGGGTTGCGACACGCCCGGTTAACCGAAGACCGTGTTGTCCGTTTTTTTTGTCACTTTCGTGTGTAACGTTTGCAAATGGCGGACTACTGTTTGTTTACCGGAATTTTGATGATTAGAGTGACTATGAAGTGCCCTTGCAGACTTGTCTTGGTCAAATGAATCGGATATCAAGTCCAGCCTTTAAATGCTAGTAACAATGAATGGTGCGAGTCCCTGTTAGAGTGATTGTGTCGGGATTTCGACAGCCAGTCGAGAGAGACTGCTTATCGAGGGTGACAGACAGAAACACCCATGAACGGTTTGACTTTTGCTGGGGTTACTCGGTTTTCTACACTAGCTCAAGCACTGAGTTCATTGGGCACTGCAGTTATGTGTGGACTGTCACCAGGCAGCGATCTACTACCTTTATCACTCCACCTGGCGAACCATCAGTTTGTTCGGCCTACCGAAACGTTCCTGAGATCGCCGATCGTACAAATTTCTTCAATTCGTTTACAATGTGAACGTTCCTGTAGATTGACTGACAATCTCCATGAGCCAAACATACTACATTCAGCACTCTGTTAGAACTGACATAGTAGCTCAATTATTGACAGTTCTTATCTCAGGAGATATCTCTTTGTCAGAGGCAAGAGTTGTTAGATCTCTCATTTCCCTCGACCTGCGAGATGCCTACCTTCACATCTCGATAAATCCAGAGAATCGGTAGTATCTTCGATTTACTTTCAAGGGGCATCATTGATACCAATGGAGGGTCCTGCTGTTTGGCATATGTACGGCCCCGTAGGGGTGGCCGATAATACCGGTTAACTGTTATATTGCAATTCGAACTTCACAATACGATATATTGCTATACACTTTTCGCGTACCGGTTCACCCGATACGATCAGCAATTTCCGTGACCATGATGGGTAATTGTCGTAATGTAGTCACAAATGCTAATAACATTTGTATTTCCTTTATATTATTATACAATAATAGTTTTGAGAATGTTTGATTGGTTTAGTGGCCTATCAGTGGTCATCAGGAGAAAGGAGCCCTTCACTACAACTAGTTGAATTCTCTTCATATACTGATTCAATCAGACATTTCAATGGTAATTTTGTACATAAACCATCATGGACAGGATCAGCAGCTCTGCTTCAGTTGATGTTTAGAATTTATCATGTAGTCGATTCACTCAACACAGTGGCCAGAGCCCGACATTCCCAGGATGAGAATGTTATTGCCCGATGCCCTGTCCGCGTCTCAAAGCGCCCGTCACTTTGTGGTGGAAACAACTGCCTCTGATATTCCAATCGAAGATCTACCTGTTATCCGCGACCAGATGTAGACCTGTTAAGCCACTTTCGGGACAACCATCAGCTTCAGTGCAGATAATCACCAGTTGCAATCGTTTCTGCTTTGTGTACAATCTGAATAAAATTCTGAATTTTGTTTCTGATTTGTGTCTTCGATTCTTCTGGGACTTCGATTTCTCCTCTCAATTTAATTTGAGACTCTGGAGAGTCGCCACCTCACTTACTGTCCTCTGCTCTATGGAGTAATTACATGAGTGAAGTCAGTCATTCCCGAAGTGTTACACTTCGTTGGCGTTCATGCTCTAACTACCTATACACATCTATGTGATCTTACTGTGGTAAGTAGTGGAAGTCATAAGATGATGTTTGTGGTACTGAACATTACAATTGTGGAGTTTTCGGTTTATTACTTTCGGAGTCGGTCCTGGGAGCATTTGTGCTTAGTAAGTCAATGGGTTCAAACTGACCATTGCTTGCGTGGTGGCGTTGTAAGTTATGGGCCTACCTTGTGGTTCAGGAGAGACCCATCACTACATCACTAGTATAGGTACAATGCTAGTGATGGGGTCTGGATCCTGTGGTAAAAGTAATTCTGCGGGGTACCACATTTTCTCAGTGAGGGTTGCTGCGAACACCACACTCCACCCACTCCTTGGGCGATGGTGCCTGATAAGCCAAGGGGTTCAGGAGAACCCATCACTAGTAGAGGTACTAACTAAGGGGATTGCAGGAGAACCCATCACTAAATCTTGGGGCGATGATGCCCTACTGTCGGAAATAGAAAAAAAAAAACTGTTTTTTTCACATTTATATCAACAATTTAGGTAGTTAATATGTGAAAGTGTGAAATATCTGTTGAACTAAGTTCGGCCTAACTACAGTCTCAGTGGTAGGGAGATGGGGAACGTTGAAAAAGGATTTTACTGAGGAGATATTAGTGCAGAAATGAGCAATGCGGTTTTTTTCTAAGTCCGAAGAGACTTATTTGGAGCAGACCATAGCTGTATGCAAATTAGTGTGCGATGATATTGTATAACAAATGACACTTTTTGAATGTCCATTTTGAAATTAGACTTAGCTTCATAATAAACGATAGCAGAAGTAAAATATAACAACTTTAATACTGAAACTATTACGGACATAGATACCATTCAGTCTCACTATCACTATAAAAAGAAACAGGTAGGAGGGGTCATCTCAAAGCAACACCAAGACGAGTGTTGCTGACAGTAGTTGGGGTCGGGCTTGGGGATAGAGATATTAGTTAAGATTAGATAATCAGTAGAGACATATTCAATACACATGAAAAAGCATAAAAAAATATTTGAGATGACCCCTTGTGTCTGTGGGCAGCACGTGCATTTCATGGCAAGTGAGTTGACGGTCCGTCGGCTGAGCGACCTTATTGCCATCTATAGTTTGATCTATTGTTTTCAGCAGCTGTTCGGGTTTTTTTTCTGTTTTGTCCAATTTTACGAGTAAGCATGCTTTTCTGGATATCCTATTACGCATCCCACTGAACGCCCAGTTGGGCCGATGTGGGTTATTTCGACATATGCTATTTGCAATTGTGTAAATTTTAGGGATACAGAGTAACAGCCTAAAAACAGTTTTTTTCTATTTCCGACAGTACTTTAGTATAGGTACTATGCTAGTCGGATCATGCGGCCGAACACCACATTGCTCAGGAGCACCCACTCCTTGGGAGCGATGATGCCTAGTAAGCCAAGAGGTTCAGGAGAACCCATCACTACTATAGGTACTATGCTAGTCGGATCCTGGGGCCGAACGCCACATTGCTCAGGAGCACCCACTCCTTGGGAGCGATGATGCCTAGTAAGCCAAGGGGTTCAGGAGAACCCATCACTAGTAGAGGTACTATGCTAGTCAGATCCGGCCTCCCTTGTTCATTGCTATCTACGGTTGTCATTAGCCTATACAGTATATACTGTCAGTGCCTTTTGACTTAGGGTAATCTGTGACCCGCCGTCCAACTGTGGGATAAGTGTAAATCGTGAGATAGGATAAGTTTAAAAATTGAAAATTTTAATATAAATAGTATATTTATATACTTATCCTATCTCATGAGATGGATGCCCACCCAGCCTCCCCTCTACTCAGATTACGTCGGTTACGTATAACTGTCATTGGCTCCAAGAAGAGAATGATCACTCTGAGGTAGTCACGTGGGTAGAAAGGGGAACGTGCTGCACACTTAGCCAGGGACTAGGGGCCTGTCTTATAAGGAGAGCAGCCTGGGGAACACGGGCGTATGGACAATAGAGGCCTACAGGAAAAGTTTTTATTCATTCCACTCAGCGTAGAAGCAAGAGAGAGAAGTGCAAATCTTGAGATACAGAGCAAATAGTGAGATAGGATGAGTATATAAATATACAATTTATATTAAAATTTTCAATATTGTATGCCGGAGGACATCCAAAACACAACTGATCATAACCTCCATACACACAAATATTCCTAAACCACTATGACAAAACACAATACTTTTTTTTTAGTGAACATTTTTTAAGTACATCTATAAACTTACTACAATTGACATGCTATCATATTAATCACGTTGTTATATGGCTGAAATATTCTCAAGCACGACGTAAAACCCAATTTCACCTCACCTCACCTCACCTCATATTAATAAAGTTTTTCTGGAGTGGGAGTTATCTCCCTTACATTACATTGATACCAGATGAAATCATGTATTATGATATCGATGTATTGAGAAATTCTTAATGTCTCTATTCTATGGATAGATCGTCTATCAGTATTGTTATGACATTAGTAGCATGCCGCCTCAGCAACAGGTACATATATTAAATCTAGCATTGTTAAAATTTTACAGAAGACAGAAATGTCAATTCTAAACATTAATAGGATAAAATTAGTTCATGTTTAGGGACCGTTCATAATTTATGGCTACGGGGGAGGGTGATGATGATTTTTATGGAGAAGCATGTACAATGTGAATGACCCCCTAATTTAAAACAAAGTAAGTGATCCCCTGCATTTCATGTACATAATCAATGACCCCTCCCCTTCCCATATTTTTAAAGCATAATTTAAAATATTTTATGTACAAAATTGATGACCCCTCATAGATCATGTGTACAAAATTGATGACCCCCTACCTCTCAAGAACAAAATGGATAACCCCTTAAAATCACCACCATCCCCTTCCTCCCCCCAAGCCAAATCAAAACAGTGTTATTAATCAAAATACTTTTATATTGTGATGCATTTTTAATGAGTTTAAGAGTATTTACATTTCCAAGCTTTAAAAACAGATTTCAGATCCTAGAATAATGTAGCAGAGTTACAATATGAATGTCTAATTTCAGGGAATGAGTACCCAGCCATTGTGGAGTTCTCTCCCTTCCAGAAGGTTCCCAAGAAGAAGGTGAAAAAGCCAGACACCAAGAAAGGGACTATAGAACAAGGTTGGTGTTGATCAATTGAAGAAATATATCTTGAGACATTTATGTCTGTTCGCTCAGCAGAAAATGGGTACCCGGTGGGAAATGTCATTATGACTACTAACCTTCTAGCGTCTCACAGGCAGCTTGGGTTATCAGGGGTAATAATGACCATCATGTTGCATGTTCTTAGAGCATGTTCCTGCGGTGTGGAGTTCAGCGCTATATAAGTGGCCATATAATTATGTGCCCAACCTGAAGTTACATGAGAGCTTTGTGTGATGACTTTGAGTAATGGTTCTCCCAAATGATCTCACTCTTGATTACTTTAGACTCGGACTACCAGAAGTTTTTGGAAAATCTGCAGAATCCAGAATCTGAACCAGCCGCCACCATTGACTCCTACCTGGAGGAGATTGAGCAGAGAGAGAAGGAGATGAAAGGTGAGTTTACTCAGTCAATTGCCTCGATCTACCTAGGTGATAGGGTAACCTTGAGATTAAAGCGTTCGCTTGTCACGTCGAAGACCCGGGTTCGATTCCCCACATGGGTACAATGTGTGAAGCCCATTTCTGGTGTCCCCGCCGTGATATTGCGGGTATGTTGCTAAAAGCGGCATGAAACTAAACTCACTCACTTTTGTTCACAGCAAACCATGGATGTCCTAAAACAACAACGCCACTGATTGAGTTCCTCAAGAGGAGAAGAGAGGAGAAGAAAGTGGCCATCCAGGTAGATATGTGATCATGTTTTACAAGTTGAACAAGGTGTTCATGATTGTCACACTTGTGTAGAAACATGCAAGCATGTGTGTTGTGTGTGGTTACTTATACTAGTTCAGGCTTGTCCTGGTTCTATTGTGCTAGCACCTGAGATGCAGTTTATCATGGATACTCGGGCTGCAATGAATACACTATGTGGCTTAATATGACTCAATATGCTGAGATGTTGACAGTTTCGATTTGTCACAGCAATAACAACAGTCCCATGTTCACTACTTGCGCTAGTACATACCTTTACTTAGATAATGTGAACATTTCCTTAAAAATAGTAAATACATGGTGATATTCTGCTGTAGAAAATGGTTGATTCAGCGAGGAGAGGCCTTAATGGAAGAGAGCCTTGAACCTGGAGATAATGTGAGGCGGGCAAAAATGCGTGAGGAGAGGAAAAGGATGAAAAGAGAAAGAGGAGGGAGAAGGAGAAACTGATGCGAGAGAAGGAGAAGATGAGAGAGAAGGATGTCAAAGACAAGGACAAGGATAGGGACAAGGAGAAGGACTCAAAGAAGGAAGACCAGCCCGTGAAGGTGGGTGCTGTGTGGGGTCAGTTGGCCAGGCGGTGCTGTGTGGAGTCAGTTGGCCAGGAGATGCTGTGTGGGGTCAGTTGGCCAGGTGGTGCTGTGTGGGGTCAGTTGGCCAGGAGATGCTGTGTGGGGTCAGTTGGCCAGGAGATGCTGTGTGGGGTCAGTTGGCCAGATGGTGCTGTGTGGGGTCAGTTGGCCAGGAGATGCTGTGTGGGGTCAGTTGGCCAGATGGTGCTGTGTGGGGTCAGTTGGCCAGGCAGTGCTTAGTCTGTCTCAGTCCCCTGAACCACATTATTTTCCCTACAGCCCTAGCCTTCCCTGTAGTGCTAAAGCCCTAAACAAGCAGAGTCTAGATTTCCCGATCTCTGGTCTCCTAGGGCTCCTTTTCAATTTAAATGAGCTTGTTTGTTACTATCAAAATTATATATATTCAGAGACTAAGCCTTAGTCTAGGCAGTGCTGTGTGAGGTCAGTTATCCAGGAGATGGTGTGTGGGGTCAGTTGGCCAGGGAGATGGTGTGTGTTTGGTTGGTTGGCCAGGAGATGGTGTGTGGGGTCAGTTGGCCAGGAGATGCTGTGTGGAGTCAGTTGGCCAGGAGATGGTGTGTGGGGTCAGTTGGCCAGGAGATGGTGTGTGGGGTCAGTTGGCCAGGAGATGGTGTGTGGGGTCAGTTGGCCAGGAGATGGTGTGTGGGGTCAGTTGGCCAGGAGATGGTGTGTGGGGGTCAGTTGGTCAAGAGATGCTGTGTGTGGGGTCAGTTGACCAGGAGATGGTGTGTGGGGAGTCAGTTGGCCAGGAGATGGTGTGAGGGGTCAGTTGGCCAGGTGATGGTGTGTGGACTCAGTTGGCCAGGAGATGGTGTGTGGGAGACAGTTGGCCAGGAGATGGCGTGTGGGGTCAGTTGGTCAAGAGATGCTGTGTGGGGTCAGTTGGCCAGGAGATGGTGTGTGGGGTCAGTTGGCCAGGAGATGGTGTGTGTGGAGTCAGTTGGCCAGGGAGATGGTGTGTGGGGTCAGTTGGCCAGAGCGGTGTGTGGGGAGACAGTTGGCAAGGGGATGGCGTGTGTCAGTTGGTCAAGAGATGGTGTGTGTGGGGTCAGTTGGCCAGGAGATGGTGTGTGGGGTCAGTTGGCCAGGAGATGGTGTGAGGGGGTCAGTTGGCCAGGTGATGGTGTGTGGGGGTCAGTTGGCCAGGAGATGGTGTGTTGGGTCAGTTGGCCAGGTGATGGTGTGTGGGGTCAGTTGGCCAGGAGATGGTGTGTGGAGTCAGTTGGCCAGGTGATGGTGTGTGGGATCAATTGGCCAGGAGATGGTTGGTGGAGTCAGTTGGCCAGGAGATGGGTGTGTGGAGTCAGTTGGCCAGGAGATGGTGTGTGGGGTCAGTTGGCCAGGAGAAGGTGTGTGGGGAGCAGTTGGCCCAGGAGATGGTGTGTTTGGTCAGTTGGCCAGGAGGAGATGCTGTGTGGGGTCAGTTGACCAGGAGATGGTGTGTGTTGGTCAGTTGGCCAGGAGATGGTGTGTGGGGTCAGTTGGCCAGGAGATGGTGTGTTTGGTCAGTTGACCAGGAGATGGTGTGTGTGGGGTCAGTTGGCCAGGAGATGGTTGGTGGGAGTCAGTTGGCCAGTTGTAGGAGATGGTGTGTGGGAGTCAGTTGGCCAGGAGATGCAGGAGATGCTGTGTGGGGTCAGTTGGCCAGGAGAAGGTGTGTGGGGTCAGTTGGCCAGGAGAGATGGTGTGTTTGGTCAGTTGACCAGGAGATGCTGTTTGGGGTCAGTTGACCAGGAGATGGTGTGTGTTTGGTCAGTTGGCCAGGAGATGGTGTGTGGGGTCAGTTGGCCAGGAGATGGTGTGTTTGGTCAGTTGACCAGTGATGGTGTGTGGGGTCAGTTGGCCAGGAGATGGTGTGTGGTGTGAGTCAGTTGGCCAGCAGATGGTGTGTGGGGTCCCAGTTGGCCAGTAGATGGTGTGTGGAGTCAGTTGGCCAGAGATGATGGTGTGTGGGGGTCAGTTGGCCAGGAGGATGGTGTGTGGAGTCAGTGTGTGGTGGGGTCAGTTGACCAGGAGATGGTGTGGAAGTCAGTTGGCCCAGTCAGTTGGCCAGGCCAGATGGTGTGTGGGAGTCAGTTGGCCAGGAGATGATGTGTGGGGTCAGTTGTCCAGGAGATGGTGTGTGGGGTCAGTTGGCCAGAGGCCAGTGTGTGTGGGGTCAGTTGGCCAGGAGATGGTGTGTGGGGTCAGTTGGCCAGGAGATGGTGTGTGGGGTCAGTTGGCCAGGAGATGGTGTGTGGGGTCAGTTGGCCAGGAGATGGTGTGTGGGGTCAGTTGGCCAGGAGATGGTGTGTGGGGTCAGTTGGCCAGGAGATGGTGTGTGGGGTCAGTTGGCCAGGAGATGGTGTGTGGGGCCAGGTGGTGCTGTATGCTGGGCCAATTTCGCAGCATTATAAGCGCCAGGCAAAGTAATGCATCGGGGCAGCAATAGCAGCTAGTCACAACTAACATGGATTAGCCTGGGACCCCAAGTTTATGTGTCCCATCACGGACAAGTACCCAGTGTAGTTAGATGGCCCTGGTTGGGCAGGCATCACATAAGCACAGCATGGTGGTACAAGCACTGAAGATTCTTAGTATCTTACTGATACAGGCAGGGCCAAACATTTTTGCTTATTCATATTTTGATAGTGTTTGCCGTATCAAGAATTGAATCTCAAGTCTCAAACATTATCCACTATTGTGAACTGTAAGTGTTAGTTCTATCCATGCATACTCCACTGAATTATGCCGAATGTCAAGTTTGGCCTCGAGCTTATCAGTTTCCATTCTTGCCCATGTGTTCCACCGTCGTTGTGTCCCGAGACGACAACAAGAAGTACTGTGATGCCCGTGTCATGTTGCAGTTGCTGAAAAACCCTGAGAGGGAGAAAGACAAGGAGCCAGCCAAACCAAAGGACGAGAAACCAACAGGCAGGGAAAACCTGAGGTTCTCAAAGGAAAACCGAGAAAGAGAGAAAGCCAAGAATGAGAAAAGAGATGAAAGACCGAAGTCTGGGAGGGACACTGGTCGAGGTGGGGAGAAGGGGAGGCAGGGAAGGGAGGATAAGTACAGCGAAAAGTCTGGGGATAAATACGACAAGTACGAGAAGTCCCGACCTAGCAGAGAGGATCGGGGAGACAAGTCAAGATCTTACCGAGATGACCGTCCGCCTGATCGACACCGGTCTGCAAGGAATGATCGTGACAGGATGAGGTATATGTCAATGTCTTGTTTTAGAACGTTCTTGTCAGTAACGCCATTACACAAATCAATGAATGAATCTGTCAACGTATTACCTACAGGGTGAAGGCACAGATGTATCAGGAACCGCCTCCGTGGTGTAGTGGTTAGAGCATCCGCCCGGAGAGCGGAAGGTCGCGAGTTCGATCCCCGACCGCGTCATACCTAAAGACGTTAAAATATGGTACTTGTCCCTGCCTGGCGCTCGGCATTAATGGGTACAACAAGGACTGGTCGGCTCGGAGTCAGTATACTGTGTCTGAGTGGGGTATTCATGCTTCACTGCGGCATGGTATCTCAGTGGGCTAGCACTATAAAACCAGCTTAAGTCTGGACTAGTACAAGCAGCCGCACATACACATACACACGCATGCACGTCGTCATATGAGCGAAATATTCTAAAGCACGACGATAAACCCAATTTCACCTCACCTCACAGATGTTTCATGATAAATTCACTGGAACAATATGTTGCTCGGCTAGAATCTACTCCAAATTGTTAATATGGTTGTATGTCAGATACTAGTGATGGAGTAGAGGTGGGGTAGCATAGTGGTTATAGCATTTGCTTGTCGCACTGAATACTGGGTTCGATTCCCAACATGGGTATAATGTGTGAAGCCCATTTCTGGTGTCCCCCGTCATGATATTGCTGGAATATTGCTAAAAGCGGCATAAAACGAAACTCACGCACAAGTGAATGAACTGGGTTTTAATGCCGTATTCCAGTTATATCACACCATTACATATCAGGGCCCCATGGGTACAGTGCTGACAAACGTAGAGGTATAAATGATGCAAACCGAGATTCAACCTCCAAATATTGGCAGATGTCCACAAATCCCTACCAACATTATTATTTATTGCAGAGACGATCGTCCCAAGTCTGGTGGCTATGGCAGAAAACAGGATGGATACTATGACCGTGATGACAGACCATCACGTGGTAACCATGACGACAGGAAAAAAAGCGACCGCTATGATGACCGGCCTAGATCCAGTGGTTCCAACACTGACAATAAACGAAAACAAGACAGTGCACAAAAGTAAGGGTGTGAGTTAGAGAGGGAATAATTTAGTCCGCAGTCCATCCCTTGTGCAGTCAAACCAGTGGTTGATGTAATGAGCATTGATACCACACTCACAAACACTCGATGTCAGTGTAAGTAATCCCTCTGACAGCAGATGTTATATCTGTATGGATACTTGAAATATGTTGTACAATACATTCAACGTTTCTCTAATCTTTACTTTAAATTGATCTTCAACAAGTCATGTTTGTCGTAAGAGGTGACTAACGAGATCAGGGTTGATTGTGTGGTCCAGACTCGATTATTTACAGGTGTCATACAGCTGGAATGTTACACGATGTAGCATTTAACAAACAAACAAATAAATCTCAGATCTTTCCTTCTACCTGGAAATCACCTGAGCGGACATGTACCATTTCCTGTCAGTTTCAGGTGGGTGGGTAGCCTATGGTTAAGGCGTCCCCTTGTCACACTGAAGACCAGGGTTTGATTCCCCACATGGGTACAATGTGTGAAGCCCATTTCTGGTATTCCCTGGCATGATATTGCTGGAATATTGCTAAAAAGAGTTGTAAAACCATACCAACTCACTTTCTTACTCTTGTCAATTTCAGTGAGTTAGTTTGTTTTAGGGCCAGTTTATAGTATTCCAGCTATATCTTAGTGCATCAGCTAGACATAGAAAGCCAGGCTTGATTGAACCGTAGATGTTGACCACGTGATACCAGCAGGAATGGGTGTGGTGCTGACAAACTAGAACCATTTGGGGCAAACCAGGAGTCGGAGTGATCCAACTCTCCCCTGGGAAATTGCCAGCCATGCTCCTTGATTCAATTTTATCTTGTGATTAATGGCTATAATTTCCCCCGACATGTATTACAACTATTCACCAAAAAGAGTTAATTTAGATGGTTTTCCAAATTTAGAACTATTCACATGAATTACATATCCGAATAGGTTTATGAGTGAGTGAGTGAGTGAGCCATATGACGGCAATCTGTAAATAATTGAGTCTGGACTGGACAATCCAGTGATAAACAGCATGAGCATCAATCTACACAATTGGGATACGATGACATGTGTCAACCAAGTCAGCGAGCCTGACCACCCGATCCCGCCTCTTACGGCAAGCATGGGTTACTAAAAACCAATTCTTACCCGGATCTTCATGGGTCTTACCAAGAAGAGTTAATTTACATGGTTTTCCACTTTTGGCACTATTCACATGAATTCAATATCTGAATGAGCTTTGTCTTTCTCCATATGACAGAACTGAATGTTCTTTACAGGGAGGATAAGAAAGAGGAAGGACGGGACGAGAGGCCGAAGTCTGGCAGTAAGAGCGGCTCGGAGGAGAAGAAGAAATTGGAAACGTCGCAGGAGTCAAGGTCAGTTGTGGATTTATATCGTAACTTTGATAGAGATGTTCTGGGTTAGAATTGGTCCCCACAACTGATGTTAGTCATAAGAATCAGATTGGATGGTCAGACTCACTTTTGATCCTTGTCATCTCAGACCAGTAGCAGAGATCATTGCTCATGATATCAATCACTGGATTGTCAGGTCCACACTTGGATTATTTACAGATAGACGGATACAGCTGAAATATTACTGAGTGAGGCTTAAGTCAACATACAAACCAAATCTTTTACAGATGTATGAATGCTTGGCGTTTGTCACCAAATCTCAGGATGAAAACCATTCCCTGGAACAGATGATTCATGAGTCTTCGTAGCATGTTGGTTTTATCACCATGCGCTTTTAGCTTTGCCAAGGGGGATATAGTATTAGGCTCTCCGTCAATCCGTCCGTCATGAATTGGAATATCTTAAGAACCGTTCATTAGATTCTTTTCATATTTGGTACCTAGGTTCATCACACTATAAGAAAGGTCCAAGTCAGGTTTGGTGACCTTGACCTTCATTTCAAGGTCACAAGGGGACTTTCACGTTTTACCTGCATGTTAAGCTATGTCAAGAACAGTTCTCTGGATTGTTTTCATATTCAATACCAAGCTTTATCGAGGGAAGGCGCAGGGCCCAGTCGATTTAGGTGACCTTCACATAATTTTTCAAGGTCATGGCGACACTTTGAAGATTTCAGCATGTAAACCTGCATGTTAAGCTATCTCAATAACCGTTCTCTGGATTTTCTTCATATTTAACAACAAGCTTTATCTAGGGAAGGTTCAGGGCCTTAGTCGATTTTGGTGACCTTGACATAATTTTCAAGGTCACAGAGACACTATGAAGATTTCCAGCATATTAATCTACATGTAATGCTTGTCAGCAAGATACCTCAAGAACCATTCACTGGAGTTTCTTCATATTTGAAACCAAGCTTCATCCAGGGAAGGCGCAGGGCTCAGTCGATTTTGGTGACCTTCACTTAATTTTCAAGGTCACAGAGACACTTTGAAGATTTCAGCATGTTAAATTGCTTGTTAAGATAGTCAGCAAGATATCACCAAAATATTCAGTGTATTTTGTTCATATTTGACACCAAGCTTCATCTAGGGAAGGCCCAGGGCCCAGTCAGTTATGGTGACCTTCACACAATTTTTAGGGTCACTGCGACACTATGAAGATTTCAGAATGTTAACCTGAATTGTCAGCAAGATATTTTAAGAACGGTTCACTGGATTTTCTTCATAGACTTTCAAGACCTCCCTTGAATGTTTTCAATAAGCAATTTCTTTAGTACTGGTTTTGCATATTTCATACACTATGACATTCATGTCAAAGTCAAAGTCAAAGTCAGTCTTGAAAATATGTGTGTGTTTGAACAACTAAAGGGCAAGGTAATTGTTTTGTTGACATTTAACTTCATCTTAAACTTTCATTACTTTATAAGTTTGATTCGATGCAATTTATGGTGAGGGGATTATGTCACCTTAGTGACAATGCTTATTCTCTAAGTATCAGAAATACGGATTAAAATGCATTCACTCACTCACCTCGACCTTTTACCTTCAGTAGCAAGAGGGAAGGGGAGGCAACTCGTCCTGAGCGTGAGAGACACAAGGTAAGGCACATGAAGAGTTACCTGCCTTGTTTGGTGGTAAAGAGCTATGTTTGTGTGGCAAAACTCCTTACTGATATACTTTTACAATACATAGTTTGCAAGAAGTGTTAGTTTTTAATGTTCTTTTGGAGAGGAACGGTTTTAGTATCATCATATTTCCTTAGATGAAGCAAAGCGTTTGATTCCAGTTGTAGTACCTTTCATTTCCTTCCACAGTTCTCGATAAAGTCATTACGAGGCTTTCCAAAAATGAAATTATTTAAAATGAATTTGGATAAACTCATGTAATTTCATTCCCTGGAGATTCTGTCATCTGTGGTGATGATATCATCTGATGACATGAATCTCACTGAAAAAGTCACTAGTCCAATGATTTATCAAGACACATGACGCCAATATTTGGCCCAAAATCTCCAGCAGATGCCATTAAAAATTCTGTAATCAAAAATTTTAAGAATCCCAATTTATGTTAATATAATGTGTAACTAACGAGAAAATCTACAGCTGTTGAGAAATACATTCTCTTTTGACTCCTTTGTTAAAGTTCAACCACACTTTGAAATATCTTTCAATCTAAGATGCCTTGATAAATGTTTGCAACTGATGAAGAAGTTGTAATCCATATGTAATACATACATTGGTATCTCTGGGCAGGTCTTTGGAGTCAAACATTTTGTTTGATCTATCTCATCCCCTATTTAATGATCTGGACCCAGTTCCACAAAACAATTGTAGGGCTACGACAGTCGTAATTAGGTGTTAAAAATATGGGAGTTACGATCATCTTAGTGCTACAAAGACTTTGTGGAACTGCACCTAGATTCAAATGTAGACGTGTGTTGTGTAAATATTTAATTAACATATTCATTTTTATTATCATTATCATCATACAGTTTTCTTTGATTATGTGTAGGTTTTGGAGACTGCATGGCTTTTCAAATGTGCATTTTGTTCATTTCTTGTTTTGTTTCTTCTGTCCATCATTTCACTGGGAACAGGTTGATAGTAAGAGTGGGGAAAAATGTAACGCGGATCCTAAGGATGTAAAAATAGACGACAAACGGAAAGACGATAACCGATCGAGCTCTTCGATCAGTAGAGGAGAGGAGAGTGAGAAAAGTGGACAGGAAGGTTTTGGGGACGGTGATGAGAAAAAGAGACGACGCAGGGTAAATGAATTCACTGTATACAGTATCTTAACTCACAAGGCTCCGTGGTATCAGTATTATATATGATCACCTTTGGAAAGAACAATTTGGAGCCTGGATGATAATTCTGGAAGATTGTTTATTTACCTTTCGCCTATAATTTTGGTTAGTTTATGAGAAAAGTCATGATAATGAAAATATGTGTCTCTTCACTTTTTATTAGTTTTCCTGTGATGTGTTTATGTGTCATTATCAACAGACATGCACACAGTCGACACGCAGTAGCCCTCTGTTAACTAGCATCAGTACTTGATGGTCTTGTATACTCAATATTCTGCATCCACCATCATCAGTGCCATTGTCGTCCATGGGTTAAACTTGTAATGAGACTGCTGAACGGATCAGGTGGTCACACCTGTTACAACCCGTGAAGGTCCGGATTAGAATATTGATCTTCAGTAACCCATGCTTGTCGTGCTGTTTAAGGCTTGACTAGCGGGATCGGGTGGTCAGGCTAAGCTGTCTTGGTTGATACCATGCGCATCGGTTCCCAATTGCGCAGATAGATGTTCATGCTGTTGATTACTGGATTGTCTGGTCCAGGCTCGATTATTTACAGACCAGCGCCATATAGCTGGAATATTGCTGAGTGTGGCGTAAAACTAAACTAACTCACTCTTGATGCTCACAATATCAATCACTGGATTATTTGGTCCAAATTTATCCGTTTTCAGGCTGCCATGATATAGGGCAGGACAACAATATACGGAAAAACAACTTCCTTATTACAGTGAGAGCGACGTTTCGGTGTAGGTTCTAACACCATTATCCATGACATAGGTCGAATGTTGGTCATCGCAGCGTTCAACAACAAACAACTGACAGTATGATCACTATTTTTACCAACAAATGTTTGGCCAGCTTTTGCCATAAGTGGGTGACATCAGTGAAAGCTCAGGCTGCATGTTCGATAGAATTGCTGCCAATCAAATGTAGCCAGTTTTGCATAAGTGGGATTCCAGTGAAAGATCAGGCTGCATAGCGAATTGTTTTTCAGCAACTCATGCAGAATGATTCAACAAGATTAGGATTAAATTGATCTTCAGCAATTCATGCAGAACTCAATCAGGTCATTGTGAATTTATTAACTGGTGATGGAGATGTAGTTTATACAAGACCATGAAATACTGATGATGTGAACAAAATTCAAACGATGGTATTATTGAAAGGTACAGTTTCAGCATATTATAATCTTAGGATGAAAAAGTTTGGAGTTTTCGTTATCAAATTCTGTAATGACCTTTCAACCTCTTACAACCAGCTATGTCTACCTTCAGATCTAGGGAGGTTTTTCACAACATCTTTCTCATGTTATTACAAATTAGGAAAAAGCTGGACTGAAGGATATTGGAGGAATTGTCTAGATGTGCTTTTAGTTTATAGTCATAGATGATGATGGTATGTTTGATAAAGATGTTGATGAATGAGGGCTTGTTGTACATGTCCACTGTGGTACATGTAGGTGTTGTTGCTGTTGTAGGGGCTGAAGCTGCTGTTGTAGGGGCTGTAGGTGTTGGTGTATAGCTAGCAGGCTGTAGCACTAGGTCCTCCCTGCCATCTCCCGCATGTTTACCACTGTTGATTGTTAAACCCTGATAGTCTGGACATTGTTTGTCTGGATACCCTCATACCTTGTTATTTATAATCTGGACACTGTTAATCTGAATACCCTGAAAACTTTGTTAGTCTGGACACTGTTAGTCTGGATACCCTCAAACCTTGTTAGTCTGGATACCCTCAAACCTTGTTAGTCTGGATACCCTCAAACCTTGTTAGTCTGGATACCCTCAAACTTTGTTAGTCTGGATACCCTCAAACCTTGTTAGTCTGGATTACCCTCAAACCTTGTTAGTCTGGTTACCCTCAAACCTTGTTAGTCTGGATACCCTCAAACCTTGTTAGTCTGGATGCCCTCAAACCTTGTTAGTCTGGATACCCTCAAACCTTGTTAGTCTGGATACCCCTCAAACCTTGTTAGTCTGGTTACCCTCAAACCTTGTTAGTCTGGATACCCTCAAACCTGGTTAGTCTGGATACCCTCAAACCTTGTTAGTCTTGTTACCCTCAAACCTTGTTAGTCTGGATACCCTCAAACCTTGTTAGTCTGGATACCCTCAAACTTTGTTAGTCTTGTTACCCTCAAACCTTGTTAGTCTGGATACCCTCCCTCAAACCTTGTTAGTCTGGATACCCTCAAACCTTGTTAGTCTGGATACCCTCAAACCTTGTTAGTCTGGATACCCTCAAACCTTGTTAGTCTGGTTACCCTCATAACATGTTATTCTAGACACTGTTAATCTGAATACCCTGAAACCTTGTTAGTCTGGACACTTTTAGTCTGGATACCCTCATGCCTCATTAGTTTGGACCTTGTTAATGTGAATACCCTAAAATCATGTCAATATTTACACTATTAGTCTTGATACCCTCAAACCTCATTAGTCTGGACACTTTTAGTCTTGATACCGGAAACATTGTTATTCTGTTTATCCTCATACCATGAAATTTCAGTAGCACTGTTTGTCTGGACACTGATTAAACACCATTCACTGAAACAGTGGATTTGGCAGGGACAACAGCCACAAACCGATATTTATCGTCCGTAGGCACTTTCTTTCAAACAATCAAACATACAATTATGGTGTACAAAATGAAGATTTGTGGTTACTACGGTATTCAAAGTATATTCTGTTATACAATATCACATCTTCAGTGTCTGAAAATTACAGACAAAAAGCAATAAGAAATGATCTTTACTAACCCATGCTTGTCGTAAGAGGCGACTAACGGGATCGGGTGGTCAGGCTCGCTGACTTGGTTGACACGTCATCGGTTCCCAATTGCGTAGATCAATGCTCATGCTGTTGATTACTGGATTGTCTGATCCAAATTCGATTATTTGCAGATGCCATATAGCTGGAGTATTGCTGAGTGTGGCGTAAAACTAAACTCACTCCCTCACTCCCTCACTCACTCACTGAGTTTGTGATTTAAGGGCAAAAGGAAAACATGTTAACTTTTTAAATATAAGTTGCATATCGTGACATGAATCATTTAGCATCAGTGTATCGGGATGAGTAACCTATGGCCTCCCCGACCTATCATTACATCTCTACTTACAAAGTAGAGTGCCCATCAAACATGCTATCAGAGTGTGACTATGTGAACAAACCATGCTTGAATATATTCATTGCCATGCTTTGGGTTTAGCTGTTACCTGTGTTTCCTTAATTCAGATCATCACCCCACTCAACATTGGACTCAACTAATGTCACATCACTTAATATTTGCACTAACCCTAAAATATTCACATATAACGGAAGGCAAAATCTATTTTCATCTGGGACGGCAAAGTAGCCGGTCCTGTAATCTGGTAGATATTTCTCTGCGTTTAAATTCCCTGCCTGCCGAACGGTCTATTTTCATCTCGGACGGTCAAATTTCAAAAGTAGCCGGTCCTGTAATCTGGTAGATATTTCTCTGATCTTAATTGTGAGGCAGAAAATGCAACAGATTTCTAGTTTATAAACCAGGCCATTCCCGCCTGCCCGAACGGTCTATTTTCATCTCGGACGGTCAAATTTCAAAAGTAGCCGGTCCTGTAATCTGGTAGATATTTCTCTGATCTTAATTGTGAGGCAGAAAATGCAACAGATTTCTAGTTTATAAACCAGGCCATTCCCGCCTGCCCGAACGGTCTATTTTCATCTCGGACGGTCAAATTTCAAAAGTAGCCGGTCCTGTAATCTGGTAGATATTTCTCTGATCTTAATTGTGAGGTCAGAAAATGCAACAGATTTCTAGTTTATAAACCAGGCCATTCCCGCCTGCCCGAACGGTCTATTTTCATCTCGGACGGTCAAATTTCAAAAGTAGCCGGTCCTGTAATCTGGTAGATATTTCTCTGATCTTAATTGTGAGGCAGAAAATGCAACAGATTTCTAGTTCGTAGACCAGGCCATGTACCTTAGCCTTTACGTTACAATACATGCAGTAAAGTATTCAGAAACTTGATTTTATTTTGTTTTTTTTATTGTTGAAAACCGGACAGGCATGTTTGTATCCAGACTGGTAATTTTTTAAAGTTACCAGTCCGGCTGTCTGGCTTGGAGTTTTAAACACTGATATAGGCTTAAAAGAAGTGTTTGTCCACCAGTGGCCCTCATGTTGATCCCTCCCTGTCCAGATATTGTAACTCCCCCATTGTAATTGCTGTCCAGTGGTTTTACATGGGTTGGTCAGATACTAACACAATAACACTTGTCCTTGACCTCGTCTGTTGACCTTCACTCCCATCACACATAATTGTAATATTTATTTTACATCATTCTCGTTTGTCGGTGTCATATTTAGAATTTATTTACTTGCACACTTTTTGTGTACAAATATTTATGACAGTTGTTTTATTGTTTTTAGTTTAGCCACTTTGGGGAATAATTTCAAATCCATTAAATCAGGATTTTCTGTCTTCTGTGTGTATTTGGTGCTTTGTGTCTGCTAGATGGAGCGTACAATTTTAACAGTGTGAATACTTACAGTCTGCATGAAACTAACTATGGTTGTGCTTTTGTGTGAGTTAAATAGTATTATACTTACTACGCAGTAGGACTGTTTTATGTGAGTGACCTACAAGCATTTTCTGCTGATTCAGGATCGTCCTGAGCGACAAATCTATGTCCCGAGAAGAGCGTTGGAGAGACAGAAACAGGAAGCTACCAAAGACGGGAAGGAAGGTCAAGGTGATAAGGGTCAAAGTACAGAGAAGAGTGACAGCGAAAAAGGTCAAGGTTGAAGAAGGGGCGGGATTTTATTTATTGGGTCTTACTGAGCATTGTGCGAGTCCTAAAGGATGCACCATGCATCACTTGTACCTCTGATATTTATGTTCACATGAGATGCTCTTCATTTGATATTTGAAGAAATATTTGTAAAAGGAAAAGGAAACAAAAAACTTATCACATAAATATATTTAATTAAATTTTTTTTTAAATGGTGAGAATGTTTTAGACAAGTCTTCAGTTCACAGTAGTCATTAATTTCTTCTCACAGTGAGAATCACATTTTTCGCAGGTGGTTTTTCCTTTTCCTTTCATTTGTATTTTCCAAAATATTTGAAGACCTTGAAACTGAGGCAGGGCATATCAGACATGATTTGGTTCCAGTGCACTCATGATGTGGTTAATGTGGTGGAGACACTTTGTCCTTTATCACTGAGATGAGATGGGCAACTCTGTCGGTGATGAATGTGGTTCTGAAAATAAACTTATGCAAACAATGTCGGTGTACTGTTTTGTCAAAAGCTGACTTAGTGGTCCAGCTGATAGAGCCTATGCTCTGGCCACCTCATACCAAAGTTTATTGATACATGTCAAAAACTTAGTTGTCACCTTGCTTTATGCTTAGCAGTCAGATACCCATGAAGATCAGGGTGCAGGGGTGGAAGAAACTTCTTGCTAATTGCTAGTGTACTCCAGTACAGTGGCACATGAAATATCACTTGCCCTGATAATTTTTCCACTATACCGGCCGTTTTCTTGTTGATTTTTTAAATAAACAACATAATTAAAATTGGAATATCAACTGGACACCGGTACAGTGTGATATACAAATTTGCTTGCCCGACAGAAAAAAACACTGGACTCGGGCGTCGGGCAATGGGTTATTTCCACCCCTGAGGGTGTTCAGTAACCCATGCTTGTCGTAAAGACAACTAATGGGATCGGGTGGTCAGGCTTACTCACCTGGTTGACACATGTCATCATATCCCAGTTGTGTAGATCGATACTCATGCTGTTGACCATTGGATTGTGTGGTCCAGAGTCGATTATTTACAGACCGCTACCATATAGCTCATAACACACACACATATGTATGGGCACATAACGCTAGTCCTGAAGGACTTACACTGGCTCCCTGTAAAAGACAGAGTTGTATTCAAACTTCTTGTGTTTGTTTACAAGTCCATTAATGGGCTTGCTCCATTCGATCTCCAGGAACTAGTAAACATTCCCAAGACTGGAAGGTCACTCAGATCAGCTAGTCAGCAAAGCTTAGATGTTCCATCTGTCGGAACCACAACATACGGGGACAGAACATTTAGCAGAGCGGGTGCTGTACTGTGGATTTGATTAACTGAAAATGTCAGAAAATCTGAAAATATCAACAGTTTCCGATCTTGTCTCAAAACCATCCTCTTCAAACGAGCATTCGACTAAGCGCACATGAGCAGGACTCTGGATATGTAGCGCTATACAAATGTCTAATTTGATTTGATTTGATATAGCCGAGTGATGTGTTAGACAACAAACCAACCAACCTCAGCGTTAGGAGGAGATGTGGAATAATTTTACACAATTCTTAAAACTTTTAACCTGTGCACATGTTAATTAAGAAAACCACATTCACTATAAACCATTTGGTGTGTTGATCTTTTACATGCACACAGTGTACATGGTCATACCCCATATCTCTGCTTCATATAGCAAAATAGGAATACGGCAAAGTCGGAATATGATTTTCCTGTTTCCAACGGTTAGCCCGAACGGACACATATGTCAAGGGGCATTGCCTTCTTGGAAAACCCAATTGCGGTTGACAAAATGCCTGGCAACTACAGGCCACAAATGGTTATCAAGAATGGCAATGTACTTATCAGTGTTCATGTTGCCATCAACGACAGTTAAAGTTTCCACTCCATACGCCGACGCACACCCCCAAAACATCACTGAAAACTTCGAATTTCGTTCATGATCGGTACGAATTCCCAAACAATCGTGTTGCAACCGCTCATCCGACTTTCTCCACACATAAACTTTTCTGTCTTTTCCGGTCTGGTCTTGTGTCTCATCTATAAAAACGACATTATCCCACTCTTTTCTTCCCCAATGCAGTTTTGTCCGACAAAATCGGCGTCTCGTCTCTCTGTTAACACTAATCCAGCAACTAGACGACTTTGCACTATACCAAGGTGTGCTCGACCTTGGCTGGAATACGAGTTTATTCATATGAACTCATTCTCTTCCCACAGAGGTTACTTGTCATATCTTCCTACGAACCTCTGTTCTAATACGGCCCTTTCATGGTGCGAGTGTTCAGGATTCGTCATTGGTTGCAATCAGATTTAGTTGTGCAATCAGCGACCTTGTTTCAAAAGTTATCATTCGCAAGCCTCGGTAATTTCCGTATGCTTCGGGAAAACTAGAACCTCTTCCCCTGCGCGATGCGCAAACGTTTCTTCTAGACAGAACTCAGTCATGTAATGGCGGATCAATGGCATCTCCATCGCCCCCGTTGACAACAGGCAAACTAGCCATTAAATGTCTTGTGTGTCACAGCAACACAATTCCCTGCTGATGGGGGACATTTGTGGCCCCACATTTGTTTGTATTAGTCAAGCTGGATCTAAGTCGACGTAACACGTGTTCTGATTGGATAAAAAGAAGGGAGATAATTCGTGTTGCGACTTTTTGCCGCGAGAACCGGGAAATATGGCGGTATCAGAAAAGCGGTTCGTAGGAAGATATGACAAGTAACCTCTGTGGGAAGAGAATGATATGAACTATGTTAACACGAGAAATTATGATTTTCTTGCTTACCACATGTCTACGGTACAACTCAGTGAACAATCTTCTTCTGACAGTGCGAGAAAACAGTGTAGTCTGTCCCTGATTGTTATATTTTGCTGTCAAATCCCCAAGTGTTTGCCGGCGATTTCTTTTCACAAGACGAAAAAGCCGTCGTTCACTTCTTGGTGACGATTTTCGGGGCCGCCCACTTCTCGGCAACGATTTAACTGAACCTCGCTCCCGAAAATGTTTTAAAATTTTCAGAATTGTTCTAGGGTTTATTCAACTGATTCAACTCAACAATTAAATTTCTTTGGTCAGGTGTAAATTCTCGGTTGACAGGCGGCATGATAGCAGACGACAAAAACATAAACAAAGAAAGGGAGATAATCGCATATTATAGGTGCTACGCATATTTTGTGACCTGTGCAATTTGTAGCCCAAATCACATTACGATTGGTGGCTTATCAGCACGGCGAAACGCTTTCAAAGTCAACCTACCACTCAAAACATGGGCAACGTAACATGTTTTGCGAACAGACTTTTGGCCACTGACTGTACATAAGTTGGATACGATGACATGCGTCAACCAAGTCAGCAAGTCTGACTACCCAATCTCGTTAGTCGCTTCTCACGACAATCATTGGTTGCTGAAGACCAATTCTAACCCGGATCGTCACGGGTACATGAAGTATGTAACAGCATGTTAAATGTCAATTCCATTAACGTTACGAATCCAAATGCGGTGAAGTGGTCAAGCTACATTATCACAAACTCAATAACGGGCATGTGAACTATGAGCAGCCAGAACATCCGTGCATCGCATAGTGTGTACCAAATGGGTGTGGGAGGCTTTTGAAATGGCTTGCCATATAGGCCTACTCTGCTGCCAAATCTGGGGGACTGGATACACACTGTAGGCCAATGCACTCCTTGAACATTGTGCTGTGGAAGAAAAGCCACGAGAACGGGAATTATCCTGTTGAATGTTACTCCTGGGCAATGATGATCAAATAACCGAAATGCCACTGGTCCGATAACTGATCCTTGTAGTTCAACTAATTGTGTTCTGACATGCAATCATCACACCCCAAATGATGGTGGAGATTCCTCGATCTCTTCACACTTGAGAATAACGCTTCTCAAGACGCTGACGTCCGTCACTACGGGGAATGTAAATCTGGACTCATTTGAATGACTGAGTTTGGTTTTACGCCGCTTTTAGCAATATTTCCAGCAACATCACGGCGGGGGACACCAGAAATGGGCTTCACACATTGTACCCCTGTGGGATTCGAACCGGCATCTTCGGCGTGACGAGCGAACGCTTTAACCACTGGACTAACCCCACCGCCCTGGACTCATTTGAATGAAACAGAACCAACTTGAGGGACATGATTTCAGCACCACCTTTGACAGTTTTATCGATGATGTTGCTTCAAGATAGCTAGTATGGTGCGACAACGTAGTAATGTCTGTATGGGGTAGTTAAAGCCGACATCATGAAATGGTCTGAGCAGTGGTCACTGTAGTCGTGAAACTGTGCCGGAGATGGGTCACCCGAATCCATCTATCCTGCCTTGTGCACTCATTCTCAGTTAACTTGGACCATCTGGGTCTACAACTATGAAAAGACCCAAATTAATGATATTATTCGTCTGTAACGTAAATTACTACTTTTAATATATTTCAATAATGACATCCACTTATGATAACAATTAAACTTTATTTCAGCAAGAAAACTTATATTCAGTCTGTAACAATTATCTTTTAATGAAAACGACACAAAATCGTCAACCATCACAACTACAGTATTTCGTCTTTATACGCATTCACGTAATATGTGTTTCATGCACAAGCGTATGTTCGTCAAAGGGAGATAACTCTATTAAAATATGTGTACCTCGGACTGCTGTCTAATTCGGACTTTTTAGTCGGTCCCAAGCCTGTCCGAATTAGACAGAGTGCACTGTACGTCTTTGGTTCTGGTAACAATGCTGAAATGGGTTTATTTCCATGGCAATGGAAATGAGCATCCACCTGAAGTCGAGACATTCCCCAACGACCAATCACCATTTAGCCTCATGACGTTCAAACGTCAAACAATTTACCTTCCAAAATTGAAAGCAGTTTTTGACATTTATGCTCCACGCAGTTTATCGCACTTCTCTTGTCCTTAGCTGTCCTTAGTTTCGTAACACTGAAAACAAAGCATAACAACTTCGTTATACACAATCCAAGTGATTATGAAAATTAATATGTTTACGAACTACTATTATTTAAATATTTATACACGTCTGCGAAATCACCGTCTACGACCCAGTCTTGGCTACGAATCCACCGCGTCTACGAACTGGTTCAGCCAACGAAAACACCGTCTCCCGAAACCACTAACTTTACGTACGTAGCACATGCATATGTGTTCACTTCGCTAATTGCCGTGTTTACATCTGTATTTGTGTACACATGCAGTTCCAATATAAATTCAATTTGATTTCCTATGTGCACATTTTTATTTTTGTGGCTAGGATACTAACTCAGATCACCAAAATTACTTTAAAAATATCAAAAAAGAATATATTCTAATAATCTAATGGAAACATTCGCTTATTTTCAAATATTTAATCTGCGAATGAACCACAATTATATTTGCGACCACACTGCGGATTCCGAAATAATCTTGGTGGAGCACCAAACTCGCTGCCTGTGTGAATCGACTGCAGATATGACGTCATTTGTGATCTCCGTGCGAATGGAAGCATAGCGTCACAGCAACATGACGTCATAATGTGTGTTGCGTCACAGAGAAGCATAAGGAAAATGGACGTTCAAATGGCCGCTGCCATATTTCCAGATTAATGAAATGATCACACGCGGCCGCAAGAGGAAAATGGAAGCTCACATAGGGGGGAGATAACTGTAAGGCTCACGGTAGTAAGACCGAACCAATCCCCGCTAAAACACAGAGCGTCTGCCTGCTATCCGACGCTGCATCTGGAGATTCTGTCTGCAGTCCCGATGTCAGCCATCAGTTTGTTACAGTGGTTACAGACATCGATGAGGGGGACGACGGAGGTTCACACACAGACCTGTGACTTGGGGGACATCTGGACACACAAGTACCCCCTGCCACTCAGTAAATACCCCGCTCGCCCGATTCGTACAGGTAACAGTTTTATCAGAACATCCTAGATTGGTCTGTTGTGTTGCGAAATAATAATGATGATGATGCTGCTGCTGATGAAGATCAGTAGGCATCCAAGACCATGCGTGTACCCAAGAGTCCTTTTTATGTCGTGTTTATGCCAGCTGATGATGATTATGATGATGATGTAGGTAGCCTCGTCGGTATCCATTTTGGAGGAAAGCATGCATGTGTCCGGGAGACATGTGTTTCTCTTGGTACCAACCCCAGAGTCCTCCGAAAAACCCATTATTATCATAGACCTGTATTTAACTGTACTTTGGGGGGAATAGTTTTGTAAAATATTCCGTCTTTAGTATTATAAACATTTCAAACCTTAAATACCAAAGCCTATCCCTTACTTCGAAACATTGTTTTTGAGGTAACTGTCCTTAGCTTAAATGTTATACCCAAATTAGACGTAGAACAAATCTCATTGAGGAACTTCTATATCACACTCCGGGAAATCTTATGAATCCAATACAGAGTACACACCGAGTGCCTATCTGACGCGTAGAACCTCTCGGTCAACTTATGCTAACGCACTACCACTGACCTATATGTTAAAAGACCAACTACTGTGGTGAACGCCCCAGATCGTGTCCCACGTCGTGTTGGCACACTACGATATTTACGAAATAATGTTCAAAAGCGGCGTTAAAATCAACTCCCTCATTATTGAAGGAGGTATTGGGTGTAAGGAAAGGGGAATCAGTTATAAAACCGGGTGACCAGTTCACTATCAACACATGAAGATCCGGGTTAGAATTGGTCTTCAGCAACCCGCACAAGTTGTAAGAAGCGAATAATTTGGATCATGTGTTCAGGCTCGCTCCATTGGTTGTCGTATGTCATCGTATATCCCAATAGATCTAAGCTCATGATGTCAATCACTGGAGTGTCTTGTCCACACTTGATGTTTCACAAGCTACCGTCACTGAGTCGGATTACTGCTGAGGACGGCGTAAAACAACACGTTTTTCTGCTGACCTACCATGCCATCATATACTGCACATGAAGACATTATTAATGATATTGCTGAGCGCACGCGCCTTAAACTGTTAAAAAACAACACCATCCTCAACTAACTGCTGACTATATACACCTGATTTATTATACCCTATTGCTCCGACCATCAACTGATGTGTTTCAACCATAAACCATAATCTGATGATGATTTTTATGGAGAGGCATGTACAATGTGAATGCCCCCCCCCCCCCCACAAATTTATGCATGAAGTAACACACACACACACACACACCGCATGTCATGTACAAAATCAATGACCCTCACCCCTTTCCCAATAATATTTAAGCATAGTTTTTTAAAATTACTATATACACAATTGATGACCCCCCTAGTTCATGTGAACAAAATTTATGCCCCCAAAAAAAAAAAACCCAAAAACAAACAAAAAAACCAACCCACACACACCTCCCCAAAGATTGAGAATCAAATTTACAACTCGTTTTCAAAGCCCAGCCACATTCATATTTAGTTACTCTGAAGCAATGACATAGAAAGTTAATACTACTACTGACATTGGCGTTGCTAACAGCAACGTTGTGATCTAAACTAAACAGAGCACTGAATCCACTTTTAACTATCAGTATCATGTCAACAAATAAATAAATGAATGAATGAATGAGTATTATCCACAAGCAGTCCCGATCAATTCTCAATTGAGGCAATCTACATCCATTCGAGCCTTGAGTTGGATTCCTTTATAAAATTATTCTCTGTGAGACAGGTACCGCTTGCACAAAGCAGTCTTAGCGCTACAAGGTGAGAGTATGGGAGTTACGACAATCGTAGCGTTAAGATCGCTTTGTGTAACAAGAGGCACAGATTGCTAGTAAACCAGACCTCCATATCAAAGTCTTTTGTTCTCATTTCGTTAAAGGGAATTCCCGCGTAACTTGACTTCCTTTACAAATACGAAACTGGCTTCGATCATGAAATATAAGAGCTGTCCAGTTATGGGTTACTACCTATTTCAAAGAAAAAATCTCTAAAAAGGTATCAAATACTGGGATATCAAATTTTAAATACAGTTAAAATGAATATTATACAAACATGAGACTATATGTCACACAAATATGCTGAAGAGATATTTCTTGCAACACAACCGTAATACATACAGGTTATCACGCGATTGTTTTGAAACTCTGTATCCTGAATTAGGAATAAACGTTGTATTTAGCGAGCCTTGTCATGATTCCACGCACGAGAATAAATCCACGAGCTTGAATTTTCATTGTAGAAGATAGGTCAGTAAACTGCCAGTACATGTAATCACCAGTGTTAAGATTGTCTTTACGCTCCTACTCTAACATGACTTCATGAAAGTGAGTGAGTGAGTATGGTTTTACGCCGCTTTTAGCAATATGAAAGAGGGCACTGACCTATCATGCTACGTTATTCTTACAAAACGAATTACAGCTTCAATATATGATCAGCGGACTTATTCATGACAGACTAGAGCTATTAGTATTACATTTTACTTAGCGTCTGGAAACATCTAAATAATCATCTTTTAACGATCGGAAATGACTACCAGTTTAATTGCCACATTTTTAAGACCTTGTCCGGAATTATCTCCCGTCACGCTTATCACTTTGACGTCCTGTTTTGATGTAAGGTAGTTCTTATTATACATTTTTATTCGATCAGTGCTATAATCGGCTTAATCTCTTTGCAGGAAGCAATATTCAGAAGAAGTTCATGTTGATGTTCAAGTGTACATACGTTCATGACAACCTGTTCTCTTGTTTATGTGGGCGGTGGGGTAGCCTAGTGGTTAAAGCGTTGGCTCGTCACGCCGAAGACCCGTGTTCGAATCCCTACATGGGTACAATGTGTGAAAGCCCATTTCTGGTGTCCCCCGCCGTGATGTTGCTGGAATATTGCTAAAAGTGGCGTAAAACCAAACTCAGTCAGTCAGTCAGTCAGTCTTGTTTATGTGTTGTTAACAGTGCTCGCAGCAATGTTCAGTCTATGTGACGCAGTGTGTAGATAATCGAGTTTGGCCCAGATAATCCATTGCTTGACATCATGGGCATCAATCAATGCAATTGGGATACAATGAGTAAGTGAGTTTAGTTTTACGCCACACTCCAGACAATCCAGTGATCAACAGAATGAGCATCGATCTACGCAATTGTGTCAACCAAGTCAGTGAGCCTGATCACCCGATCCCGTTTGTCGCCTTTTACGACAAACATGGGTCACTGAAGATCAATTCTACCCGGATCTTCACAGTGACATGCATCAACCTAGTCATTAAACCTGGCCACCTGATTCTGTTATTCGCCTTTTTTGTGACAAGGTCCTTCCGAGGATCGTTTAACAGCTGACAACGTAATTACTTGTATTGTCCGCATTTACACTGAAATCAAATTAACCCTTTTCAGGTAACAAATACTACGACGATATCATCCCAGAACTGTCGAGCCTCGGCTTCAACCCGCTTCAAGTGATCGCCAAGGGAAGATCCGGGTCTGTAATCCTTGCCCAAGATCTCCACCCGTCCAAACTGGGCAAGGAGAGCGAATACAAGCCTGTCGCCATCAAACTGAACTCCGGCCGGAAGCGGAAACAAAGGGGTGCAAAGGTCGACATCACAGAGGAGATGCTGATCCATCAGCGACTGAGTCACCCGAATGTCGTCAGCTTCCTTGATACTCTTACCATACAAGGACGAGCCGGGCTGATCCTTGAGTTTTGTGAAAGCGGGAACCTTGAACAGCTTCTACGGGCCCAGGACGCCAAGTTCATCACAGAACCAGTAGCCAGACGGTATTTCAGACAAATCCTGGACGCTTTGGAATACATCCACCATTCGGGCTACGCCCACAGGGATATGTGCACACAAAACATTCTCATAACCAACGACAACAACATCAAAATCGCTGATTTCGGACACACGGTGAAATTCGTAACAGGAGATCCACTCTGCGAAGATTCTTGTGGAACTATGGGATTTCAAGCACCGGAAGTCGTCTGCAAAGTTCCATTCAATCCGAGGTTTGCGGACATGTGGTCCCTAGGCGCTGTGTTATATACAATGACGGTCGGCAAGTTACCTTTTGGCCGTCTGCGCAACGAAGAAATGGCGCGAAGTATAAAATCACTGGAATTCCCTCCCGAGAAGATCATGGTTCTATCGAGCGAGATTAAGGACTTACTGAGAGGGCTTCTTGCCTACGTAGCAGCTTCACGGTACTCGCTCAATCGGTCCAGCAACTGCGATTGGATGAATGTCCGAGACGAGAGAGTGTATATCGGCAACTTCTACCTCGTCCGCCAACCGCAGAAGATCTTCGAAGGTGACAGAGAAAAGGATATCAAAGGGAATTACAAGATTTAGAACTCATAAGATATCCTGTGAAATGTGTCTCTGACCACCTGTTGATGTGTCTCATGATCTGTACGGAATATATCATTTTCGTAATTTTATCTACTATATTTATGTTTGGTCTCTTGTAAAAATGAATGTAGAAATCTAGCAGGGATCTTTCATTAATCATGATAGTGATGTTTTTGTAACTGAGCAGTGTAAATCTCCGTTAATACTAAGGTGAACGGGACAGTTTATTTGGATTTTTGATTTTGTAACGCCAGCCTACTCTGGTCAAATGTGTTCCGTAGTTTTGAATGACCAAAACCTTAAAAAGATGTAGTCATGGAGAATAAGTCACCAACCAGAAAATTCCTAGAGTACACATTTTGTGTTAGCATAAAATATTCCGTTAGTGAATTTGTATTTCAATCTATACTTGTTTGTTGGATTCAAATCAGATAATTCCGATATGTTTTTTACAGTGGCGTTTATGTACCAACGAGTGATAGAACCCAGGCCTGACTGGATGGTTCTGTTTCAATGAATTCACACATCACTGATGTATTTCGTAATATATTGAATTTTGTGATTTGAAACCCCAATTATAAACCTTTCCCGAACTACTAATAGAAGGAGAGTTGTTTCAGTCATATAGTGGCTACATCTGCACTTGTCTACCTGCTTAAGTAAAGTGTGGATTAGTTTCAACATAATTAACAATAAATCTCATTCAAATATACCTACTTATGTGCAATTTGTCTTTTATCCGCTGAATTTGCAAATCAGTTTGATATCGGATATAGAAATATAATGTTCTGTGTCATATGGTTGTTGTCATGTTACTTCGATAAACAACAGAACAAATAATTTCAAAGAATCCTTGGCTAATCATGGCGTTCTCACGCCGCCTCAATAATGCAAATTGTTCAAATGCATAAATGGAGATTATAACAAGAACGTTTCCTAAATAAATGACATAATAAGTTGTTCACTGGTCACGAGGGGGACATGGGTTACATCAACCCATGGGCCCAATGCCCAATGAACAACGTATCTATCTTACCGAACACCTCAATGTTAATTTTAAACCGCTTGAAGAGCGGCTATCGGATCATAATAAGGAGTACCGGAGTTCGGCAACAGCCCAAACACTACCAACACGAAGTACCAAACGAATCCCCACAGTTCGGCATTTCCAGCGGGTAACATAGAAAATGTTACTCGCTTGTAAGCGGGGTACATTGATTGGCTCATTCAGTCAGATAACGACATTTATATGTGAGGTAAGATGAGAGTTCTTGTATTATCCCAAAGCGATTAGTCGCGATGACACAGGCTTACCCGTAATGACGTAAGCGCTTCCTGAATGTTTTCGGTGGATCGGCCGAAGTCCAGGAATGGTCTCAACAGTTGTCACTGCGGTCTGTGACCTGTACCTGAGATGGACCACCCGTATCCATCCTGTCTTTGCATTGTTCTGGTGACGTCTCAACAGTGCTGTAATGGTGTTTCGGCGGCACTGGAAATGCGGAGCCACCTGCACGTTGAGACTTTCTCCAACGGACCAACGGGATCGGGTGGTCAAGCTCCCTGACTTAGTTGACACATGTCATCGGTTCCCAATTGCGTAGATCGATGCTCATGCTGTTGATCACTGGATTGTCTGGTCCAGATTCGATTATTTACAGACCGCCGCCATATAGCTGGAATATTGCTGAGTGCAGCGTAAAACTAAACTCACTCACTCACTCACTCCAACGGAGCATCCCAGCAGCGTCATGACGTTGTTCCTGATGTCGGGCCAGGGAGCCGTTTACATTTTTTGAAAAATCAAACATCAAACAATTTAGCTTTCCAAATCGACAACAGTTTTGGACATTCATGGGCTCCAAGCAGTTTATCGGGAAACGTGTTGCGCGTGCCTGTACCGAAACCGCTGACGTCATGAAACGTAGCACATGCATAATTCCTTTGATTACATCTGTATTTGTGGACCCAAGTAGTTTTCAAGTATGTACACACGTATGTGCATCCATAGTTTCTTGTTGTAGCTAGAGTAGCAATATTTCAGCTCCATCACGGCGGGGGAAACCAGCGTAGAGACTTGAAGGACATTAACATGTGTTATTACTTGAACAATGTCCATAGACACAACGTGTAACTTCTAACTTGTCAAAAAACGCCGCAGCGTAGGATTGTGTATGCAACACTACTTGCCACGGTTCAAGAACTTTTCTTGGCCCCAACAAGTTTCAGTCACTGCAGTGAACATGTGCCATGTGCGCAAGGCGACTTGAGTCGCCCGCATTACTTTACCAAATCAGACCAAATCAAATCTGAATCATTTTGTCGTCGGGGACCAAAACAAAACCCGGGTCACTATGCCGGGAAAACCCAATTGAATATTATACCTAACAACCTGAAAGGCTTCACACAACGTACCCATTAGGGTATCGAACTCTGGTCTTCGGGTGACAAGCGAAGAAAGAAACAAAGAAAGACGTAAACTAAATCATATGCACGGTCTGTCCTCACATCCGAGTCAACACACCCCACCCCATGCACACGCACACACGCACACATTACCACAATAAACAGTGGCAGCATCCGTGAGGCATGTACATATCAAAAGTCGATCTGATTCAAGCCATCTGTGGATGTGTGGTCAATCTACATGAAGGCAACATACCCATGACAGCAGTGCAACGTCTCATCAACTAATGCACACGATGATGCTAAAGATGGTCTCTCTGGCAAACCAACAACTATTTTAGAGAGGTAGTGGATTTTGTATCAAGTCTTCACCTCCAGCCACAATGGAGCACCATTCAAGTCTGCAAGATTAGAAACAGCAATGGGATTTGCTCCAGTTCAACTTGTAACAGAATATACGCTACATTATAAGTTGTACGCTTCTCTCGAGGGTAATACGGTCTGATGTACGCCTCTTTGTAGCAGTGTCACCCGAGCAACCCGAGCTACATATGTATCTTACGGCCATGTTAAATGTACAAAATATTATTTTATTTTATTTTAAAGATCGGTCACCTCGCTACCGACTATATGACATGTAAACAAAATGGCGTCTGCCTCTCGACTGGATTTTAAAATGAGTGAAACATATTCTGACAAGCTTAAAACTGCTATGTTTAAGTTGAGTGTGCAAACGATGCAAAGTATAAATGTTTCAGCAAAGCGGTGAAAGTCGGTAAAAAAAATATGTACATAGTTCACTCAAAATCAGCTAATCGATCGGTTTTCGAACTCCGGGCACTGCATGCGTCATATTATGATTGTTAATAGCGATACAGTTTTTTGGCGGTTGCCCTAGCAGCGGGTAATAGGTTTTTCTACAGTTGTCACCCTACTGGGAGGGGTGATACGGAAACTTGTCGAATTAAATTGAAGTATTTTACTTGAAGGTAGATTGATGTTTTAATCTGAAAACACGATGGTCGCTTTCATGCTGTACTGCAGCGGATCCTGGTTTCTCAAGAGAAAAGCATCACAAGCTCCTACCAATATCGTGCTATCAAAATGTATACACAAATAAATTGACTGGAGAGAGAATTAAGAGAAGCTGTTCATAGTGGAAATAGGACTAATGCCTTTGACACGCATATCATGAATCATTTGGTTTGACAACATGCCAAACAAAGAACCCACCTGCTTGGACTCGTCTGGGTGGTAATAGATTCCAACAAAGTTCCCACGAATGACTTCGTAGCATTGGATGATGAAACCCAAAGGACAATACATCCGTGGTACCAGGTCCAACTTCTGCAGCAGGATGAGCACTTGTCTTTTGACTCCACCATTCAATGTCAACCCAACCTGCTGAATGCAATGCAAGCGTAGCCACCATTTCTCTTCTCAACCGGCACCATCAATGGATTCAGTTTGGACAATAAAAGAAATAAGTTAGGGACAGTGTCATGATGAGACGTCCAAAGAGTGAGTGAGTTTATATTTACGCCGCTGTTAGCAATATTCCAGCAATATCACGGCGGGGGACACCAGAAATGGGGTTCACATATTGTACCCATGTGGGGAATCGAACCCGGGTCTTCAGCGTGACGAGCGGACGCTTTAACCATTAGGCTACCCTACCGCCCCAGACGCCAAAGAGGAAGATCATAAGCACAACCACCACCCTGTCCCAGGAAACTGTCTCCCCTGGTTACATGATGGACACAATAACTACCTGTGAAGCCCCGGGTGAGAATTGATCTTCAGCACCCCAGTAACCCGTGCTTATCGTAAAAGGGGACAACCGGGATCGGGTGGTCAAACTCGCTGACTTGGTTGACGCATGTCATCGTATCCCAATTACGTAGATCGATGCTCATGCTGTTGATCACTGGATTGTCTGGTCCGGACTCGATTATTTACAGACTGCCACCATATAGCTGGAATATTGCTGAGTGCGGCATTGAACAACGATCATAGATATTATAGAAGGTTGACGAGTGTCCTCTTATAACAGCGGCTTGAGTACGGTCTTACGTCGCTTTCAGAAACGACCGCCTCCGTGGTGTAGTGGTTAGAGCGTCCGCCCGGAGTGCGGAAGGTCGCGGGTTCGATCCCCGTCATACCAAAAGACGTTAAAATATGGTACTTGTTGGTCCCTGCCTGGCGCTCGGCATTAATGGGTACAACAAGGACTGGTCGGCTAGGAGTCAGTATACTGTGTCTGAGTGGGGGTTTTCATGCTTCACTGCAGCATGGTATCTCAGTGAACTAGCACTAGCTTCAGTATGGGCTAGTACAAGCAGCCACACATACACATACACACGCATGCACGTCGTCATATGAGCGAAATATTCTCAAGCACGTCGTTAAACCCAATTCCACCACCACCACCACCGCTTTCGGAAACACCCAATAATGTCACTGGGACACCAGAAATAGGCGTCACGTATTGTACCTTTGGGGGGAATCGAACCCGTGCTTTCAGCGTGAAGAGCAAACACATTAACCACTAGGCTACCTCACAGCCCAGTAGAAGACTTGTCATCAATCATTTACAAACCTCCGCCATATAGCTGGAATATTGCTGAGTGCGGCGTTAAACAACAAACCAACCAGCCTATGATCCCAACAACCTGTTGGACACAGTGATTTTCTCTGAGGCAAGGAACAGGACGCTAAGCCATAGGTTCAGGGGTCCTCCAAGACAAACACAACGAATCATGTCACAGAGGCCATTTCTGTGTGTGTGTGGTAGATGACCTGTACCAAACTGAACTGAGTGACCACATAGCTGGCCAACAAGACAACCAAGACAACTATCGATGTTTTCAATGTGCCAGTAATGTTTACCCTATTTAAATGTTTCCATTGTGCCCAAGACAAGCTCCACTTTGAGACATTTGAACGTTTTTTTAAATAAGCCAGACATTCAGAAAGACAAAGGAAACAAATTTGTCGCTGTGCATTTTCAGGCTTTACTAAAGAAAGGAGGGATCCATGTCTGCATTAGAGAATAACAAACCCATAAGTATGTTTGGTCAAGCGTTTCCAAAGTATCTAAAAACGGTAAGACATGGAAAACGAGAAAATGACGAGGAGGGCGATAATTTTATCAATCTTATTAATGTCACGATGTTTTGAAATCCGTAGCACTACAGGACGTATGAGTTACACGATGTTAAAGCTGAGATGATTGGGGTGGTGATGGTTATTATTTTAAATTTGCGTACTCGGTGTTTGACTTGTTAATTTCCATTT